CTCGCTCTTAGAGAAAGCAACAAGCAATACAACAAGATCCTGTCCAACTCCCAGCGCAATGCGTGGCGGAAATTCTGCGCAGACACAGAATCGGTTAAGGAATCTGGAAGGATGAACAAGATTCTGAAAACCTGTACTGACACCAATAACAAACTTGAGGCCGTTTATGAACCAAATGGCGAACTCACCAAAAACGCAGAGGAGACACTGGAGGTCATGACACAAACCCACTTCAAGGAGAGTGTTACTGATCCGCCAGTTCCGCCTCTCTGCCCCTTACCCATCTCCACAGACTTACTAGACAAAATCTACAGCCCTGAAAGAATCGAAAAGGCTCTCCTATCCTTCGATCCCTTGAAGGCTGCAGGACCTGACACTCTAAAACCTATCATATTCCAGAAAGCCTGGGCTCATATCAAAGACATAACAAAAAACATTATGACAAAAAACCATGAAACGCAACACATACCAACTTTGTGGAGGGACTCTCTTGGAATCTTTCTCCCTAAGCCTGGAAAAACCGACTACAACAAAGCTAAGTCATTTCGAACGATCACTCTTTCGCCTGTGATGTTAAAGTTGCAGGAGAAAGTGATCTTATGGCATATGCAACATGACCTCAACATAGCTAATGATATCAACAAACGACAATTCGGCTTTAAGAAGGGCTGCTCCACAGAAGCGGCACTTCATAAAGTTACTCACACCATTGAGCGCAGAATAGCCAAGAAAGGATATGTCCTAGGTGTCTTTCTAGATATAGAGGGCGCCTTCGACAATGTCTCGTTCAAGGCTATCTCTGAAGCAGTCAAGGCTACGAAAGTGGACTTGGCTACAGCGCAGTGGATCATCAACATGGTAACCAATCGATTCATCACACTAAATCATAAGGATAAGTCGAGAAGGGTACGGATCAGGCGAGGTTGCCCCCAAGGAGGCATTCTCTCTCCTTTTCTCTGGAACCTGGTAGTCGACGATCTCCTTTCCTTTACCGCAAAAGACATCCCGGGTTACCTGCAAGCCTTTGCGGATGATCTGTTGTCTCTAGCGGAAGGGGATGATTTAGACATCATCTGGGACCGAACATGCAAAACTATTAAAACGATAGAAAATTGGTGCAGAACCAAAGAGCTATCTATTAGCGCCCTTAAAACTCAGATAGTCATGTTTACCTGGAATAGTAAGTGGACTCTAAGACCTATAACAGTTGGCAACAACATTATAGGTCTTTCCAAGTCTGCTAAATTTCTAGGAGTGACCTTGGACAGCAAACTCAACTTCAATGAACATATCATCAACACCACCAAAAAAGCCACGGCATCCCTCATGCAATGTCGAAGAGCTGTCGGCCCCACATGGGGTATGAGCCCCAAAACATGCAAATGGATGTACACGGCTGTCATCCGTCCAATCCTATCCTACTGCTGTAGTATATGGATCAGGGCCACTCAAACGGACTATAACGCGAAGAAACTCAAACGTGTTCAGGCATTGGCACTCAGAATGATGTCTGGTGCCATGCCAAGCACACCTTTTATCGCATTGAATCACCTCACCGACACTTCTGACATCATACTGTTCCTGCAAGGCGAAGCAGCAAAGGGTGCGGCCAGGCTACAAGCTTATGGCAGCCTCACTCTTGAAACTATCGCCTTCAGGAAGGGAACTATCAAAAATCATACCACTATCAACAAACAATTCATGGCAGATCTCATTATTCCACCTAGAGCAACAAGAGACCTAACAACACCAACCATGATGCTGGGACGGCACTTCACCGTCACAACTCCTGGAGCCGATAACACTGAATATAGAAATTCACTTCAAAACACCATTGACAACATTACCAGTGAAACGATCACCTGCTACACTGACGGGTCACTCACAGACTCAGGATGCGGGGCTGGCTATATCATCACAACTGACAACAATAACACCACCCTTGAAGAAAGATCATTCAAGCTCCCTGATTATTGCACTGTTTACCAAACAGAGCTCACCGCCATCATTGAAGCTTGCAAATATCTCTCTACCTATACCAACACACATATCATCATATGGTCTGACAGTCTCTCATCTATACAAGCTATCTCTGCGCTTTCAACGCGGAGTAGAACTACAAGAGACTGTTACGACTCTCTTAATGCACTCGGATCCAACAACACGCTAGAGATACGATGGATTGCAGCACACATCGGATTGTGGGGGAACGAAAAAGCAGATGAGCTGGCCAAGCTTGGTACAACCAGTGAATCCACTTTGAAGTGTCCAATTCCACAATCCTACATCAAGCGTCAAATCGACAACAAAGTCAACAGACTGAATCAGGAAACTTGGTTAACTGACGGTCCCAGACACACCAAACTGACACTCGGCCACAAGCATGCCAAAATCATCAAAAACCTCAACACTACACTCAGCAAAAACAGACAAGATTACAGAACTGCAGTTCACCTCATCACGGGTCACTGCGGCTTAAACAAACACCTTCACACCATTTGCAAATCAAACACCAGTGCTTGTCCTATGTGCGGCGACGGAGAGGAAACTGTCTCACACTTCCTTGGACAGTGTCCAGCTATTGCCCAAATTAGAGGTCAATATTTCCAGGACTACTACCTCTCTGTCAATGACATATTCGACAACCAACACATCACCACAATTGTCAATTTCGCAAACCGCACCAAACGCTTAATTGTGCCGGAAGAGCTGGATCAGACCGGGGTGACTTAAAGTATTATTTCATATGCTGTCTCGTCTCGTTTTACTTTTCCAAACCCAGCTGGCATTTAAGCGTATCATTTTGACTCATATATCATCTTACACCATCCTCCACCAATCACTCTGATTTCACCGGCAACCTTCCCCAAGGTTGCCACACCCCAGAGGTAGGCAGAGCATCTCAATGCTATCCTCTCGTGGGCTATCTTGGCCCAGCCTCTCTTAAAAAAAAAAAAAAAAAGTCACCATGCTGACCCTTTACAAATCTCTCATCAGAAGCCATTTCGAGTACTGTTGCCTCTTATGGAATATTTCCAAGAGTGCAGACGTCCAACAGCTGGACGGGGTTCAGCGCACGTTCACAACGAGAATAGATGGCATACAGCATCTAAACTACTGGCAGAAACTGAAGGCCTTAAATTTGATGTCGTTGCAACGGAGGAGAGAACGATATACCATCATCTTGTCATACGTTGTATGACCCGCCGCGCACGAGGTGCGCGGCTCCCCCTGTATCGTCGAAGACGATATAGTGAAGACGATATAATGAAGACACTATAGTGAAGCGACAGTGGGGGTCACCACGTGATACAACCATCATCCACATGTGGAAAGTGCTGCACGGCAAGTGCCCAAATGATGTCACCATCCAGTTCTCCACAACACTCCGACATGGCCAAAAGACAGTTATTCCCACTTTGATTCACGATGTCAATCCTTCGCATTTCGCCGATCTGTGGTTGCGAGAAGCATTATTGGATGCGCGCGCGCGACCCAGTAGTGCATCGCGCTACAAATATATTCCAGGACCGTCGATGAGTCCAACTCGGCGCGCGTCCTGGTTTGACGGATGTTACTCGTCTAAATTTAATTTCTTCGAAGTAGTGCGCGCCGCTTTCTTCTCGAAATGTTATTGGCCCGATGGCAAGTGCTACGAAGTAGCGCGCGCCGGGCCAGATCATTAACAATGGTCAAGTCCTGGTAGGTTAAAAACATACAAATAAACCATTGAATAGCATGGGAGACAATGCACAGCCTCAAATTATTAGTGCAATGCAGTATGCACTTCGAATAAACCGATTTTGCCTCTAAAAAAGGACTCAGAAAACTAAATTAATTTACTGGGCCGCGCTCAGCCTGTCATTCCGCCAAATCTTTATTCATCATAATAGCCTGGGGTCCTCAGGTAAAAATCAATTTGCCTCATTCTCCCAATTTTGCCTTTTCTGGGTGCCCAAAATGAGCTTGGAAACCCCCATGCAGTTTAAAAACAAAATGCTTTATAGCTTCACATAGCCATGTGTCTACGCGTACTGCGCTTGTTTCACAAGCGAGAGGGCTCTGGTTAGAGCAACTTCATGGCATCTGATCATTGATCAAACCATTGGAGGACTTCGCCGCTTCGACGTGCCGCGCGAACTAGCATTCTTGCTTCCCATCGTCGATCGTTGCTCTGCTTCGCAGAGCAACGATCTCGATGGGTTGACATCGTCAACCAAATCAAACCATTACCTGGCTGTTACGTTACGAGCCTTCGTACAATGTGCACGTCATGTCATGCAGATCTATCACCACGGGTCTGGTAGATTACAGGTAAACTCCAGATTTCAGTAGCACAGTTTTAAATTGGCGGCGCTATCGGACATGTAATGTCCGGCATCTAGCGGCCGGAACTGTTTTGGTACGCCGCGCTTGAAATATTATCGCGCGCACCACACTTATGCGCACATAACTCCATAAAAGATTGTTGACCGCTTCCATTACATATCTTAGGTAGACCCTACATGCAGTGTTACTTTAAATGTTAAGAGTGCGTCAAGAATGTTCCAAATCAAGTAATTTCGTTTCGCACAAACTGTAAGACGCATTTTCAAAGAGACAGAGTTTACATAAATCACTGCCTCCAGGAAGATGCGGAAAATGTTGTACAACACTTTGAAATACATATTTTATCCACTCTTTGTATCATCCCGAACAATTTAATTAAATCATAAATTACAATTAACTAATTGGCACAATTATACCAATTAGGGACAATTAGCTGATTGGCCAATTTTAAAGACGGAACCCTTAGACGAACCTTAAATACCGTATAGTATATACAGAACGTTCAATAGGCTCACCCCCTTCAGGGTGTTAAAGAGATTTGAACTTGCTACTTCTCGAATGTATATTTCAGCGTCCTCCGAGGACGAGCTACTTCAACTGCTGTATTTTCCTGTTAACCTACTATTTAGAGACCATATCATTGCAAATTTAGGAAAAATAGAAACGAAAAGTTTCAAAAAATAGATAAAAATATACCAACTAACAACATCAAATCGATCATAATTTAATATCATACATATCAAAAAACAAGGACTACTACAGCTTACATTATTGTTGTGATCTTCGATTAGGAAAAATTATGGAAAACAAAATCGTCTGATAAATAATACATATAATACACAATCAGAGATAAATATACACACTCGTTTATATACAAGTCCTGCAACAAAAATCATCAGTAATTAATAATTAACACCCAATCAAATCATGATTGATTGAATAAAAACATTCAATTTTCTCTCTCTCTCTCTCTCTCTCTCTCTCTCTCTCTCTCTCTCTCTCTCTCTCTCTCTCTCTCTCTCTCTCTCTCTCTCTCTCTCTCTCTCTCTCTCTCTCTCTCTCTCTCTCTCTCTCTCTCTCTCTCTCTCTCTCTCTCTCTCTCTCTTTCTCTTACAAAAGGTATAATATTTAGTCAAGTCCCGCTTGGAAGTTTCAAGTCTTGAGTTTTACCGCTCGTCTCTTCTTTACATCCTTTCAATTAATTTCACACAGAAACAATCAGCAGGCCATCAAACAAAAATGGACAAAAAACTCGACACTGGAGATTTTGTCCCCAAACCTAATTAACCAATTAGCTAGAACATGACGTCATAAAGAGTCGATAACGTCGTCATAGAGGGTCAATCTGATGCTATCTGTATGTGAGCATAAATGCCTCTACTATGGGCAATTCTAGAGACTTTACACATAGCACTCCGTCCTGTTGTTATTATTGTTATTATTGTTTTAATTTGGTATTTTATTGATAATTTCATAGTGCTAGTTTCCTTTCAATTGTTTCCATGAAGGTGTCATAATTTCGGTTATTTTATCTTATTTTTCTAAACAAGAATATAAAATCTCTCCACACAACTAAAAACAATTTACTATGTACAACTGTAAAACCTTATAAATAATAAAGTTATTAAGGAGTAAAACTAACCTGGAAGGTAAAGTTCTCCCATAAATCCGTACTATCACCGACCACAACTTCCTTAGTGTGATTCGTCAAACCTCTGTGATATCACAGTTATCAGAATTTCAAATTTTAAATCACTAATACCAGATTGGATTGATGACAGCTAAGACCAAAATGATCATTGATTGGACTAAAAATGGTAAAAGTTTAATATTCAAATTCAATAACCTTATGTTTATTTCTTGTATCTTGTTTTTGTTGTCATGACCAGGGAATCGTAACGTTACTTCTGATCTTAGGTGCTCCTGAAATTTATAATATTTAAACAGCTCTGATTTCTGTAGAATCTTGGTTTATAAATTTTAAATTTTATAACACTTTAACTCTATCTCCAAGATTAGATAACTTTGTGAATGGACGCTATATGACTGGTACCCCCCGGTACCAACATCCAACTTGTTTACCAACAAGTATAATATTTAGAGTTAAGAGGTTCCTCAAAAGGTAAGACCGAATTTTAACATTTTAGTGGTTAAAATTAGAATATTTGAGTCATTTTATTAAAGAAATACGAAATTCTGTCCGGTCTACATCCGGGCAATGTATAATCATTTATTCAATTAATTTTGTGACCCTGAAATTATACCGCGACACTCACTGCTGTCCACAGACAAGATAAAACAAAATTAAACCAGAGATCTCAAACATTTCACAAAAATTACCTAATCCTACTAATTAATTAAACACTAATTAATTAAGACATTAAGTAATCTTCTTACCTGGCTGGCGTTGAATTTGACATACAGAAACTGGTCATGTGTAATGGTGTGCATGGACACCCCATCATCAGTGTACAGTTCACCATAACTCTGGCCTGAGGCACTGAGATATACATCCAATACGTAATCTCCCTTCTCGTTACTGCAATATCACGTGTTATACAAATCATATCACATGTTTATAGTGATATGTACTGAACCTTTAAAGTGAATTTTACCATACTCGCCAAAAATAGTACAGGCAATTTAACGTTGAAATGGCGTGGCCGCCAACAACAGAATGCTAAAATTTAGGCGATCAATCCTCGAGTTACACAGTATGTCTCGTCTGTAAATTTATTAATCACAAAAAGGTAAACTATAAGCCCACAAGTTTGCACACTGACTAATGCCCCCTGTATGAATAATGAATATATCTATAAATACATAAGTAAATATAATAAACTCACAATAAACTTATAAGTTTACTACAAAATTATAAACAATTAAATTTAGTAGGTTAACTAACGTTTCCTTAGTGTTAGAGAAGGAACTGAAATGAGTAACTATGATATGTCCGCCCCGTGCGTAGTATGTTTGTTTATCAAGACTAACACTTTGGTTAGACAAACCTGTAGATAATGTGAACTTAGACATGTTATATATGTTGCTAAATATAGGGAGGTGATTGTTTTGTGTTGCCTCCCCACAATAACAACAGCACCAAAAGATGGTGGGTTAATGTATAAAATATACAATATCTATTTAGAGCACTTTTGTGCCATTTTCACCGACGTGAATTCGGAATTATTGAGAAATGTTCAGATTTGTTCAATTTCCAGGAAGGTAAGTACTAAGTACGGTACTTAAAAAAAATTTCGATTCGATTCACGATTAGGAACCCTAAAACTACTAACCATGATCATTAACCCCATCGATGACATTGTTAGGATTGTTGTAGTCGTACCACAGGTCCTTTGGGAAATACACCTCGTGTTCTGTAACCCCCTGAAGCAGTAAATCATTACTAGTTACTAGTTACTAGTTACTAGTTACTAGTTACTAGTTACTAGTTACTAGTTACTAGTTACTAGTTACTAGTTACTAGTTACTAGTTACTAGTTACTAGTTACTAGTTACTAGTCACTTGTCAGTAGATATTATCTTATAGATTACGTTAAAAACGATAACAGTCAAACTGTTTAAAAAAACAAATTTGATCCAAGTATATATTCAGATAAATTTGTTTGCCGGTGTTTGACTGCTAATATGTTGATAACGTGTTGTTATTTATATGGAACGTGTTAACTAACCGGTTTGAGAACGGGAGCAAACATGATTCCAGTACCAAACATGAACTGAGTTTCTATAGACAGCGTGTTCTTATCATCTAGGTAGTCGAAAAAGAGAGGCGATACCACTGTCAAACCTGAAGAGAGGATGATACCTATTTAACACTTTTATATTAATAAAGCACATGTAAATTATATTTGTACATATTTTATTAAACACTCTAAGATAATCCAAAGTAATATTACAAATTAGGATTAATAGATTCTAACAATACCTCTGGTATGGGCGCTGTAAAACAGTGTGTAAAGTGTAGGTAGCAACTTGTATCTCAGCTCAACTGCGTCCTGTATCCTCTTCACGGTGTCGTTACCAAAGTTCAACATTTGTGTCTCCTGAATTAGACGTCACGTGATCAGTGAATTAAGAGTGAACAATACCTGTCACATTTGGAATAGAGAGAGAACTGAGGTTACCATTTCAGCTGTTAAAGGTCACAATTGCACAAAGAGTGCACTAAATGGCGAAAAAAATTGAAATCAGTAACTCAGGTCGATTTTCATTTTGGCGTCTCGGGTCTGAATGTCAATTGCGAGAAATATTTATGATACCTGAGTAATTAGTACTTAGTGATTAAAGTCTAACGTAATGTTACTTTTCCATACTAGGTCACGCTTGGGTGGATCGAATATGTCTTTTCGGTCACGTTTTTATCATTGAGGCGTGTTATAAATACTGGAATTTTATTATTCTATCTTTTATTTTTTAAATGTCCTATTCATGATGAAAATTACCCCGCTCATAACCGAATATATCCAGTAACATTTTAAAGTTGAGTAAACTAGCTCACTACGTTATGTTATTAGCTACTGATCACCCAATTACTACTGATTACCCAATTACTGCTGATTACCCAACTACTACTGATCACCCAATTACTACTGATTACCCAATTACTACTGATTACCCAACTACTACTGATTACCCAATGAATACTGATTACTCAATTACTACTGATTACCCAACTACTACTGATTACTCAATTACCCAATCATCCAAACGTACGTTTTAATTCTGAATTACCGCAGCAAATTTCACCAGAATTTTGAGAAGTAAAATTAAAATTAGTCAGACTCATTTCCTAGAGCTGGCTAGAGGAACAGCTAGCATTGGCCTAGTAACTTGTATCTGACGTCTAGAAATTAAGACAATTTTGATCTCCGTAAATGGTGAATTAACACACGGTACTGCAATTCTTTAGTTTACACAGTTATGAATTCAGACTTGGAACATCTTTTCAGGATTTAAATTCAACCTTTTAAGATGTTGAATTTACATCAAATGAAATGTTGAATTATATGTACTTTCTTTCAGTTATTTTGTTGAAAGTATTCCAAAAAGTAAGATTTTATTCAATGACTGTCACAACTTAAGAATATGTATGAGGTAAGTTTATAATTATATTCCAGTAATTTAAATAAGATAACCCTTAGTCTTAGAGTCAGTTTACTAGACTGGGTCTTATCTCTAGTCCGGTCTGACAGTCAATCTTAATATAACATTAACATTATATAATATTATATTATAATATAACATTAACATTAACATTATATAATATTATATTATAATATAATATAACATTAACATTATATAATATTATATTATATTATATTATATTATAATATAATATAACATTAACATTAAATATAATATTAAACTTACAACTGCGGGATATCTTTTAGCTAGAGGGTAGAAGGTAGCGAGCTGATGCCATCTTACACACAACTCTTCTCCAGCTGAAAAGAAAGGGTGAGTGCCACAATCTTAGAGTAACCAGTAACCAGTAACCAGTAACCAGTAACCAGTAACCAGTAACCAGTAACCAGTAACCAGTAACCAGTAACCAGTAACCAGTAACCAGTAACCAGTAACCAGTAACCAGTAACCAGTAACCAGCAACCAGTTTATATCATGATAATTCGTGAAGGGAATAATAATGGCCGCCTAAAAGTTGTACTGTGTCTGTAACTAATATAAAACGCTTGCACTGCATCCAAACAGGGGTCTAGAATTCGCTATAATGATAAATAAAGTTGAAATGAAGTTGAACAATCATTTGAAACTAACCCTCGTCAGGATCATCTCCGATCTTGTATCCGCAGATATTAGCTCCAACCAATGGAATTCCGTACATGTTGTAGTTCAACATCGCTGAAATAGTATAGAATCATGTTATTATGATAACCACGTGGCTCGGTTACGTTCAGCGGTTCAGATAAATTTATAGTACTTAGAGGAAGTCTAATAGTCCTCCAATAGTACCTGGTACAATAGTACCTGGCTCATATCAATCCTAATAATCAGTTGAAACAAAATGTATCAGATAAACTGAGTGGAGACCATGATCGACCCACTCAAGAGAGCGAAACTGACATAAATCAAAATAATCCCAAGATTTGTCTACACATACCGACGATGGAATGTCTCATATCCTCCCAAGTGGCTTTGTTCTCCTTGATAAAGTGACCAGTATGAACTCCAGAGCCCAGGTATGTGGATCTGCTGAGAAGGAGGGATCGCTGTTCTTTTATCACTCCAGACAGTGCTCTGTAGAGATTGGTATTGTGACGTGGCAGGTTGGTTAGAAATACATTTAATTGGTATTTTAATCCTTTATATTCGATTGTTAAAGATATAATATAATCTCAGGTAGACAAGGATTAGACAATCCCTCATTTGCTTAAAATCAGCTGTACTACTGAAATTTTATTTGAATCCAAGAAAATTTAAAGAAAGTTCAAAGTTCCCAACTCACGCATTAGTGACAGCAGAGCTCTTCCATCCGTAGATGTTGTGCACGTCGTAGTGACGGAGACCTCCGTGGTGGCGCGCACTGGGGCACAACGTCTTCTTCTTCAACTTAGGTACGTTTCCTGGGTTTAATGAGGTTTTTGGAAAGAAGTTGTTGATTTACTTTGTCTGAAGTAAAGAAGTGATATAGTCTGAAGCTTCAAGTAGACACCATGAAAATGGAACTACTACAAAGTTATGAGTCCACAAGTCTGTTACCCGACTCACATCACATACTAAGACCGGTCAGCCGGACAGAGGATACCGCCTGATATCTGATCTGGTGACAAGGCGTGCCACATGACTCCGTCATCGGTCACATGACTGGAGCAAGCATAACGTTATATAAGAGAACGTTGGTAACCACTCCTCATATCTAGACATACAATACCAACCTCTCATTCCTACTACAAATACATTTGTTTACTTTGTTACTTCCAAACTCCTTCCTGCTTTTGCAATAAAGGAGCAATAGTTTTGTCAAGGTTCTACATCTCCACTATCTTCTCTCAAGTTACTGAAACTCTGTACCTCACTGTACGCCACTGACATGTCTCCACAGAGCGCCTCCCTTACAGACCCACCTTCTCCTTCAGCCGACAAGAAGAGTATCTTCTCTTTCTACATCCACGAACCTTCCAACATCAACCCCTTCAACCCCTCCAGCGCCTCAACCCTCCGCAAGACCCACCACGTATCCATGCCAACCCTTCCTGCCAGACCCAAACCAATGGCACTAAATAACAGATTATCTCTAGATAACCTGCACAGGCCTACCCAGGAACTACAGAAACAGCCCTCCCTCCGACCCTTCCTCATCACAGTGCAGAGTAGCACAGGTGATAACACGGTGACTGAGAAAGACACTAGACCAAAACAAGGGAGGAGGTCTGCAGATAAAGTGAGATGGGGAGAGAAGAAGAAAGGAGGAATGTCGAGGTTAAAGGTGTGTCTAGTATCGATCAAGAGGAATATTTCGTGCGGATCTGTGACCGAGGAATCAATGGGAAGGAAACAGCCTGGTTACTATTTTATTTGAATCTTCTTGGTTGATTTTTAGCTTGCTGTAATCTTGTAAATAAATGATCTTGTGTATACTATATAATAACGATCAAATAGATTTTGATAAAATATATTGTGATGAAAAAGTACCCATTTAAAAAAGTACCCATTTAAAAAAGTACCCATTTTAATTTTCTAAAAGTGCCCAGCTATATACTAACTGAGTCTGTAAATAGGATCATCGTAAGAGTCAGTATTTGAGCAGCCACCAACACTCCCATCACTTAGGGTACTCGGTTCATTCTCGTCAATAAACAGCCCAGCAAACGACAGAGCAGACCTGTGCAGTTTTAGTCAAGTTTCTTGTTGAAATAATTTCTCAGAACGTCAGTAAATATATTATCCAGATAGTGGAAGAGTAAGATGAGATTAATAGTAATATTATAAAACTGTACCTGTAGGTAGTTAGAGCCCCCTGTAACCAGTTCAAGGTGGCCGGGTGGAAGTAGTCCGGTAGTGCCGCCTCGCCTCCAGCTACCTGTAAAACATGGTCACGTGATTCAAGACATTCCAATGTAGTTATGTAGTAGTACCTGACTTAGTGGATCTGAGTCTAGAAGCACGTGTCATCAGTGTAGTTATGTAGTAGTACCTGACTTAGTGGATCTGAGTTTAGAAGCACGTGTCATCAGTGTAGTTATGTAGTAGTACCTGACTTAGTGGATCTGAGTTTAGAAGCACGTGTCATCACTGTAGTTATGTAGTAGTACCTGACTTAGTGGATCTGAGTCTAGAAGCACGTGTCATCAGTGTAGTTATGTAGTAGTACCTGACTTAGTGGATCTGAGTTTAGAAGCACGTGTCATCAGTGTAGTTATGTAGTAGTACCTGACTTAGTGGATCTGAGTTTAGAAGCACGTGTCATCAGTGTAGTTATGTAGTAGTACCTGACTTAGTGGATCTGAGTTTAGAAGCACGTGTCATCAGTGTAGTTATGTAGTAGTACCTGACTTAGTGGATCTGAGTCTAGAAGCACGTGTCATCAGTGTAGTTATGTAGTAGTACCTGACTTAGTGGATCTGAGTTTAGAAGCACGTGTCATCAGTGTAGTTATGTAGTAGTACCTGACTTAGTGGATCTGAGTCTAGAAGCACGTGTCATCAGTGAGCTACCTCACTGTTCGGAGAGGAGGTCACAGGGTGTGATTGTAATACAGACATTTCATGATAAAGACTCATCGGTACATCTGCTGCACAGTGCACCGTGCAAATTTATGAATTGTCGTTGAATTAGTTCCACTAGTGTTCTAATAGATGTAAAGCTATAAAAGTGTGGGATTTGCAGTTTACAGGTGTTATTAAATCACATACAATCTTCTTATCAGTAATCGTTTCCATCCAGAAAAACTTGTTCGGAAATAGCGATAACGGTATTTCTTGCAGCGAGGCATGGTGTGATTCAAATGCACTGGGTTGAAATGCACTGGATTGTCGTGGATTTAATAGAATCAGTTCTGTTCTTTTGTCTCGTTCCATACAATGATTTCTGAACGTCACAGTTGCAGCTATTCGTGTCAGGATCGTGTATGCACTACGCTTTATCAGCTAGACTTTTAACGATATTCCATAACTCTTCTTAAAGACCTAAAGCCACAAAAGTGCAGTTTATAAGAGCATCCGAATTTTTCATCTCTCATTCTATAGAAAATTTGTAGATTAAGATTATTAATTCTTATCAGTAATTTCTCCAACCATAAAATCAGCTCGAATAAATAGAAATTTCTTGAAGGAACACCTAACTCACAGCCGGTCGTGCTCCAATGATCTCAGATCTGGAATCCATAATGACTCATCCAATTTTCTAACCATCCAAGACGATGTAAGGTACAGACTGCCACAAATTAATTAAGTATTTCTAAAAATTCCTGACAGGCTTTTCGAGAAGATTTCAAGAAGGATTTGATTTTCTAACTTTTCCAACATAAAATTAAATTTCAGATTGTTGATAAGACAGTCAGACTGACTATATATAGTACATAGTAATTGTGGTTGGTGTCGTCTGCTGACACTGCTCAATCAGCAAGCCGAGAGCTAGATACAAATAGAAACGACCGGTTTGACTCAACCGGCCGTTTCTAATTTCTATTTGTATAGTATATTAGTATATAGTATATATATACTCGCATATATACGGGGGAGCCACATACTCAGTGTGCCTCTGAGAACCGTACTATGTAAAATAAAGCACGAGAACCTAGTAGTTCTCGCAGCCTGGTCAAATCCTAGTTTTAACACTTTACAGGCCATAATCAACCACCTTACCTTGGGTTCATGTCCAGTTAGACCAGTTAGACTAATTAGAACTATTGGAATTGTTAGATCTGTTGCATGATGTGCTTAAACTACCTGACAGACAGACCTACAGGTTAAATAAGCACATCATGAAACCAGTGGAATAACGAAGGGCCCCGCTGTGCGGGGGGCGCCTTCTTAGGGGGCGCCAAATCGTCGTTTGAATGTGGGACAATTTTGAAAAACTGAACTTAGGTACTAGCAAAACTGCGCCAACAGGGGGGCGCTTTTTCGGCGGGGGCGCCAACAGGCAACGTTACGCCACTGCAGGTAACTCTGGCTCAGTAACTGGCTGGTTGTCACTCCAAGAAGCTACCTTCACAGTTATTTTGAGGTGGAGCTTGAAAAATCGGGGGCTGTTCCGTCAAGAAAGTTCGGTCTGCAGTCATGAACTGATATTTAGCAACGCCCATCATTTCTGGTTTATTACCCATATCATACCCAGTGACCCAGAGTATTTAAGGCCTATGGACCATTCTATGGCCAATGGCCATGCATGGTTTGTGATTTTATAATGAAAAGAACCAATAATATAATGAAAGATCTGACGTGAGCAAAGGCAACCTTCAGAAATTTGATGAGATTCATTCATTTTGAAACGAGCTGCGAAGAAACGGCAGGAACAAAAATTTAATTAAATATCAAAACTTGCTTTGATTAGACACGAACGGTAGGCTCCGTAAGAAGAAAGTGTTTTAAATGTTATAAAATATTAAAAGATATTATATAATGTGCAAGTGTTGGCTGCAGATGAAATTACCTTCGCTATAATCGTTTTATTGGCGCTGTCCCTGACAAAGTTGGTTGCATTTTCGTCGTACAGGGAACTGTTCAACTGAAAATAAAGATGTAATAATGTGATGTAAGAACCAGTATCATCTTACTCCTATGATTTACAAAATATAACGGTAAATAACAGATTTCACTCATGAATTATAGAAAACTAAAGGTTAATCATTTAATTAATGATATCAGTATTTGAAGCTTATAAAAAAATGTTGGCGAAACTACACATTTTACTTTTGTTATTACTAATCAATATAACTTTATATTCGTAGATCAGGTAGATAATAATATAGTCTTGTCCAGCAATATTAGTTTAAATTTAACAATTTAAAGTAATTTAATAATAAGTAATTTAACAATAAGCAATTTGATGATCACTATTTTAATAATATTTAATTTAACAATATCTCTAAAGAATAACATACGAGAATAGCAGGTCTTGTGTCCACTAGTAACACTTTCTCCTTGTTATGTAAATCAGATATTGTATCCTCTATATTCGGATATCTTGCTGCATCCACTGTGAACTCCATGTTTTCCTCTAGAGTTGACTTACCTACCCATACTCCGTCCTGTAAGAAATTGTTTAAATTTTAAATTAAGTGTGTTAAAGTCAGAGAGCTTTGCCCTGAGCACGTGTCCAGACAGACAATATGTTAAAGAGTTTATTATATAATATGAGATAATGTTTTGTTATTGACCAAACATTTGTTTGACGTAACCCGTATACACATATAATATCTATATTCGGCTATATGTAATGTAAATCCCCTCTGAGTCGATCATTATCAATAATGCTTCAATTCATATTTTGTCGACAAATTAGCGTGCTCAAATTGGTCACTCCACTTACTGCCGCGACAATTTCAAAAAGTTCCGCGAACAAATCCGCAAAATTATTCAATTTTTTTCCCATGAGGGCTGAAAATCAGGGTCAGATTTCCACTGTTGATGAGTTTCACCATTCCCTTTGTTGCGGCGTTTACCCACAAAGGCAGGGTCAGATTAAGAGCTTTAGAATATGTACAATTTACACTGATAATGATCGTAATCTACCGATTTAGCGATTTTCTCAGACCTAGGACCTCCATGCTTCTATACCGTTACTACTACTTATACAGGGTGTTCACGAAACATTAGCTTCTATAGGCTTAGATCAAAACGATTACTCCTTTACTCTTCCAAAATTTACAGTTTTGTAGCATCAAATTGGCATAGTTAACTTCGAGAGGGCGCCTAATTACCTAATTAGAAAATTTCTGGTCTGTTTCTAAGAGTAATTACCTGGTAATCACCAGTGATCGACCGAGGGCCGGATTTGCGACCGAGGCCGAGGAAGGCATATTTTAATTTAACCGAGGCCGAGGAGAACCGAGGTTTTATTTTTTCAACCGAGGCTAAGGCAGAGGAGTACTAATTTTGACCGAGGCCGAGGAATTTCGGTACAAAAAAGTGACATTAAAAATGTACGCTCTATTATTAAATTGATATAGTTATTGTTTTAATCTTCACAGTTTGTTGCTATCCAAAAGAGGGCTATTAAATGGATCAATGGTGAACCCTACTCCAGTTATAATGACGATAAACTTGCTACAGAGCAAAAGAAGCTAAATATTCTCCCTGTCATGCAGAAGTTTATTTATAACGATCTTATGACCTTCTATAAAATAGTGAATAGCATAATCCCAGTTTCGCTTCCTACTTATATAGTCCTATGCCGTCCAGAGGGCACCCGATACACTAGGCACAATGCTCAAATAATTGATAGGTCGGATACTTCAACTTACATGAGTACCACTGTGCCCTGCTCGGATGCCTTCCGAAATAGCTTCTTTTATAGATCTATGCTGAAATGGAATAGTCTACCAGTATGTATCCGGCAGTCAGAGCGGATTTCTACTTTTAAGGCCAATCTGATCAAGTACCTCTGGGCTGCCGATACAGTCTGGCCAGACTAGTCTCAGAAATGTGTTTTTGTTGGTTACAATTCTGTCCGTCCAATTTCCTATCTGCTTGTCCTTCTTTTTCTTCTATCAGTTGTGACGGAATTGTAATGAACAAAATCCATATATAATTATTTATGATATGTTTGATTTCTTGTTATTGTATGTCATTCAAATTTGGTAGACGGCCCCAACGTTAATGTGGCTTTTGCTATGTGTTGGTTCAGCCGAATTAATTATTATGTAATCAAGTTTATTTTTCTCTTTTAGTTAGTTGTCATCCGGCCAAACATTAAGCAACTTATATTGCAGCACCATTTTTCAATTAGAATATTAAAATATGTCATTGTAATTTTGCATGGCTGAAATGTAACGCTTGATTTGTATATATAATAATTAATTGAATTTTCAAATAAAAAAAAAAGTTTTCAATCTTAAACAATCTATTTAGTTTCAACAAAAGTTGCGTACCAATTTTCCAAAATCGACATTCCTCGGTAAAACCGAGGTCGAGACCTCGGACTCGGTCGATCAATGTAATTAGATCCCCATTATCTACTCATACTTTTGGTTGGCTAAGGGGTTTTCCAAACTTGGTTGGCTAAGGGGTTTTCCAAACTCCAGGGGCTCGTGAAGTGTCTTACACAACCTCTCCGAGCCCAAGATCCGTAGTGCGTGGTGAAGAGCCACACCCTTCTCGAGGTGCCACTGTTAAGCTTAGTAACCTGTTCTGGGTGATTCCAGTTAAAACAGGTGAACGGTAACAGAACACTGCGGCTCTAGACCAGTACAGGTCGAAAAATATAACCGGGACATCTGTCTCGTTAGGACTGCATGCGGTTCATCGGGTGCGAAGGGCCAGCATCCCTTCCACCTCAAATAACAACGCTACAGAAACAACAAGGAAAAACTGTGATAGGAGTGATTCTCGGGATGCAAGGAACGGTGATTCCAGTATGAAGCGGTCTGGGCAAAGCCGCAAGGACCCCAGGACGCAGATGAGAACGAAGAGGTCACCTTATTCCCACAGTGTTATTAGCTCACACATCACCAACGTGGCAGGAAACCGAAAGCACTGGATAGAGATGATACGACATAAGCGGCAATTCCTTGGTGCAGGCCACTCGAATGATTGAGGAGACCTTATCAAGTAAGTAAGTAAGTATCTACTCATTACTGTCTATTTCAAGGTCAACCGAAAGTTTCCAATCTCAATATCCTTCTTTCAAATCTAAAATAATTTCAGACAGCTCAACATGTTGTTTCATTTTATCACGCATAAAAAAGTTGAAAGATAGAGCAGTGGTACCATTTGAGTGCAGCAAATGTTTGCTAATTATTTGAACATTTTCTGAGTATTTCTGCAAACTTATGCAGAAAATGCGGGAAATATACGGAAAGGTATGCAGTATGCACGTCTGCATTCCGCACCTATCGCACCCTAATAATGGTACCTCTGAGGCAGAGTGATAAGACCGTTAATTGGCTCATTATCTTTCCACCAAAATAGGACGGGCGGATGCCAGTCAGACGAATGTAATTCTGTGTTAGATTACCGTGATTAGTACGAACACGAAATAAAATATCCGTATAATCCGTATAAACAGGTAAAGTGAAAAGGCAGAATATCAAATCGTTGATGGGCTCATTATATTTTCATTAAAATAAGAGGGGCGGATGCCAGGGAAGTCCATTGTAATTCTGTTAGATTAGGTACAGTGATAACGGTTAGGATACAACATATCCATTTGATGTGTCCAATATCGTGTTCCATTATAAAATCGTTTAAATATCTCGATAATAAACCAGACTGTCAGGAACTAAAGTCGGTTAGAAAAGCTGATACAATTCAGAACATTTCATCTGTGACGTCCATTTTTAAACCGATTTGCCTGAAACGGTTTTTTAAAACTTATCCCTTATCTAGGGTATGTACATTTTTGAATCCCTTTTAAAATCAAGTGACAGATTACAGATACAATATACATTATACATAGTACATACCAGAGGAAACGTAGAGTTGACAAGAGCCGAGATTTCTTCGTCGGTTTGGAAGTTTTCACTACCAAAATGGTAGCCTAAGGCCCACAGCGGCGGTAGGAACGGTTTTCCAATCTGAAATTATACGGGCTATAATAATAACGATAAAATATTATCATTATGTGGCACAATAAAAGTAACTCAAAGTGCTGTTTTGACTCATTATGTCAGATGCTTATAATTGTTGCTGTGACAACATCGTTGACTTATCCTACAGCTACATTTCGTTTTGTAATTTGACCTGTTGCCAGTAGCTAAATTTTTCACATGCTTTGAATTGAAGTTTGCCAGATAACATGATTACTGTGAAATTCGTGGTGAAAGCGGAAACAGACCTACCAAAAACATGTCTGAGATATAAATTTGGGAGGTATGTATCGTCATAATCATACTGTTAAAACTCAAAATTTTCTCCATGATACCAGATTTAACGATTAAGACCGAGAAAATTGATTAATTAAATAACTTCACACCTTGTCAGAGAATTGGGCCATCACTTCAGCTGGGGTGGGCCCAAGGAAGATGTAGAAATCTAAAATTCCACCGCTTGTGCGGAATGTGATAGAGGGGTAGGGACTCAGGACAACATCTGGAAAATAAAAGTAGGTACAACAGATAGTTTAGTGAGTGGTAATGCCGATATTTTAGATAGGTTAGATAAGCTATTGAAAGGAGCAGTGGAGAAGATTATAGCTTATTTTAGAAGTGCAACACAGTATAACAATGTGCCAGTTGGTACATTAATATGCTAGACAGTGTAATGGTTTAAATCTGACCTTATTTAATGTTATCTTGAGTAGAATAACAGATCTCACGATGTAAATCTCACTTATTTCCATGTAAAACTAACCCATAGCGTTTGAGTTCTGTAGGAAGAAACCACTAGCATGACCATCTTTCTCCACGTGTAGTAAGAACGGGTGCGCGCCGTGTCGTTTCTCGACCGAGGTCGCCCAGACACTTTGATAGTTAAACTCCATTTTGCGGAGTAGACCGTCCTTGTGGTCGCCACTCAGTCCATACACATTACTGGAAATCAACAGATTGTTTATGATTTGAATCTAGTTTGCAAATGATTTGGGGTTCCTTTAATCACTATTTCTCTATCATTACTGACCAATTCGTCTATAAATTTTCTGGAGTTTTCGAAAACAAGGCTTTATTAATCAGTTGCCTAATAACACAAAAGATTTACAGTATAAACGAGAGTATGTAAACAAATATTAACGCAAAATGCTCTCAAACCTTGAGGAAAGTGCCATGTTGAGCTGAAGTAGCTGATCTGAGAATATGAGACCCTCCATAGTCGTGTTAAAAATAGTAGAGGTAGCTTCGTGAGTTCGGGACACTGAAAACCCAAACATTTGACGGGTTATGGTGAGGATGTACTGCATACGGTGGCCAGATACTTCGTGGTGCGAGCTCATAGGGACCTGAGAGTGGTTATTTAATTTCGTCATGATTCATGAATTATTAATTTTGGAAAATCTCATGAAAAGTGTGGTGTAACTTAATATTAAAATAGCCTAGGTCCAGAAATTTTAAACCACAGAAATGAAATAGTGTAATACTGTGTAAGTTAATAGTGTTAAAATGATTGTATTACATTAATAATTGTATTACAATAATTGCGAGTATTAAAGTAAATTGTACCTCATATCTTTCCTTTGCAGGATCAAATATCTTAACTCGTAACCTGCTGTCCGTCTCATAGGATATGATACATTTTAAGGTTTTAACCTCATCAGGAAAGATACTATCTAAAGCATCAATACGCTCCAGATCTATCTCCATTCCCCAAACCTGAACCTTGCTTGTTACAACACGATAACCTGAAATATGTTTCGTTGTATTTTTGCTGGTGTTACTTGTTACTTTATAATAAGCACTATAATGTACACGTACTTGTACATGATGTATTAAAATTAATATTGTAGTTCATTGAACTCACCTCTGCGATTAGAAAATGGGTAAAAACATTCAGGGGAACCAAGAGCGGTGAAATCCCAACATGCCCCCCATTTCAGACACTGTTTCTTTGTTTTAGTAATGTTGAAACCAGCATCTACTCTTTCAAACTTCTCAACAGCTTTACAAGTCTGAAATTGTACAGTGTGTTGTTTGTTATTTGTAATGGTAACTCTTGATATAGAATAAAGGTTTACTTTAAATACGCACCCATTCAAACAGCTACAAATAGTGTATATTATTATTGTTCATAATTTTAATTCAAAGATAAGATTAATCTTAAGATACGATTAAAATAAACTCACAGCTTCATGATCTTCAAGAGGCTTTCTATGTTTTTCCACGCTGGCATAGACAATTGTAAATACTGACAATATAACTAAAACTGAAAAGAATTGTATATTAGATAATAATTAAACTTAATTAAATCTTGTGAATTAAAAGTGATTATCATATAAACAATTTTAGATAAAAAACCGATAACAGTGACAAGAGGCTTTACAAATATAACGAGATCACAATCTTAGATAGGAGTAATGCTACTGTCGGGAATTGATTTGGTGTCACAATGACGAAAATCATGAAATTGTTCCAGCTAGTACCTTAGCTGGTAAAAATGGGCTGATACATTAGACCATGTAGCAACCTTCACTTATGTTCCTTCATAAAAATCATATCAGAACTTTAACTCGGTTAGAAACTTGTCAGAACACAATTAAGGAAACGTAACCAAAGACAACTCTGATGTTTTGGAGAAAGATAACGGCGATAAATTGAGCATGACAAAAAGTTTTTAAAACTCTTTCATGGCCCACATAATTGCTCTTTATAAAAAAATTAAATGATGATTTTTGACACTTGATCGGATTACTATACGTTCAATCCTTCATAGAAAAGTTGAACAATGATTAGAAGTGTGCCATTATTCATTAAGTTAAAGTAAAACAAATTTTTAGTAAAACTTACGAGATGCTAGTATGATGGTTATTTTCTTTTCTTTCGTTAATGTTTTAAACTTTTCTGTTAATCGAGGCTTTCTCCCACTTGATGTTACATTTTCAACCTGTGGTGTTAATTGTTTACAGTAAAATTCGATTTAATGCTGAGTTTGGGGAAAAGAAAAAAGCTGCAGTAAATTAGTGTTGCAGCAAATCAGGGTTGTCTTTGTTCATATTATCTATAATAAACATATTTGGGGGGGGGGGGGGGGGGGGGGGGGGGAAGAAATTGCTTCAGTAAAAGTGAGGTACGGTAAATCCGGGTTCGTTAAATTGAGGTTTTAATGTATTGTAATAATTACATTCTTCAGATCTTAGTAACCTATCAAAGCAACACAAGTTACTACTGTCTGCTATTCATTGATTCTAGTAAACGCAGATTTATCGAAACTATTCTACCAGTCAACAGAACCAAAATTAACTCACATGTAAGTGGGGTATGTGATCACCATGTCCATGTTCACCATGTGCATGATCAGCATCTTCAGAATGTTCATCTTCAAAGTTTGAATATGGCAAGCTCGTTAACTGGTGTATGTTGTCTCCCATTCTGTAGCTTCACATTCCTAATATTGAAGAAGTTTTAAGATAAAGTTTAATCAAACAAAAGTGTAATAATTGCAATGTACATCAAATTACAATCAATTGTGAGGCTCTGACAAAAAAAAGAAGAAAGTACCAAAGTTATTTAGATAACACGAATTGTACATTGCTGTTATGTGGAAATTACTGCCAAACTATCGTCTGAATGAGGGATAATTTTCAAAAACTTAACTTGAGTTCTAGCAAAACTGTGCATTTTGCTCTAGAGACACATTTTTTGGAGATTTTATCAGTGATGATTGTCTAAAATCACCTAAAAGCGACAACTTTTCAGCGGGGGTGCCAACCTGCAACATTTCGCCATTGAATTACAGTGAGCTTTTCTGAACCCTCTGCAGAGTACGGACTTTTATGCAGCGGCGAAACGTACCTTTAATAGTTATATGCCGATCGATCCGGTGATTTTTTTTGCCATCCCCATACAGCTTTTTGCCGCCCCTATACACCTTTTTGCCACCTTCTGGGAGCATTTTGTACCCCCAAATATTTGTTTGCGTCCATTAGAACATTCAAGTAGACAGGATAATACACAAAGAGCTGAAATTCGGGAAAATGCTATCACCCTGTAGCTGTGGAGTCGTTCACATATTACGAAGTCGCTGAGGGGGAGGGAGGGGGTTTCTTCATGATTACGCTAGTGTAATTTCAACGCAATAGCTGTGTAAAACTGATTACGGAGGGGAAGGGGGTTAAAAATGGGCTAATAATAAAATGTGAACGACCCCCATGGTGAACGACCCGCAATGGTGAAATGACCACCAATGGTTGTCATGCCCAGAGTGTCTGTAAAATTTGAGTGCAAATTACTAAATATTCTAACCCAATTTTAACTGCAAAAAATGTTTACTGCATAAAAATCTAAATCGAGTGTGCTAAATCCTATGGCAGTAAGAACAAACTTGAATCGATGCATTTTGGAATGCTAATTCCAAATCACCCAACACGACATCTGGGGTGAAAATGCTTCTCTATTGAGTTATCAGTGAAACACTAAAATCTGACCCCAGTGACATCTAGTCTAGGGATTAGCTAAGGATACATCGAATCTCAGTGAAAGTACACGTCTGTGTAATGAAGTTGTGCGGAAAGTTATTCAAAAAGATATATCCAGCAATGGTTCTTATGAAACTACATGTGGTTAATCACCCTCTAAAGATTTCTAAAAGTATCTTTTTTAGTATTTAAAAAAATGTTTCTAACAGTATACAGATAACTTTAGCAATGGTAATTGTCTAGCTATAAGGATAGACACCCTCGAAAAATTAATAAATCAATACAATGGATTAAATGCTATGAAAATGGTAAAAAATTTTAAAAGCTGGGGTAACAAAATATTTCACTAAATTACAATTCACTAAAAAATAAATGGTAAAAGTAAAAACCACTCATTAGATAAAATTACACAGTGGAGGTTTTCACTGCAAAAAGCAGTTTGGACCATTATCCAACAAGAAAACAAAAACTTAAAGTTAGTTAAACAAAAACTTTATTAACGGCATTTTTACAATCAATGAATATCGTATTATATACATACAGGAAAACAAATTTTTTAAAGGAAAACAAATTTAAATTTTGGTATTTGGTAATAACAATCAAAACATATCATATCATAAAAATAAAGCCGCGCGTTGGTTGACTGCCTCAGTAAGGCGAATAATTTAATCTTGAAGGTGCCCTGCGCATTTACAGAACCTTATGCGGCGATCACATATTCATGACGACCTGTGAGCACCAAATTTAATTTAAAGTTTCTAGAAATCATACATCAAAGTCTAAGAGTTACTCATGCTTTTGGATTATAAGAGTGCGGATTGTCAGGTATTTCATTCATTCATATTTAATCGGTTTAAAGCTGTATATTTAGAACTCACTATTGTTTAAACTACGAAAGCAGAACGTAGATAATGGACAATATACCAACGACAATACCAAAGACCCGAGTGCCGCATTGACTTTTCCGGATCCGTTTTTACCGAAGGCTTATCCACCAGTTACTCATGCTGCATGTATAGTTTGATAATATTTTGTCTTATCTCTAGCAAGCACTGTGTAAATTTAAATGTCGTATTTATTATAGAAGAGCCAGCCAACCTCCGCATTATAATCTTTTGTGTGCCAAGTTCGTTTATAAAATCTAATCATATAATACTTTACTCTACTCCTCCTATCAGTTAGAGAAAAATTTAACTTCCATCCCAAAAATATTACTGACCTAGCCGGTTTGCTATCCGATAAAACACTAGACCCTACAAAATTTACTGCCACAGCAAGAGCAATCCATTCAATTCTCTCTGTGAACGAAAATTTTACAGCCTACTATAAGAGCCCAGATTTCCACTCAAATACTGGCCATAGTCTATGTAATAAGCGCCATGAGTTGGCACAGAATTTTTTGTCTCTGATTTTGATAAATTTGGTACCAAAAGTTGCCTTTAACTGTGAATAATGAAAATTCACCGTGTAGCACGATTCGTTGAGATGTATGTGGGCCTCCTGTGCATTGCAAAAGTGTACTATGGACGAAAAATGGTTAATTTATTGCTTAAAATGCCTATAACTCCTAAAATATTGAATATTTTGAAATAATTCTTACAGAATCGTAATGAGCTTAATCAGACGCAACTTTTGATACCAAAATTATAATATTTAAAGCACCAAATTTTTCGAAAATTTGTTCAAAATTTTACACAAGGGGGGACCCTTGTGTTCAGATTAAAAACTTTTGAAAAAAAATTTCCTTTAAATCTTAAAATATTAGTACTAAAAGTTTCGTCTCGATGAGCTGATTACGATACCATAATAACTATGTGATAATAATTTAAAATGTGAAAGTTATAGGCCAAAAACTAAAAATTTGCGCGAAAAAAGCACGCGCGGCGAACAAGCGCCGTGTAGCATTTTTTCCGAAAATTGCTACACGGTGGATTTATTTTATTCACATTTTTAGACAACTTTTGGTACCAAATTTATCGAAATCGGAGAAAAAAAGTTCTGTGCTCGGGCTTGGCGCTTATTACACAGACTACCAATGCATAATGCTATAGGACCTCAAAAATAGTTTTATAAAACATTTCTATTTTATCCCTACACATCTGTAAATAACTAGAATTGTGTAACCTTAAATTATTTCAGAATTATAACTATTGTGAATTCAATAAAATAATTATCACTTTTGTATCCTTGTATCCTTGTATCCTTGTATCCTTGTATCTTATAATAAGATTGATCCAATAATCTAAGATGAACGGTATATCATAGCTCATCGTTAGGGGTCGTTCACATATTACGTAATCAATATTTAAGCAATTATATAATATAAAATTTAATTTTCCACTTTTTGTAATCAACAAATATTGCATATTTTTATAAATTATATAAGGTCCGTTAGCAAAATAAAGTTGTATCACGTCGTGACCCCCACGGTCGTTTCACTAGGTCCTGACGATACAGGGGGAGCAGCGCACTCGTGCGCGGCGGGTCATACATCGTATGACAAGCATAAAACTGAATAGGGTGGCGGCGCCCGGATGTACCGCAGCTTGCACACACACCCATGCGCGCGCATTGATCCAGCTAATTTTTGTTTTACGTTCTGTTAAGCTTTTAATGCAAATGCAATGCATAAATAAAAAATTTAGACCTAAACATCAAAAACCTAAACATCAAAAAAATTTAAATTAAAGAAAATAACAATCAAAAATCAAAAATTCTTTAACAATATATATAATAACAACATAATGTTTACAATCATAAATATTAGCAAAAATAAACATTTGATGAATTCGAAATTGAACAACGCCGCGCAAACTGATAATATTGAAATGTTATATATATAATTGTCATACGTTGTATGACCGACGCGCACGAAGTGCGCGGCTCCCCCTGTATCGTCGAAGACGATACAGGGTGAAGCGACACAGGGTGAAGCGACCGTGGGGGTCACCACGTGATACAAATATATATTAGGTTTGACATTTTATTTTTAAATTCAAAAATAAAATAAAATAATCTGATGTTTGAACCATGAAAATAATATGCAATTGTAACACAATGCACTACTAGGCGCATGCTGCGCATCAAATAACGATTTTCACTATACCGCAGAGATATGCATACAAGTTGCGGATAACAAACTTTGTTAATTAAGCATGACAATACAATTTTAATTTATTCCTCTGCTCTAAAATTTAGGAAATTTATTAAAATTAAAACGATTCCCATATGTTATAAATCATTAACTCGCTAAAATAATAACAAGTGCTTGAAGCATACTAATTTCTTTTTAAAAGCAAAAGTGGTATTGTATTGACAAAAATTGAGTTTCTTGAATTATGATAGGATATGAATGAATCAAATAATTACTTTAACGTCGGCCTTTTTTTATCTTACTCATTAGTCAAAGAATTTAAGTAGATAAAGTTAATGTACATTACAATTTATGGTAGCTTATCTATATCAATGGATCCAGTAAGCCAATGGATTTGGAAAATTCATCGGATGTATTTTCTGTGTGTACTTATCTAGCATGATACATTTTGAAAAATTGTATGTACTGCGTTAGTAGCTACGGATCCAATAAATCTATGCGACATTGGACATATTCTGTAAAATGTTTCCTCGGCATACTCATCTGAATAATCTCATCTACATTGTCGTGTACTGTGAACACAGTACTATTCTACAGTATTGCTAGAAAAAACCTATCTTCGCTAATCATTTCAGGCCTTTATCGCAGTTATGGTCATATTATATGTCTGTGTTCCGTTGACCTTGTGATTCAAGAAAACAACAATTTCAAGAAAACAACAATTTTATTTAGTATCAATTAAAGCAGACAAAAACATATTTTATATATATATAACTAGCACGAACTTTAGATCAGATATCTTAGGGGACTTGGAGTAGCAAGAGATTGACTAGAAGGTATATACCTTTTACAAAGATACGTCGAGAAGAATCCAGGGTGATACAGGATCGGAGAGTGCAGACCAAAAGTTTACGCACCCACCTTTGCCTCCTGAGTTCTTGGTTGGATAGAAATTTATGCAAACTTGGTCGTTTATACTCCAAGTCCCTTTCTTAAAAGAAGTAGTATTAACTATGTCTAGAGTTAGCTTCGTTCAATAATAACAATATCAATATAATCAATATCAATACCAGATAAACCTACCGAATAAATTATTAAATATCAATTAATTCATTCCGATAAGAAATTTTATAAATTTAGATATTTAGTATCTAAAAACATTACAACAAATGGTTAAAAAGCGCCCAAAATCGATTTGAAAGATTTTCTGTCTATAGTACAATCATGATAGTAATAGTAAGTGTGTGCCGCTGCAATTAGATTTGAAGACTACAATTTAAAATTGTTTGGAGTCCAAGTATCTTTTAAGTCAGCTGCCTGTGCTTGTATTAATAGTGCTTTTGTTCTCAGTTTTATCAAGCTAATGGACGGTTCTAAGCAATTGCTTGAATTTAACTTAAGCTTGGCTGCATTAAACAAAAAGGTATTTGATTTATTCACGAGAATAACAGTGAGACTCGTTGCACGGTTTGAAATGTTGATAGCCTCATAAAGGGAGTATGGGCAGTGGTACTTGATAATCTTAGAAAATTCTAAGATGCAGTGATATTTGTACAAGTTTGTGTAGTATTACAAAGTATATAGCCCTTCAATACACTATTTTGTACCAGGGTATGATTTTATATGGCCATGGTGCTTAGTTATGACATTACGGGTAGCACTTATATCTCTTTTTGGACGTAATTTACATTAAAATTGGTAGCAATGGACCATTTCCCCAGTTTATAACTGGGCTCTACCCATTGCATTTGGTTGATGTAAAAATTTGGTTGATATACAAATTTTTCTCAATAAATATCATCTATCCCTTGTAGCTCTTCTTCTCAGGTATCACTTATCAGGTTGAAGGAGACACTGAATATAGGGGTGGTCCATGCCTTTGCCTTCTCACGTACACTTCTAACTGCTACTATAACTAGCACACTCCTCATAATATTTGGTTGATGTATCATTTTATAACGTATTTCGGCTCTTCTTTATTTGTTAGCTCAAATGTCCGTTTCCTAGATCCAAAATAAAGATGTTCTAGCTTTTCAAAATCAGTACATTCTTTACATTTGTAAGGTTGCATTTTGAAATTTTAGGTGTTGGATGTGGATTTCTCTATACTGGATTTTGAAAATCAGTAGACATGCACAGCACCAAGTTTATCAAGAAAACCAGTACTGTGTTTAAAATAGACTTCAATTCAGATTTATCAAACATTTGTTATTTTTATTTATTACTTATTTTATATAGTGTAATGATTAACAGCGAATTTTAATATCACAATTACAATTTAGGATGACTACTCTTTTAGACCACCCTGATTTGACACCTGAGCAGAGGAAAAACCTCATCCTCAATTATCTACCTCCTGACATTGATGAAGAATACCTCAAATCCCTGTTCTCTAGATTAGGTGCTGTGGAATATGTTAGAATCATTAGGGACAAGGCAACTCAAAGAAGTATGGGTTATGCATTCGCAAAATATTTTGACACCGAACCTGCAGATAAGGCTGTGCAAGAGTTTGATGGTCTCCAAATTGGAGAGAAAATAATGCGTGTCAACTATGCAAGGCCTCCATCTGAAAAAATAAAGAACACCAACATTTACATTGCAAATTTCCCTACTCATCTGGTTGAGGCAGACATCACCAAAATGTGTCATGAGTATGGACGCATCATCTCTTATAAGCTGCTTTTGGATGCTAATAACCAAAGCAGAGGGATAGCTTTTTGCCGCTATGACACTAATGAGGAAGCACTTAGAGCTATTGAAGGTTTAAATGGAAAGGTTCCAGCTGGAGGCAGTCTCCCCCTTCAGGTAAAACTTGCAGACAAGCCCTCAGAAAAGTACCAGAAGATAGAGAACCAAACCAACCACATATTCACCATGAATCAGTCCTTGAGAGACAATCTCAACGGAGCATACCCTCAAATTCAACAGAATTTCCATCCTTTGATGACTACTCATCCTTCAGGTGGGCACAGGAATCTTATCTTTGCAAGGGATCATCCTTTGTCAGGTCACTTTTCCCCCATCCAAAACACTATTCCCCCTCAACTGCAAGAAATTGCTCGGTCTGCTTACTCCCCTCTTCAAGGATGGTGCCTGTATCTGTGCAATCTCGCTCCTAACATGAATGAACATGGTCTGTACAAGTTGGTTGCTCCCTTTGGAGCCATTAGTAGCGTGAAGTGCATGTCTAACCCTGATGGAACATGCAAAGGAATTGCATTTGTCAACATGCCCCATTATGAAGAAGCTGCACTTACCATCAAAGCATTGAATGGCACTGCAGTTCATGGCAATCTTATTCAAGTTGAGTTCAAGAAAAATTCCCTCAAAGCTCGACAGAACTAATATTTCAAGTGAGTAATTTACCCTGCTTTATTGGTAGTCGTCACTGCATGGTTTGTGTATGTGTTCACATAACTATCATAATTAAAGAGGCCTGATTATTTTGTTTGATTGAAAGTAATAGTAATTAGAATACAAAAGTTATCAAAGTAACAAAAGTTTGAGGAATTGAATATTATTGTATTATGATATTTGACCCTCAGGCAAGCTGTCCACTGTCTGGAGAATGTATCTCTGCAACACTGTCTCCATTTCAGCGGTATTGTGTTTTACCAATTTTAGCTTTTCAATTCCTATATAATGCAATCTAAAACTTTGTAAACTTTAGCTTGTCTATTGATCGAAGGTGTGTGTCAGAGCATTCCTTTAAGTTTGTTAAAATTGGTCAATTTCTTTTATCAAAGATAGTTATTTGGATTCTGGAGGTATGATGATGCAGCCACGAATACATTTTATACTGCTGTAGTGTATTTTGAAATATTTCGGAAACAAACTTTGCAAGTTTGGCCTGTGGTATATTAAGGGTTTTGTATCGTTAAGGTGGCACAGCTTAGCTAGTGGGCATAATTGGTTATTGAGTGTGCTTATGATTTTCATTATCAGTTTGCCATCTGTTGACAGCAATTAAATAATTGGATTCAAATTTTAGCTTTCATATCCATAATTTTCAGAAAAGTTATTTAACTGAATTAACTTGAAATTTTACAAATGCAATTGTTAATTTTGGGATAGTGGTCGTAATTTTACCATCCAATGATGATTTTGTAATTTTCTATCCATTTTCACAAGTTTTTATAAGTTGTTGGCAAACTTCTACCCATTTATGAGATATGAAGTTTTACATTCTTTTAATGTATCAAGTGGACAATGTTACAATCTTTTGAGTTAACTCCATATTTTCCACTTTTCTAAAGTCTTGGCAAAACTACTAACTTTTCAATTAACCATTGTTAATCTTATTTTATGTAGTGCATGTTGATGATGATGAAGAAAAGGTTTTTTGCTGTTTCACATAAATTATAAAACAAGCATTATAGATAGAATTTCATTTAAATGGACTGTAATACCAATGGCAAAACATTCAAAACATTTCGTACTTGTTATGGTGACCCAATTTTTTATATGATCGGAGCTCCAATTCTAAAACTGTAAGTTTGCATGAACACATGTTTTTAAGAATAATGACAAGACATGATCTAGGTAGTTGTATAAAAATATGTTTAAAGGATAAACATTTTTCGTTAAGCCACTTATTGAAAAAGAGTTTTCAACTGACTGACCAAGGCCATCATGTGATGTTTGGTTTTAAAAAGTATTGGGCCTTTACTGTCAGTGTAACAAAGGAAAATTGTTATCATATCATTATATCATGAACGTAGTTTAGCTTCTATTCGTATGATGATTATCTTCCGTTGTTCTCTTTAATTTTGCAAGTTCTTAGCTATGTAGTATGAAATTGAAGGTGCTTGAATGGTAGAACTTATTTTGGTGGAAAGTATTTAGATTGTAATAAGTTTAATCAACTTAACAAATTTTTACTTTTTTATCATTTTTAATTTTAAATTGTAATATTTTGTTGGTGCTTTTGAGAGGAGGTTTATTGTATTTAATTCAGCTTTTCATTTTGAGTTTGGTGCAAATAGATAAGATAAAGGAACTGCCAAAGCTACATCTGCTAAATAACTTTGACTAACAGGCCCTTTTAAAAACTGCAATTGACTTCAGGGAATGATTTCATGTTAATTATATCTGTTCTTTTATCGACCCTGTAGATCAAATTAGAGCCTTAAATGCCAGGTTCTTCTGAGAAGTCCCCAATAACATGTGTTACGAATATGTAGTTACAATATCTCGCCATGTCAGAGGATAGCTGGCAGTTCCAACTATTGTTTGTTCCAAACTATAAAAATGTTGCTACACGAATTGTTGTTAATTAAGTTATGCTATCTCAAAATATTGATCTTCAGAGTCCGAAGTCTTTGTTCTTTTATCAATAACTGCTAGAGTACTAGCTAGTTTTTCAAGAGAACTTTGGCTTACAATGGACATTATAATATGCTATATAAAGTTCACCGGCTGTTCTAATAAGGTAATGGAGGACACTTTACTATCAGATTATGGCAAGGCGAACATTTTTATTGAAAACAATAGTATTATTTTAATACACCATTATATCAGAAACTTATCCGAGGGAAATTGAATCGGCACTTCTATTATGATCGGAACCGAATTCAAAGTTTGACTTAAAACTGACAAAAATTACTCTCAAGTTCCGTAATTATTCATCTTCAATTTAGATTATAGCTTGGGACCATGCAGGCATCGTTATCATGTCCTTAAACAAAAATTGCCAGCCTCTATTGCCTTGTCACAACAGCTGGTGAGCTTGATATGATAATATTTTAGAGCTTAGTCAAATACATGGAATACATTATAGTTTTATGGATTAATACAAAGATATGAGGCACATACTATAGCTATGGTTAATATGGGAATTATGATTTGCTAATATAAAACTCTTGTAGCCAGGATGCATGAAGTCTTGCAAAACATCGTTTGTGACCACCGTTTGTTAAATATATTGCGAAATGAGTAACTCTAGTACATTATAGTGTTATCAATTATACTGCTTTTGCATTATAAAAACAGTTTTTACTGTTTTCTGAAAATTACAGTTCAGTGTCAGTTACTTTTTTTGCTGTTTGAAATAGAAATATTGGCGACTTTTTAACAACCAGGTGGTTAACAACACGATGTTTGAAAGATAGTCCTGCATCTTATATGATATGGATGATATGATATGATTTTACCTTTACATATAATAAGTTCTTAATCTTATCGACTTACTTTATCTGTATGTAATCAAGTATTGATATATCTTAACATATTATTCTACTCTACTTATCTACTTATCTACTTATAGATTATTAGTTATTACTCTTTATAATAACCAAAAATATAAAAAAGTATTATAGCATCTTTTCTTTATTGACTTGTCCTGATATTATTTCAGTGATAAGTTGAATTCCTAATCGTATGATATTTGTCTTAGGTGCTCTTTCCAATAAAGGTGTAAACTTTCTAAAAATAAATCACCCATAATGACAACGAATGTCTTATTGCGACCCGGACCACAAATTAAATGTAATTTGAAGTATCTTAGATGAATGAAAAGATCCCTATAAATAACTTTACTAGCCAATAGCTGATACTTCATAGACATTTATTTTTGAACTCAATTAACCTCGAATGCATCGAAGAAACCTTTATTGGCCGGTGCTGTAGTACCGAGTGACCTAAGGCAATTATACTATGATAGATAGTGTTGATATGATGATAAGTTCTTTAAAATCTTAAAAGCTGCGTTAAAAGTTACAATATTGTTCTGTTGGTTCTTATCAAGCTTTCTGTTTCTACGTATTACCTATCTAGTAAAAATATTAAAAAATATTTATCGCTCTCTCTACTTTATGATATGTTATCATAGCATATAATACGTTTTCGTTAAAATATTATACTATTATCTTATCATTATATCAATATATAATATATCATATTACTATAATCGCTTTTAAAAACACTGAAGTTTTATTTGGATTCAAGACCAATCTTCAAAATCACCGAATCACAACATCAACAAACATGGAAAATACTCCACATTTTGAACTTAAAACCACATAAATTCATAAAATAATATTATTATCTTGTACACTAAAATACTATTTACTCCAATATAATCTATAATATAATATCTTCTAGCTGTGGTAGTAATGCATAAGGCGGGCTTTCCTTACCCCAACATGCCACCTCCACCGATGAACCCTGTGCCGGGACCACACTCTGACATTGACGAAACTAATTTGTATGTCACCCAGCTTCCTGAGGTTTTCTCTGAGATTCAACTTCATGAGCTCTTTGGAAGATTTGGCCCAATTGTTTCTACAAGGGTCATGAAAGACCAATGTAAGCGCTCTTCAGATAATGACAAACCGTCATCAACGGAATGAATATAATAATACTACATATTTATTATTTATGTGCAGATCATAAACATAATATTTATTATTTATTCGATTAAATGATTATCGATTTTTGCACACAAAAAAACTATAACATAATATTATTATTGCATATTATGATTATTCGCATATCATTATTATTCTTTATTAGGGCATGATTACCAACTGTGCATAGACCCAAATTTCAATTCTGTCAAATTTCAGCTGGGAAGAGTCGGTGTAAAGGTTTTGTGAAGTTTGCGGAGAAGATCCACGCAGAACAAGCCCTGAGGGAATTGCACGGTTCCTGTCTTTTCAGCCCTACTGAGCCTTTACAAATCAAATTTGCTAACCGATCAGCCTGTAAGTTACAGGCCCCCTACCCTACCTACCCGTTCCTCTTGGTATTTTCTAGAATAAATCAGGGGCTCAGCTCGATCAAGTATCCTCACTTTTATTACAATCAAAATCTGTTGAGCATAAAACTTTCACATCAAAAATGGGTTGACTCACATTCAGACGACCATGCATTTCAAAGCACCGAACATGCACCATATTTTGAAATACCAAACAATTTATTGAGTTGTGGAATGTGGGTCCACACACACCCCCGTCATCGCACATCATTTTTATCGAATCCCTGATTTCATGGGCAACCGTTGCAGTTGTTACAATCGTCGATTATTCTGTGGGGAAGGCTTGGACTTGTGATATTGCTTCGCTATTTAACAGTTACACCATTGAAAAAATTACATTTTCAACCTGAGCTAGGCGCCATCAAGTACAAGCTGTTCACCGATAAAACTGATAAGAGCTCATACTTACAGATAATTGAATCATATCGGAACCCAGATATTATTGGAGAATATTGTAGTATTTTGATTTCATTTAACTTTAAAGTATTTCTTATCTAATGCTCTAATGAAATATTTGATGTCGATGTTGTTCAACATTAGATCATAACATTTGAAATTTTAATATGCCTGTATAAATTTATTCCTAACGCAGAAGTAATATCACCACAAAATACTATAACTGTAACGTACCATTTCAAATCGCTTTAAATCACGCTCATCCTCATGAAATACACTTTTCAATCTGTAATCAAATTACAACTGATCGAGTACTTGAAATGAGTACTTGGAAATGATAAGTTCAAATACAAGTGCTATAATTCTCACAATAGTGTTACTATAGCAGGAGGAGTGTCCAACATGCCCGGTCGTTTCAACAACCAAGAATCTGGCGGACCGATCCGAAACCGCCAAAATCCCTCCAACAGGTACAGCTCTTTTGAGACGTTTTTAATTTATAGGTGGTGATCAAGGTTTAAAATGATACGGCAATCGGCCCATTTGTTATTTAAACTCCCTGCTTTGCTTGTGTAAGCGATTAATTAATAAAAATTGAACTATTCCTATCACAGGTTCAATCCGATGGGTGGACAAAACAACGGTCACAACGGAGACGGTCAGGGTTATCCTAACTACCCTCCTACAAACGCACCTGTAAACATGTACAATCACCCTCCTGACCAAGCCCAACGACCCCCAAACCCGGACCAGCCCCCTCCCAACCATGATATACCCGCTCCGACCGAGGAAATGATCTCTAACTGTTTCCATCATACACAAGGTGAGGTTTTTAATGGTAGCTTAGGACTGGTAATGTGTTATGTGTAGTTAGGCTCATTTAACTAGCTTTTAGAAGTTGTAATTGTTGTAATTTTTGTTAATTTGTATTGTAGGCAGATTGTAAAATTAATCATCGCATAAACAAGTTGTTCAGAAAGTTTCTTCTTTCAGGATGGAGTCTGTACATTGCAAATCTAGAGGAAAATGCAGACGAGCTTGCCATTTTTAAGTTATTTTCACCCTTTGGTGCCATTTCCTCAATTAACGCCATGGTTGACTCTGAGACCGGTAAAAGCAAAGGTTTTGGTTTCGTCAACATGCCACAATATGACTCCGCCTTCGAAGCAGTCAGATTGATGCACGGTGCCCAAATAGCACCTGGCAAGAATCTAAGTGTCAGTTTTAAGACCAACAGAAGAAACAACCACAGATATCCTAGCAGCTCAGGTGTCAAGTTGTGAACTTGACCTCTCCTGTCGACAGGAGTTGTTGATGGTTATTCACATCTACTTTGTGAGACTACTGCGTGAGCTGGCCTTGGTTGTAATCTATTTATATCATGTTGGGTGCCAAATTGACCGGTAATTGGATTATATTAAACTCTTGCAAAAGGATACAGAATACAATATAAATATAAGTAATAATATTTAATTTTAAGTAGGTTTTTTTGGTTCTTGAGAGTAACTTTCATGGGCACGTTAATTAATTTGTTTGCTTTTCAGAAAACTCTAAAAATCAGATTTAGATTTCGGACATTAGATCTTAGGCAATGTGGACTTCTTCATTATTGAATCAGTTAAATATTACTGAATTTATCAAAATATCTACAGCTACTCTTGCAGTCGGACCTTCGTTATTCCCAGCAGGCAGAGTAGAAAGTTTTAGTTAATTCACTCTTTAGAACTTTAGAACAGAAAATATAAAGATAACCTCGTTCGTGCTGGTTATTCAGATAGTCACAATAGAACTTGCCTTAAAACTGACATCTAATGACGATTCGGTGCTGACTGTAACGTTGATTAATTCAAAATTTATGCAAAAATAGCTCAATAAGATCCTTTTAGTTGTGAGCGATAGTTGAATTTTAAGCCTTGATATAGAGGTCTGACTGTAACATTCTACTTTAAGCTTTTATCTTCATGCTACACTCTTTAAAGCTCTTATACGTTGAGGAAAGTCTTGGTTTGGTCTAGTGCGGATATTGGTTGGGCAACTTTACAGTTGACACGTTAATCAGGGTAGTAACAGTGTGGTAACATATTGTATTACATGGTAACAGTGTGGTAGCAGTGTGGTAACAGTGTGGTAACATATTGTATTACATGGTAACCGTGTGGTAACAGTGTGGTAACATATTGTATTACATGGTAACAGTGTGGTAACAGTGTGGTAACATATTGTATTACATGGTAACAGTGTGGTAACAGTGTGGTAACATATTGTATTACATGGTAACAGTGTGGTAACAGTGTGGTAACATATTGTATTACATGGTAACAGTGTGGTAACAGTGTGGTAACATATTGTATTACATGGTAATATTAACCTGCTGAGTCACATACTCTGTGGAACACTAAAGCACAAAGCAACTAAGTAGAAGGTGATCTGCCAAAAATCATGTTCCTAGCAAGATATTGTATTGGTTAAACCTGAGAAACTGACTAGCAATTATAACCTGGTCATATCACGGATAACCTGGTCATATCACGGATAACCTGGTCATATCACGGATAACCTGGTCATATCACGGATAACCTGGTCATATCACGGATAACCTGGTCATATCACGGATAACCTGGTCATATCACGGATAACCTGGTCATTATATCACGGATAACCTGGTCATATCACGGATAACCTGGTCATATCACGGATAACCTGGTCATATCACGGATAACCTGGTCATATCACGGATAACCTGGTCATATCACGGATAACCTGGTCATTATATCACGGATAACCTGGTCATATCACGGATAACCTGGTCATATCACGGATAACCTGGTCATATCACGGATAACCTGACAACTACAAACTACTTTTGTAAGTCTGAATCCCAGTACTACTACTCTGTATACTGTAGAGCCCGGGAGCCGTTATCAGACTAGTTTAAAAGGAGCCGTTATCAGACTAGTTTAAAAGGAGCCGTTATCAGACTAGTTTAAAAGGAGCCGTTATCAGACTAGTTTAAAAGGAGCCGTTATCACATCAGACTAGTTTAAAAGGTGTAAAATATTGAATAATACCACCTCTCTATAATACTATACTTACATACTTAATCCCCACACCATAATAATATATGTCTAATCTCATAGTTAATGATAAAACTTGTCTAGAATAGCTTATTTTGTGTACCAAAAAGTCACTGTATTGTTGACTGTATGCTCTGTGTGTGTGTGTGTGTGTGTGTGTGTGTGTGTGTGTCTTTTTAGCTTCTTAATATTAAGAAGTGTATTCAATAACGCAGTGATTTTGCTGATACTCATAATATTTATATTGCATTATATTATGATTAATATAATTAATAATTGATAATTTATTAGTTTACTGTAATATCATGTGCTATGAATCTTGTTTTGTATTGTAATTAATATGCTGCATTAAAAACTGCTAAAATAGAGTCTGTAGGGTGTGGAGTGTAGAGTGGTTATTGTTTCAATATTATCTCATCAAGTCATGCTCAGTTATATCATATTATCGTACTTATCAATGGTGAAGGAATGCATGCTTTATTTCCGATTTGATCATCGTAACGTTGACGTCTATCTTGAATGCTTACTTTAAGATAATGCTTACTTTTACATTTTAAGCTTAAAGAAATGCAAAGGAAGTTCTTTGCTCCTCCATCAATTTTATCATGAACTTATGATAGGGCATTAGACTTTATTTTTAATTAGATGTTACAGTGAAACCCCGATTTACCGTGGTCCCCAATTTACTGCGGGTGTTTCCTTTACTCCGCGGTAAATCGGGGTTTTACTGTACTATGACGTAAATGACATTTTCATTAGCATCAGTATAACGAGTCGACCATATCAATAATTACAGCCCTCAGACCAATCTGGACACGATGTCTAGTAACAAATAACTACTGGGTATGACCTAAAATAAATAGGCTAAAGCCTGTGTCATAATACATCGTTCATACATTTTAAAATTATATAGTGAGTAGTGACAAGACATTGACAGAATAATAAAATTAAGCACTAGCCGGCGAATTTAAATTGCAATGAATATTCACTGTGCATTGTAATGAGTATTCACTAGCGCCATATCCTACGAAAATTTTCTTCTAAAATAAATAAATAAATAAAGTCAATTTTTACAGCACAGCAATATATATCTAAATATCAGATCCTCTGTAATCATAATGTATAAAAAAAGGAGCTTTACTCTGTGCTGAAGGATGAATCAAGGCAGATCATGGTTCTGTTAGCAGGCCACCCTAAAGCAAAAGCATTTTCCATTGCATTGGGTTATACTAATTTTGTATTTTTGCATTACACAACGTTTCATCTTTCTTCATATAATTACAGTAATTGTAAATTGTAGATCCGGAAACGATACAACATGTACATTAGGCACAATAATGTACAATATTCCGTACATTATTCCGTAAACTATTACAAAAGTAACCTAACTGTACATGTACCTACATCATGGAAGTTACCAGCATGAAATTATATAATGGTCGGCTCCTAATCCACGTAATTGAGGGATTCGTATTTCAGTTTTTAATGCAGCAGCAGAAATATTGTCTAAATCTATATTATATTTATTACAGGTTTTAAAATATAGTATGTTTATATAATTAAAAAGTTTAAACTTAAATTAAATGCTTCGGTACTATCGAATATAATATTGCAAATATGATATCAGTTGTTATGATTAATGTGGATAATAATTTATTTGTTTCATATTATAATAATAATATAATAATCTTCCATTATATGATTAATGTTCGAGGTTTTAGTCGAATCGTGGCGTTTTTATGACTATTAATTTCAAAAGAAGGATCAATTCTTGCAGTTAGTCACATTGTTAGCTAGTCATTAAAATTCTCCCCACATCAAAGCACATCAAACGCATACATATTATGTCAATCCTACAACAATCTTTTCTATCAAATAGTTATAGATTATCGTCAATACTCTAAACCCAGTATTTTTATATGATTGTTTCCTTTTACTGTAGTATACATATCAGTTTTAAATAATCATTACTTCACAATTTTACTGAGATGACTTCTGGTCAAAGCATAAAATATTTCAATATAGATATTGTATCTACACTATACTCTCTAGGTAGAAACAAAAGATAATACTATTTATACGTTTATTACAACCTACATACCTCATTTTGATTATCTAGAAGAATTCAACACTATTATGATAATATAATGTGTATTATCATGACATTCCGTGATACATTCACTCTATTACATGGACATTTACATTTTACACCATATTATCAAGTACTGGCTTTAAGTGATCATTTCTCAAGGAATGTGCCAATTGCCATGGTGGTGGCAATCATCTGAGATCTGAGTATGGATTATCCAGTCATAATAAAGTTAATCAATGACATATTTTCATCACTTTCCACACAATACCAAATACCAAACATTCCATCAGTGCTTCACTTACCAGAGTTAAAACTGTATAATATCATATTTTTTCTCGGATAATACTACTGTTTATCTGAAAATATGTCCTTTAAAAACTCTTTACTGTTTAGGATAAAGAACAAGGTTTAAGAATGGCCGATCGCAAAGTACTTCAAGTGACCAACATAACACACAGTGCCTCAGATGCCGACTTAGCAGATTTATTTAGCGTTGCCGGAGACGTTGCTAGGACCTCTATAATACAATCAGGATTCCCATACTACGCGTTTGTGGAATACTTTAGCCCCCACGATGCCATGCGTGCACTAAACTTGAACGGAAAGTTCTTTGGACCTTCAAAGATAACTGTAGAGCTTGCAACTCAGCCTTTTCCTCAGCAGCCTCTGCTCGGAGCAGCTCCTGGTATGAGAATGAACAACGATCCAGTCTTCAGAAGACCAATAATACCCGATAATGATCTTAGACCAATCCAAAACAACATGAACCCTATTAATATCCCTAATAGATCGATAGTAGTTCAACTGAATAAACCGACCAACATAGCTCCCGAACATGTGACCGAGGTGTTGCTGACCAACATTCCTGTCTCTGTCAAGGAACATAACCTCCATCAGATATTTTCCGAGTTTGGTGTCGTGGTTGATGCCGTCATTGTGAAAGATGCCTCAGGTCTGACAACTGGTCGAGGTAGTGTTTCTTTCGCTTCAATGGAAAATGCAGTCAGAGCAGCTTCCTCCATGGACGGAAAGATGTTGGAAGGAGGCCATGCTAGGTTGATGTGTGTGGTTAAAGATAACCACATGATGAATCCAGGCAACAATGGACCTGGTAACCGTGGAGGACCCGGTCCAGTCAGGGATTTAAGAGCCAACTTATCTAATAATAATAACTCAAATATTCGACACCACCCGTACCAGGGTAACAATATGCCCAACCCACCCCACCAACCGTTTAACAACAATGCTCCCCCCATGTTTGGACAAGGACCTCCCCCTGGCCCTCCTCAGGATCAATTCCATCAACATTTTGATGCTCCTCCCAACAACATGAACTCTCACTCTACGTTTAACGTGCATGGTAGAGAGCCCCATTCACTTACAACAGCCCCCAATGCCCCGGTTATACAACAGCAAGCTGCTGCTGTTTACGTTGGGAACCTCCCTGAAACAACTTGTAGAAACTGCCTGCTTTATCAACTATTTGCACCGTATGGAGCTGTTTCCTCTGTTAAATCTATGGACGTGAAGGCACCAAGAGAAGATGTCAAGTCAAATTGGTATGGATTTGTTAACTATAAAGACATCAGCTGCGCTAATGTAGCAATTCTCACACTGGACAAAAGCACTCTGGATGGACAAACTCTGAAAGTAGTTATGAAGACTGAAAAACCAGGATTTAATAAAGGTGATAGAAGAAGTGGTCCGAAATTTGAAGTTAGGAACAAGTTCTAATGTTATAATATAATTTTATCTGATATTTATTATCAAGATGTTTTTATAGTTATCCAGTTATCTCTAAAATAGTATATTATCAATGATTTTTAGTGTACTTGAATAGCTTTACTGTTATTGTTTGACTTTTGGTCAATAATGATCGATTAAAAACATATTCATTTAACTTATTGAATAGACCATTTCCATAACAGATTTAAGACGCATCAAAAGACAATGTTTGAAATTTTAGCTTTCAACCGTGCGCGTGGCAAGAGGTCTGTGTCATTATTTACAAACAGAGAACAGTATCTAGAAATATTTGCACCCTTGTTTTATTGGAATTATAAAGTTTTTCATTCTTTCAATCAGCGTTGATTCATAAATTCATGTTATTTTTTATTGACTACAAGTGACCTAATATTTAAATGATATTCATTGCTTTCATTGTTTATCTGGTTCAAAATTATACGGATACGGTAAGAAATTCCATACTGTTATGTCTCCTATTATACTACTTATTGACTTATCATCCAATGCAGTTCCCAGTTTAGACAATGATTGATGACATAATGTATTAATATGTGTTTTTTTGAAATCCGTGCAAGATGTATCTTAGATACTATTTTCTGTGAATCTTAAATTGGTTGTCCTTCATCAAAATTACTCAAATTGATTTTATTTTAAAACTATTTCATTCCAAATGTTCCATTTTGTATTCACTCTTTCATACCCTCTGGGATTACACTGAAAATTGAATTACACAATATACTGTACCTATTATTGAATGATGTTTTTTAATATTCGATCCGTTGCATCAGTCAGTTTAACCTCGCAATAATTGTGTTATTTCGTACTAGGTACACAAGTTGTTCATTCAAACAAAAATTATGAATTAATTCTTTATCATGTACTATTCCTTTGTTTTCAATTTTAACTTTCTTTACAGAACTGTGATAAGATGGCTGATAAACTGACACCAGATCAGAAAAAGAAGTTGATGATCAACTATCTGCCGAGATCAGTAGAGGTCAACCAGTTGAAAGGAATGTTTGAAAAGTTTGGCGAAGTTGCTAATGCCCACATTGTCAAAAATACAGCAACCAATGAATCCAAAGGCTATGGCTTCATCACCTTTGAAGATGAGAACTCTGCTGTGGGTGCCATCATTGAGCTGAACGGACATCAGATGGAGGACAAGAGATTGAGAGTGGCCTACTCCACTCCAATAGATGATACCAACCGATCAAAAGCCGCACCTGCTGCCTCTAATGATGATGTGAATGTCTATATTGCCAATCTGCCAAAGACCTGGGATGAAAAAGAGCTGACAGCTAGATTCGAAACCTATGGACCAGTGAAACATTGTAAGATCTTAAGAGACGTTTCAGGTGCAAGCAGGGGAGCTGGCTTTGTTCGCTACGAGACTTCCAAGATGGCTGCTGCAGCTATCCTTGACATGGATGACAGATGCCCTGAGGGAGGATCTTTACCACTTATTGTTAAGATTGCTGATGGAAAAAAGAAGGAGAAACCAGTAGCCGCAAGCATCAACCACAGTGGCCTTCCTGGTCTTGTACTCAACCACAACCCTTCAACCGCTAGTGCATTGCAAGCAATGACAGCTGTTCCCCCCTCAAACAACGGGTACACTCAACATTCTCACAACGTTGACCACCGTTACAACCCTTACAGCAAGCCTCCATCTCACTCTCAGACACCACCACCAAGTGCATATTCTCACCCTGGTGCATATCCTCCTATTGGATCTAGCTACTCATCACCTGCACCCTCTGGATCTCACTCAAATCCAAACCCATACTCAGCACCAAGTCCTTACAACAGCACACCACCACAGCACTCTGCACCCTCCAACACTGTCATTCCAGGTTACAACCCTCCCCCTCACTCTCACCCCATGATGGCACCTTCTTCCATGGCACCAGGTCCAGGTCCAGTTCCTGCAGCTGCTATTAACAACAAGAACAACCATTACTGTATCTACATTGGCAATCTACCAGAAACTACCTGTAAGAGTTGCCTGCTATACCAGTTGTTCTCGCCTTATGGTGCAATTGCTAATGTTAAGCCCATGAGCAATGTTAAGCCTGATGGTGGAAACGACCATTGGTTTGCTTTTGTTAATTTCAAGAGCCATGCCGATGCAGCTACCGCCATCCAATCATTGAATGGTTCTACTCTGAATGGAAGAAGCCTCAAGGTTGACTTCAAGACCGAAAAACGAAAGTAGTCCTATCTAAACATTACCGAGTATTAGTTTGTCGTTCTTTACACGAGACAAAAATTTTTACTTTAAAGAGCTTTTAGTGCAAATCTGCACTGATTATAATTTCAAATTCAACCTCTTTACCTGTGCATGACCTCAAGATGTAAAATTTTCATTCGAGTGTTTGTTAATTTTCAGCAATATTAGGACTAGCTCCTTTTCTTGGCAAACTCTCCCTGTTTCTGATTTTTAATGTAACTGTTGAAGGACATTACTTTGCAAACTGCCGGTTTTTGCCGGCATCATTTTAGATATTTATATTATGAGCTTCGGAAATTTTCCATTACTTTTATTTTTGGAGGTAGTTTGTGCTTTATTTCGCAGAGTTAAAAGTTTTGATTTAATCCGAATATTTATGAAACTAAATTGCATTGAGTACCGCTAGCTTATATGTTCCTATTTGAGTTTTCTCAACATTTATTAACATGAGTGTTGTAAAATGTTCCCCTGTCTGGCTTTGCTGAATTTATTGATATTCGTTTATATTATAATATGTCGGATACCATGCCACGAACTAAAATTTACCTTGATTCTAGTTTTATTCCTGTTGTTTTATTTGACTTTATGTATAATTTCATTCAAATTTTAACGGTGTGTAAAATTGTAAAACGTTCAAATTTTATTCCAATTTGCACCTCCAGTGTAACTTCAAGTGCAGTTTTACATTTCTTAATTTTCCAGCTATGCACTTCAATTTTGTTACAAACTTCCTATTTCAAATGACGGTGATTTACTTTATATCTAAATTTTGTGCATTTATAATTTGGTAATTTCCTGCTCTTCTCAGTCATAATTTTACTCTATTCTATTTTCCTTGACGGAATTTTTCATTGACATTGATAAGAAAATCCATCATCCTCTGTTCATATAATACATTATTATAAAAATTATTAAAGTCGGCCTACAAAATTGTAGTTAACAGAATGTTGTTACAAACTAAATGAAACAATAAAAATTTGGCAGAACAATTGCACAAATACGTTGGCACCAGTGACTAGTATAGTGTCTTAGTGGTCTAGTAGAGAATTATATCATACTGTATCACCTTTTTGAGAAATGAGTGAATTGTTCAATCTTAATCATTTAAATTTTCAAAAAGAAGATAGCATAGTTCTATAGTAAATAGTTCCGACTTTAAAGTCCCTAAATATATCACCATTTCAGGATATGTAAGTTATAACCTTATGACCTGATGGAAAGCCGAGATGCGCAGAAACAAAGTGAGCAGTATTTTGCCAAGTGTTATGGAGTTCTGCCGCTCTGCCTCAAAACAGATGCCACACCTCACTACCACTGTCCCATGTCAATAAAATGCAGTTTTGTTTCCTTTGAAGAAGCGTTTGTTAAGGCTCACATAGACGATTGTGCGGTGAAGCCTGCCACAATACCAGAGGAGTCTTACTTGATATGTTCCAAAGTTCAAGCATTTTGTGTTGCGGGGCATGATAAAGCTAAGAAATCTTCAGGACAAAAACATTATCATTGTGCTGGTTATCCAGAGTGTATGCATGTAAACAGTAGACTCAATGCTCTCAAACGACATATTTTCACATGTGATAAGTTAGCCAAGCGCCTTGATCTGTACCCAGTTTGTACAGAGCTAGCTTGCCGACATCAGTACGATGAAACCAAGTTCCATTACCATTGTGATAACTGCGAGTGGACGACGGAGGATGTAGACGATGTTGAGCAGCATCGTGTGGGTTGTTTTGTGCAAGCTCAAGCAGATGTCATGTCGGAGGTGGGTTCTGATCAACATTCCAATGCTGAGCAGGATGAGGAGTACCCAGTTATTGTTGCTCTTGTTTCTAATGAAGATGACTCTGTTGTTATTAATCTTCAGACTTGCTCCAAGAAGCAGTGTATGAAAAGGATTGACATCAAGAAAGAGGTTCAGGAACATTATCACTGTCCCGCTTGTGAGTTCTGTGCTGTTGAAAGGGAAGGAATACTGGATCATTTCAATCATATTCATTACAATTCAGCTACCACAGAAGTCTATATCCCAGAGTGTTATGCGTTAGACGTGTCCTGTTGTGCTGAGAAACGTGTTGAAAAGAACAAGACCATCATGGCACCTGTACTGCATTATCACTGTCCCCAGTGTAGAGAGTACAGTGATTGTTCACTGCCTATCGTCAAGGCACATTTCGCTCAATGTGATGGACACCCAGCTTCTGCTGTTCACGCTAGCAAACGGCAGAAGTCTAATCTCGTACAGTTGTTTAATCCTCAAGAAGATGTTATAACTGAGGTTGTGAGTCCGAATCAGGGCGGTGCGCCTCTTGTTCCTGGGAAATCTGCAATCCACGCACCACAGAAAATTGACCCATTTGATCACAGAGTGATAGAGTGTGTAGAGACTTGGAAAGGGTGCTCCATCAACCGGGGAGTAAGTTTACAGCATTACCATTGTCCATATTGCACCTGGTCAAGCTCTCTATTAGTGAACATTCAAGCTCACATGCCTGGATGTTTAGAGAAACTTTCAGCTCGATTTCATTATGAGGATTCATCAAATCGTCCCATCTATGATGAGGATGATTATGACTCTCCTGTTGAATACCCGATAATTGACAGCAAGAGTAAAGACTTTATCAATATCATTCCTTGTTTCAAACGGTTGGATGGGTGTGCAAGGATTGGGATGGGAAACTGTTATAGAACTTCAAGAATTCATTGGCATTGTCCAGTTTGTACTATATCTGGTAGTAAAGCTCTCATGATAAAACACTTTTCCACATGTTGTTCATCGTACATGAACAGTGATTTGAATAGCATGCAGTTTGCCAATCAAAAGAGAAAAGAAATGGATCCTGCTGCTATGCGGCACTCTGATTCTGAAGATTCTGAAAGTGAGATGTTTTCTGATTTTGATACTGCTGAGTCCCTTACTAATGTCATAAAATGTCACAAGAAATTGCCAATATGCTCAGTTGATGACTTCCCTGGAAGACCTATCCACTACCATTGTGGCATTTGTGCTAAGCCAGATTTAAATAGAAAGCAACTTGAACAGCACCAAGTGGCACACTGTTTAAGAGCCAGAGCAAAGGCTTTGAAAGATGGTGTGGATCCAAATGAGGACAAGTACAGAAACCCACCAAATGTCATAGTTTGTCGTCAACGTGAAGCTTCTTGTAACACTACAGATTCCAAACGTGTAACACATTTCCACTGTTCGGTTTGTAGTTATGTAAGTTACAGAAAAGACAGGGCAGAAAACCATGTGCATAAAGCTCATTTATCCAAATCTTTATGCTTTGAGTCGAGTCCTTCCCCAACAAAGAATACATCAATCTTCCGACCTAATTTATCGAACGTGTCTAATGATGCAAATGATCCTTGTTTAGACTTCATGGAAAGGTGTGAGCAAGACATCAGACATTGCAAGCTGAACAGAAAAGCTGACCCTCGCCGGCGTGCTCACTGGCATTGCACTCGGTGTGATTTTGTGGACTACAAACGTTATAGAATCAGGTGTCATGTGTTTAAAAACCACCTAGATGCTCGCATGGCCGAGCAGGAGAACGTTACAAAGCAAGACCAGAATGAATCAATTGAGGTTGCTGACCCCTTATCTTCTGATGAAGAAGAGGATGAAGTACATGGAGTATTTTCGTGTATTAATACCTCTGGGTCTTGTAGCAAGTCTAGAAAAAAGTGTATCAAGAAACACTGGCATTGCTCCTTATGTAATTACTGGGGTACAACGAAGAGGAAAGCTTTTGAACATTATGTGAAATGTTTGAGAAAAGGACGGAAAAATGTCCCCAATCCTGACTTGGTTGCTAAACAGAACCAGGCTTTCTTAAACAGTAGATCAAGCAACAGTACTATCAGTATGTTCCAAGTTCCAAACTACAACAAGATGACGAATTCACCCTTGATTTACTGTGGTCAAAGTGTTTATCAGTGTGTGTATCCACTGAATACGAGAATCGATGATCAAGGACAAGAAATGCACTGGCACTGTCCTATGTGTGATAAGGTCGGATTTGTTGAGTACGAGGGACTGAAACACTATGTTCATTGTTCAAACTTTATTGAATTCCATGTGAAGTCTCAGATGGCAGATGCTGCAATCGATTTAGACATTTTGCAATGTACCAAAGAATACACTGAGTGTGCTCCAAACAGAAAAACTGAAGATCGAAAGCATTCTCACTTCCATTGCCCACTGTGTCCCTATGTAGACTATCGCAAGAACAAAGTAACCACTCACTACACTGAGATATGTGCTGGTAAAGCCTCTTCCACTCACATTATGTACTGCACTGCTGAGGTAGAAAAATGTAGCTCTGGGACCAAGGAAACGAAACCAGGTTACTTCGGTCACTGGCATTGTTCTTTGTGTACTTTCACAGATTACAATCAGAAGAAGGTTGCTGCTCATTATCGAGATTGCTATGTAGTGAATCAGAAGTACAGTTCTCGTTATGGGTACAGCAAGGATAGTTTAGACGTTCCTCTTCTACAAGATATGCCTGATGATCCCATGATAAAATACCCGGATTTACAGACTCTGAGTGACAAAGAGCTGACACTCCTCAAGATAATCCCATGTAATCGACAGCTAGAGGGCTGTGAAGGACCTGGGATGGATCTCAAGGAGCAACCGTTACATTATCATTGCCCAATCTGTACCAAATCAGACTACTTACAACTCATGCTTAGACATTTCCCCCGTTGCTTGAGATACTTCGACAAAAAGAGGAAGAGTGCTGCTGATAACAGTGTCAAAACAGCCAGTAAGAGAAAGAAGAAAGTATCCAAGAATGACATGAAAAAAGCCCGAAACGAAGGTCTTGGATGTCAGATGATTGACAAAGCCACTGGCATATTCGTCGTGAGAGGCTCTGCGGTTGGTCTTGGCTTTCCCGTTCACGTGATCTTCAAGAAGACCCATCCAAAAGAGTTCCACTGTGAAAGTGGCTGTGAAATGCAGGACAGACAACTGTGTAAACATCTAGCTGCAGTTGAGAAGTATGTCCGAGACAACAATGTCTATCGGGAGGATCATGAAGATAATGATTCAGTCGACATGAACGAAGATTTCCCTGACCTCGACCAAATTGATTTGTTTCACAGGATAACTGACGAGGAGAAATGTGATGTTTACACTCTCCACAACTACTGTCTCGAAAACAATACTCCGGTTATCCGAGCGTTCCAGACTTTCAAGTACCCAAACGGCGAGGAAACGTCCTGTACCTTCTACTCAGTCTGTAACGCCATGTTTAAAGGATACTACACTCGCTCTGGTAGAGTTATCACCACATACAACAAGAAGACGCACAAGTACTTATGCAAGTGTTTCTATAAGGAATGTGTTCATACGACTATCACAAAGTTGTATCGAGCAAGTTTAGGACTGAAGGATTGTTATGGGACTGCTAATGAGGGAAGTATCAACATGGCAACTAAATCAGAGAACAGTTCAACTATGAATCCAGATCATGCTTTTGGTTTTGACAATTTGTACGATGATTGCAGTGATCAGCGGCGGTTTCTGAAAAACTTAAATAATTATGATTGAATACAGAATGTACTAGGTTGTTAAATCTTGAAATAATTTCTGTGGTTGAGTGTGCTGTGTTTGAATGTGGTAGTTCATCTCGTCTTTTTAGTGGTAAATGATAATACTGTCATCTGGATTTATAATTTAAATCTGAATTCGAAGCAACAATAGCTCTGTGTTAGGAAATCAAATTGAGTAGAGCTTCATGCATGGATGTAAGCAAATTTTAAATGCATAATATGTTCCGTTCTATCTTGAAGGAAACCTGGTTTTACTAGATATTTTAATTTTGAAAATGGAGTACAGCAATACTCCAGCTCTTTATTTTGTATTGTGATATTTGATATTGTGATATTTTCATGTTTTAACTTCAAAAGCTTATTAACAGAGTGTTATACCAAACGTTCTTACACTCATAATAATATAATGGCCTCATTTAGCAATTATACATGGCTAAAACATTCGTCAGTTTTGTTTGGTTCTTTTCATCGTTAATGACCCTGTCACGATGAATTTTGATTTCTCTATGTTCTGATAAAGAAATGTCAGTTTATATGGAATCGCATTACTGTGACCGAAATTTGGCCTTAAAGTGCAGTTACTGTATGGTTATAGTTCATTCGTCATCATGTTTTGTGGTATTGATCCTTTCTAACTGCGTTAAACTTTTTTTACAAATATCCGGATTAACAGGGCAATTTTATTATTTGTCAGCACTTAATAAAATGTAATTTATTTCCCATCGAAGTAAAACTACAGTGGGAATTGCCGATTGCCTTTTAAGGCTGAAGCTTGATGCATTTCCATACATGCACTAAAATTATGATGAATTTAATTTATCTTTATTTCATTATTAACATAATTTGCATCATTTTTAAGTTATTTATCATAATATTCTGAGTCTTCTTGCCTCGTTCAAATTCAAAAACTTTGATTTAATATTTTGAGTATTCAAATTGGTCTCCTATTTTCCGCTTGCTGGATCAAATTTCAATATTATTTTTACTGTTAGTAAACGGGTGCTTAACAACACTTCTTTTCCAGGTTGCATGGCAAAAAATTTCGAGAATGGTGTTACGCAAATGGTGCGCACCACTATGGCCATTCCCATCGACATCGGAGGCGGACAAGTGGCCAAGATAAATCTCCCTTCAGGGGCCACACTTGCTGGTCCAGTCAAAGTGATGACTCTGCCAAACAAACAGACAATTGCCCACGTGACGGTGATGGCTCCACCAGGGGTTGTTGAGAAGTATGTTGCTCAGGCTGCTGCTGAATCAGAGGCCAGTGGGGGAAGTGACATTTTACCAAAAACCATTCCCCCTGTGCCAGCAATTACTCCTGCCCCAGTTTCACCCACCAAACCAACTGCCCCTCCATCTGCTCCAGAAGATGATCCACCACCTGATGCTCCTCCCTCTTCCGCTCCTTCTAATTTATTCGACAAATTATCTTCAAAACCTGCTGCACCACCTGAACCAGAAAAACCAGAACCTAAACCTCGGGGTAGACCAAAAATTAGGTCTTCTAGCTCTGAGTCTGACAATGTTCCTCTGTCGAGACTATCATCTCAGAAGCAGGATCCGAGGCCGGCTGCTTCTAAACGAAAGACTCCAGCCACAAAAGATGCTAAAGCACTAGAGGCAAAGCCACAAACCGGCTTTCAAGCTTTCTTAGAGGAGCAACGACCGTTTTTGTCGCAGAAGAATACTAACCCAACAGAGAAAGACATAACTAAAGAAGCGAAGATTCTATGGGAGAAGCTAGATATTAAATCGAAAAACCATTACATAAGAAACAGTGATGCTTACAAAGTTAAGAAAGGTATACCTATTGTTGAACCTGTGAAAAACGAAAAGAAGGCATCTAAATCATCAAAATCCGATTTACTTTCAAAGGACAAAATTTCTAGTTCCCAGAAAGCAGGAACTACATTATCAAAATCAGAGAAGAAAGATGAAACTTCGTCTAGTGGTTATAATCTCCCAAAGAGGAACGTAAAACGGAAATTCTTTGATGTGGAGGAAGATTACGATAATAACGATGCTGACTGGGAAATACCTGAAGAGAACTTGAAGAAACCTGCTAAACCCCTTGATGCAGGAATTGTTCCTTCGTCAATGCCTCCTCTCAAATTTAAAAGGAAAATTAGAGGGGAGTCAGATTCACCGAGCATGACTATGCCTAGATTAAACAGAGTAAATAAAATGGCAGTTAACGATGATATAGACCTTCCATCTATTTTAGATCTAGACGAAAGACCAACGGTTCAAGCATCCTTGCCAGAAACAAAAACTCAGTCTTTAAAATCTGAAAGCAAACACGTCACTAAAGAATCTACTCCTCCCCCACCACTCAGAAAAATTGAAACTGTCGCTCCATCAGAACGAAAAGCTAATTTAAAACTTATTTGTTTGCATGACGGTTGCTTTGAAGAAGCCACAACCGAACCCGAGCGAGGGAAATATTGGTGTAGTGATAAATGTTGCATAAAGTACACTAAAGTTATTTTTAATGCTTGGGTAGGAGCACGTAGAGCGAATATGATAGAATGATTATATTTATAATTTATAACTTTCAGTATCAACTGATTTCTTTCAGTACTAAGCTTTCCATTGTTTTCCATGAGTTGAATTAGTCAGCATTGAGGCAATTTGCACGTTACTTTTAATGAATGAGCAGAATCTCTTATTGGATATTCCTTGATGTTATGATAACTTGATTCAATTTTAATACTGTATAATAACTACTTCAGTTTTCATAAATTACAATTTTATGTCATGAAGGCTGTCATATAATTTGTTACACATTATAACGAGTTTAGATCGTTAAAGGAAAAAAAAACTGTTTTCGTCCAAATATGTTTGAAATTGAAAAATTGTACAGAATTTTGACTATGCAAATCAAGTAAACAAATCTCAAAATCTATTGCATTTTTGCCATATTATGACTCCTTGAATTAGTTACATTTTTAATCTGATTATATTTCAGAACATCGGTTACCTAAAACCTGTAGCTTACACCTTCATTAACATCCCCATCCTCAACTGGGACATGTAATAACGTGTCTATTTCAGGCCCTAAATGCCAGTATACCGTGCCAAGGAAGGAGTATTACAACTTCCTGATTCCAGCGAAGAATGGACGAAAGAGTTTACTTTTATCCAAGCTGCAGACTGTCAACTAGGTTTGGAGTGGGTTATGATCGAGAGTGAGCACGATGTTGCGAATACCGACTGGAAAAATTATTATGAAACATCTACATGGGAGGATGAGATTAGATGGTGTAAATCATTTGTTAGCATGGTGAACAAGATGGAGATAAAGCCAAAGTTCGCAATCATGTGTGGGGATATTTTGGATGCTATGCCCGAAAGATGGCCTGAGGTTCGAGATAGACAGAATGTTGATTTTCAGAGGATCTTCAAAGAGCTGGACATTCCTTTAGTTTGTGTTTGTGGGAATCACGATGTTGGCAACTCGCCAACCCAGGAAACTGTCGACAAATACAGATCTGAGTTTGGAGATGACTGGTTTAGTTTCGTGTGTAACGGAGTGTTTTGTATCGTTGTCAATTCCCAATACTACGAGGACCCCCAATTTGTCCCGGAAATAGCTGCTGAACATGATTCCTGGCTCTGTGAACAGGTAGAAATAGCGAAATCGGGAAAGTATCAGCATTCTGTGATCTTTCAACACATTCCCTTGTATGTTGAGACTCCTGACGAGCCAAAGATTTACTTCAATTATGTCCCTGAACTTCGAGCTAAAATGTTAAAACAATTTTCTGAAGCCGGGATTTGTAAGATCTTCTGTGGACACTACCACAGGAATGCAGGAGGTTGGTATGACGACAAGATGGAGTTAGTTGTAACATCTGCTATCGGGGCACAACTTGGGAAAGATAAGAACGGATTTCGTGTGGTGACGGTTCAAGAAAAGGAGATTACCCATGAATATGTTGAACTTGAAGATTTGTAATTATGTGTTTCGATTAGTTTTTAGCATTTAAAGAGTTCTGTTTTGTGATTTTTATTTTTTGGTATAAAGTTTATATTGTTCTTATTTAGATTTTCCTTGTAAAAATATGTCCATGATGATGATTTATAATGATCTTGAATTTTAGATCTATAGAATTTAAATCAGATTTTACTGTGTTTTTATATACTTTTTTCATAGTTCGCAGTTATGAGTTTAATATTATGAGTTTCATATTTTGATGTGTACAGTTCACTGTTCAGGGATGTTTGAATTATATACCGTACTTTTTGTTTTTGAATGTTACTTCGTCATTTTATTGTGCTAGATAAATAATACACTCCGTCTGGAAGTGATCGCAGTAAGACGCCTGTCGCCTACGCCATTCGATTCAATGAAATTAGATTGTGAACTTATATAGAGCTTGCCCCGTCGCTGGTTGTCTAATTTCATTTCAATAAGCACAGTGACCTAAAGCTTGATTATAAACCGCACTGATTAGTAAGCTATACTAGCTAAACTAGCTATGTAGTCAAAATCTTATACCAATATAATCTCAGCATAATATTATGGTAGCTTGGATTCTTTGAGCTTAAAGTTAAATTAATTGTCCCATGTCCATGCTTTTCTTTGCAAACCAGAAAAATGTCTAGATTTTCTTTTCCGGGGATTTTTGCTAAGAACCAAGATTTTAAAAATTCAAATCACCTCACTGCCCACTATAACGTTTAGCTTCTAATTCTGGTCGTGTATTAAGTAACGAGTTAAAAGTTAGATCAAGTTTCACGTATTAGGAGAATGATATTGTAGATTGTAAGACCACGGTTATATATATATTATTATTTCGAGTATTATTAAAAATCCGATTCTAAGTTCGATTCTTTGCAGCTCTTCAAAGAACGCCCTTTCTGCCCCAGCTTGGTAAACACTGCACTGTGCGCTCCTAACCTGATCCACTTTTTGTTCTAAAATGCCAGTATACCGTGCTAAGGACGGAGTATTACAACTTCCAGATTCCAGTGAAGAATGGAAGGAAGGCTTTACTTTCATCCAAGCAGCAGACTGTCAACTGGGCATGACGTGGTCCTGTCGAGGGGCTGGGGGGTACGGTGAAAATAACGGCTACCAGGATAACCCAGAATATGAGAATTCAACCTGGAACCATGAGATTAGGTGGTGTAACTCATTTGTTAGCATGGTAAACAAGATGGAGATAAAGCCAAAGTTCGCAATCATGTGTGGGGATATTTTGGATGCTTGGCCCAATAACGGCGAGGTGGCTCTCAGAGTTCGTGACAAACAGTATGTTGATTTTCAGAAGATCTTTAAAGAGCTGGACATTCCTTTAGTTTGTGTTTGTGGGAATCACGATGTTGGCAACTCGCCAACCGAGGAAACTGTTGACAAATACAGATCAGATTTCGGGGATGACTGGTTTAGTTTCGTGTGTAACGGAGTGTTTTGTATTGTCATTAATTCCCAATACTATCACGATCCCCAATTCGTCCCGGAAATAGCTGCTGAACATGATTCTTGGCTTGATGAGCAGTTGAAAATTGCTGAATCAGGAAAATACAAACATTCTATTCTGTTCCAGCATATTCCCTGGTTTCTTAATGCCCCTGACGAGCCTAAAGTTTACTACAATTTCCCTCAGCCTTTTCGCGAGAACATGCTGAAAAGGCTGTCTGATGCTGGTATCTCGAAGATATTCTGTGGGCACTATCACAGGAATGCAGGAGGTTGGTACAATGATAAAATGGAGCTGATTGTGACGTCAGCAATAGGACTCCAACAAGGAACGGATAGAAATGGTTTCAGAGTAGTTTCTGTAGCAGAGAAAAGTATAAGTCACGAATATGTTGAACTTGACAACATTGATGAGTGAAGAATTATGGTGTAATTCATTTTTCGTTGATTTGAGCCCTTTTTTATAAATGTAGTAGGTATCTGGTATAGCACCTACTTTACTTACAAATGTTTATTGTTTAGTCTTTAAATTATTTCATTTGTGAGTACACGACAGTTTTTATTCGACATATTTTATGAAATTATGATTTTTCCAACATTTTGAACCTATTATTGCTGTAAATATTGCTTTTGATATTTTTTAATAATGTGTTTGTGCTGTTCAGCGTTTTTCTCAGATTTACTAGCCTACTTTTGCTTTTGAATCTATATCGGGTATTATATTGATGGTAAACTCAAACTTGAGTACCTATTCAACAATTTACAGTGCATACCGCATACCTAAAATATCATATTTCAAAATTATCATAATCTAGTTATTTACGAAATACTATGAAGTGTGCGACTTAGAAGGAAATAGCAGTTTCCTGCAGTTTTTACAGTATTGAACATAGTACACTTAAACCAAACATTTCAGTATGGGAAAGCAAAAGAAAGTAGGTTTGGGTCAGGCCCTCAAAGCAAACATCAGAAACACCCGCCATGTCCCAGCCAGTCACCGCCACACCTCCGGATCCGCCACCAAAGACTTCGCCACCCTCCACTCCTGCACCCAGGAGAACGATCTAGACTCCTTCCTGCGAACAGCAGACCTCGCCAACACCGACTTTACTGCTGAGAAACTAAACCTGAAAGTGGTGACACTCAGTTACTCAGAAGCTATACCTCACCCCGAGGAGCAGATGGCGCGACGCGCTGCGTACATGAAGCACCGGGAGGAGGTGAGAATACCCCGGAGACCACCATGGACCAAGGAGATGAGCAAAGAAGTGCTGGAGCAGAATGAGAGGGACGCCTTTATTATCTGGAGAAAAGCACTGGCTGTTATAGAGGAGAACCAACATATTATCCTGACTCCCTTTGAGAAGAATCTGGAAGTTTGGCGTCAGTTGTGGAGGGTGACAGAGAGGAGTGATGTGGTTATACAGATTGTTGATGCGAGAGATCCCCTGTTTTATTGGTGCACTGATTTACTGAAGTATGTCAAGGAGATTGACGCGAAGAAGGGGAATATTCTTCTTGTTAATAAATCAGATTTTTTGTCAGATTTTCAGAGGACAGTTTGGTCTAATTATTTCAAATCGCAAGGTATCAAGACGATATTTTACTCAGCAATTAACGAGTTAGAGGAAATACAGGATGCTGAAGCTGAGGAATCAAATGAAGTTACAGATGACATCGACAACAAACTTGACGATGAGGAATTGCTTATTCTCTCAAATTTTAATAAGTTTTCTCTCTTAGCAAAACAGTCTGCAGAACCTGAATCTGAGTCATCTTTATCGACACTTTCTGAAAACGATGAGTCAGAGGCAGCTAAGGAGGAAACGACTGGCACTGAAATGAACACTGATATCTTTAAGGACATTACCAATGAAGAGAATACTCCAGATAAAATAGATGTTGTCATGTCCGAGACTACTGAGATAGAACCTGTTGAGTCTGTAGAACGGGAAAACCCCGCTGAAGTTCCTACTGAATCAAGTATATCCACGATATTGCAAATGATTGAAGACGGTGGAGTCTTAACAAATTCAGACCTTTTAACATACCTCGCAAAGTTGGCTGGTGATCATCAGCCGGCTGAAGGGTCAGTAGAATTTACGATAGGACTAGTTGGTTATCCTAATGTTGGCAAGAGTTGTACTCTCAACTCGTTACTGCAGGAAAAACGTGTCCAAGTGTCCAGTACTCCGGGTAAAACGAAGCACTTCCAAACGTTTAAAATGAAACTGGACGGACATGACGTGATGCTTTGTGATTGCCCTGGACTTGTATTTCCTAACATAGCCGCCAGTCAAAGCGAAATGTTCTGCAATGGTATATTACCAATCGATCACATGAGAGATTCTGTCGGACCGATATCCCATCTCATCGATAAAATTCCTCGCATAGTTTTGGAGTCTATATATGGAATGAAGTTGCCGGTTCCTGATGTTGAGTTAGAAGGAGCTCGTTTACCGTATGCTCATGAAGTTTTAAGAGAGTATGGCTCACTGAGAGGCTTCATGACAACCCACGGTACACCCGATGAGAGCAGGGCTGCTAGGATCCTTCTTAAGGACTATGTTAACGGTAAACTGCTAAATGTCAAACCTCCACCAGATTATGAAGGGCCTGAGTTCAATCCTATCTGTGAGAGTTACATGTCCAGAATCATATCTTCTGCTGCTAAAGTAAAGAAAACTACTGTGACAATCGCCAAGGAAAGCTGTGAGACCAATTTTTTCAAGCCGAGGGAAGTGAAAATGATAGTAAATGGGAGGACTCCAGGTCAGTATCAGAAAGAAGGAGCAGTGGGTCCTAAACCCTGGAAAAAACATTATAAGGGTAACAGCAAGGTGAAAACCAGAATAACATCTAATGATCTCAATTACTGAGTATATTTTGTTGTCTGACGGTGGAATGATCGCGGAGTGGTGATCCGTCTGTTCTTTTAACGGTTTTAATGTTTTTAGTGGTGTAGATTTTGTGACTAAACTGTGCGTTGAAGCAAAATAATTTAACTTATTGACATCATATTTTTCAACTGTTTTCTTTCCTCTTCTCGTACTAATAAATGGTATTCAAAATTGAAAAAATACAAAATAAGACCAAAATGATGAATGCTCCATTTTAAGTACTCAAAACTGCGTTAACAGCTGATCCCTTATCTTGTAGATATCATGATAAGACCTGGCTGTAAGGTGAAGCCCAAATCTAAGATAAGACACGAACTAGCAGGTACTGCTCCCCACTACACCGCTACTTCTGATGACATATGGATGAAAAACTGGGGTACGTTTTTATATATCGACTAATCAGTATCAGCACAAAGTTTATTCAAAATATCAGATCATAAATATCTTAAAATATCTCCAATAAGATGACTTTATCAAAACATTCCTGATACAAATAACACAAAAATGATTTATGTAACTTAACTTTTCGCAGTTACCAATACTTAAATTATAAACACCCTCCCCTCCAGGGTACGAATCAGAAGGAATGTTTGACGCAGCGAAGGAAGCGGAGATGTCTGTCTCAGACCCGGAGGAGTATCTAGTATCTAGATCTGACGAGGATACCCTCTTTCCTCCGCATAGTATGTATGTAGCACAACTTCGGTAATTTGAGCATCTTAACTGCACTGGTCCTGGTCATATTATCGAACTGTTTGTCTTATTTGTTAAATTTTGTGAGCCATTTAAAATTTGGACACGAGTCTTTAAACACCCGTACCCAGTATGTAGGTTTTTATGGTAGGTCTAAGGTCATTCAGTTGAACGATTGGGTGCTGATTTATCAGCCGCATAGAATAAGTTAAATAAGTTGTTTATAATATTTTTAGCAGCTTTACTTTTGGATAAGTGATGATATTGGCTGTCTCATGTACACGTTTACTAACTACCTTTGTAAAGTGCTTTTCAAGTGTAGTACTGATGGATTAAAGCAACTCATGATAAGGATTTAATGGGATTACCAATGTTCACTTAGCATTTCATTAGGAAAAAAACAATTAAATATTAATTATTAATAGTACTAATTACAAAATGGTTCCCCATAATATCAGTTACAAAACAGTTAAAACCATGATATTATCCATTATCTAATGTATGATAAATACAGTGCCATAATATCAGTTACAAAACAGTTAAAACCATGATATTATCCATTATCTAATGTATGATAAACACAGTGCCACCAGGAGAGGACCCAGACACGGGAGCAGTGACCCTCAACTCAGAACAACACCACCGCCTGCTCGGGTCAGGTGACATGTTGGGGTCACGTGACAACGAGGATGATTACGTCACCAGTATCGAGTTTAATGAGTGTGTCGAGAGAGGTGGGTTGCTAGGTTACAACTTACACAAGGGATTCTTTGTTCATATTCATGACATACTATAAAATGGGGCAACCATCTTATATTAGTTGATATATTTCAGTCATTAAAAGCATCTATACGTTCTTGCTGAAATATTCAAAATACTGTAATGAATTCATTCATTCTAAGACTGAGGTTAACTAAATGTGCATTCCCAGGATTATTTTGTCGAGAAGCTGACTCCATGCCAGTGATCCACTACCACTGTCCGTGTTGTATAAAACACTCCGAGACTACGATACAGGAGATAGAACAACACTACAGACACTGTGTCTCTACAATGTCTAACCAGAACGCGCTCTTCACCTCTATTTGTAAACATGACGACTACATCACATTCCAGGTTCGTGGTGGTTTATAAGTTATATAAGTTGGTATTCTTTTTATAAGTTGGTATTAGTTATATAAGTTGGTATTCTTTTTATAAGTTGGTATTCTTTTTATAAGTTGGTATTCTTTTTATAAGTTGGTATTCTTTTTATAAGTTGGTATTCTTTTTATAAGTTGGTATTCTTTTTATAAGTTGGTATTCTTTTTATAAGTTGGTATTAGTTATATAAGTTGGTATTCTTTTTATAAGTTGGTATTAGTTATATAAGTTGGTATTCTTTTTATAAGTTGGTATTCTTTTTATAAGTTGGTATTCTTTTTATAAGTTGGTATTCTTTTTATAAGTTGGTATTCTTTTTATAAGTTGGTATTCTTTTTATAAGTTGGTATTAGTTATATAAGTTGGTATTCTTTTTATAAGTTGGTATTCTTTTTATAAGTTGGTATTCTTTTTATAAGTTGGTATTCTTTTTATAAGTTGGTATTCTTTTTATAAGTTGGTATTCTTTTTATAAGTTGGTATTAGTTATATAAGTTGGTATTCTTTTTATAAGTTGGTATTAGTTATATAAGTTGGTATTCTTTTTATAAGTTGGTATTAGTTATATAAGTTGGTATTCTTTTTATAAGTTGGTATTCTTTTTATAAGTTGGTATTCTTTTTATAAGTTGGTATTCTTTTTATAAGTTGGTATTCTTTTTATAAGTTGGTATTCTTTTTATAAGTTGGTATTAGTTATATAAGTTGGTATTCTTTTTATAAGTTGGTATTCTTTTTATAAGTTGGTATTCTTTTTATAAGTTGGTATTCTTTTTATAAGTTGGTATTAGTTTTATAAGTTGGTATTCTTTTTATAAGTTGGTATTCTTTTTATAAGTTGGTATTCTTTTTATAAGTTGGTATTTGGTTCAGAATGTCGATGTTTAGAACTCTATCGGTTTACGGAAAGTAGCCAGGATTTTATATGACTTTTATCTTACATTTAGCGGGATATAAATACATTATATTCCTTACTGTACCAGCTCTTAGGGGTCTTTAATGAAATTACTGCACAGAGTTTATTACGTTTAATGCAGTGAAATGCGCCAGAAAAACATTAAATCAGAACTCAAGAATAACAAGGTGGCAAAATAAAAAGGCGGCGTCAAATTCCTCTTGATAAATAAATCTAACAATTATTAATCAACCAAATAATTAAAAATAACACCACACTTTGTCTCAGGAATGTCGGACGTTAGACCAGGATTGCCCAGCTCGCGAAGTAAAACTACCGATACACTACCACTGTCCCTGCTGCCTGATATTTACACAGCAGAGTATTGGTCAAGTGGTCAGACATCAGCTTACTTGTTGTAAGACTCTGACTATGCTGCAGCCCAGTCAGATCGAGGTTGGTGCTTTTCAGTTTTTTTATTTTATTTCCCGAGCAATGACACAGTTTCTCCCTTGAACACTTTTTCTTGCTTATTTGAAGTTCTAAAATGTAATGTTTCAGATGGCCCCTATGATGGCACAATCAACGGACAACATGTGTACCCACGACTTGAATATAATCAGGTATCTAGATTAAACATACTATTTCCAATAATTCATTATTATTTAAATGGTATCTTGTTACGTTTATTGAAATATCTAAATATGTACAACTTTGCATTTCTCGCTACTTTCCTTTACCCGATGATAAAACAGTCTCCTTTACAGGTTCAGATTGTGTTTCACCTCATACTGTTTAGAAGACGACCCAGCACCAGGACCCAACCTGCGCAAGAACCTGCACTTCCACTGCACGTGCTGCAACATGTACTGCGATAGCAAGCTGCGCACCCTCCGCAAGCACCAACGTGTGTGCTGTGTTTACTCCCGGTTCGGTAACCAACACGATGTGCAGCCTAAAGTTCTCTTTTTAATGGAGACCAGCGCTGCGTTAGAACAGCACGTGGCCATTGTAGCGAGTAATAACAGAAAACGGAACATAAACAGCGTCACTGCGGATCCCATGTCTATTTTAGCCACGAGAACAAAAGTTCAAAAGAAAGCAAGCTCAGTTTTAGCAGAAATAGACAGCTCAATATTCTCAAAATGTATGGACGGTTCTCCGATCTGTATTGTGAACGAGCGGTACAGACGCGCGCACTACCACTGTCCCATATGCAAAGGTTTACACTTCTCGCAGACTTGCACGTGTCAAACTTCACTACAGCAAGTGCTCAAAACCCAGACCACGCGCCAAGCCACGTGGGACACCACTAGACTTACAAGTAGAGCTGATAGATAAACTAAACAGAGTGTTTCTAGTTCGGGGTAGTAACCAAGGACCAGGGTTACCTTGTCATGTGATCTACAGAGCTGGTCCTAATTCTAACTTTATGCACTGCGAGTATGGCTGTAAGATGGATAAGAATGTTGCTAAGATCAGATGTAAACATTTGGAAGCTTGTGAAGAGTACGTTAGATCTACTGACGAGTTAACAGAAACTGGAGCTGATTCACCGCCTCTCGACCAAATCTCCATGTTTTACAGTTTTGATGAAAGCATGAAAAACGCGGTTTTCCTGCTATCCCAGACCTGCGCTGAAGTTAGGGTCCCAATCGTCAGACCTTTTTATCCGAGCTTGTCATCAACTGCTAAATCTAATTACACTTACTTTTCTGTCAGTACGTGCACTACACCTACCTACGTCAGTAGATGCCAACGAGTCGTTGTTACTTACAACGAGCGGTCCCAAACCTTTAAATGTAAGTGCGGTAGTGCGTCAGTTTGCGTGCATATTCTTGCTTCTCAGCTTTATCACAGTCATTTTGTGGTCAACTCGATGTTGTGCGAGGAAACTTTGGACAAGAGCCAACATTTTGGTAGTTCCTCCGATGACAATAATCAAGCAGGATTTTCTGCTGCGAGTGACAGTGTAGTGAAGGAGGAGAGTAGGATTGTGTCGTTTATTAGTCGTTTTAATTAACACGTTTTAATTAACATTTAAGTGTGGTATTAACCTGAACTTTGCTTGCTGCGCCAAAAATTTCTGTGTTTTATGATGTTATTTCAAAATTTTGTTCATATGTGTTTACTATTTCACTTTCATTTCATATGTTTCTTGAATCTCTCCGTTATTGAGTAAGCCACACAGAAGACAAAACGTTCTACCGTGGGGCACATCGCTTATTACTTGCAAAATTATTAAGTGACGAGCACACAATTTGCGCATTTGCTGTGCGCGGCTTTTAATATTCAGCCCGCAAATATAATACGGTGACACTTGTGATATGATACACTCTTCTTAGTTCGATCACAGTCATTGTTTTATATTACCTGTCGTCACGGAGACAAACCGCTGCTCTCCTTTTTGAATAAAGCTTTAATCAAGTTAACGTCTGGAACTTTGTCTGCTTGACGATTGTTTGGTATTATAAAATTATCCTGATTATAATCTTCTGTTAGGATGTAAGGTGTTCCCGCCAGACGAGACTACTATATCCTTGAAGAGCGAGGAACATGGATTTTACAGGATCAGAACAAGTGAGTTATTTCCTGCAGTCGTGTAACTTTTCATTTACTAGGTATAAGTAGGCCTTGGTTTTATTGATAGACGGTCAATAATTGTTGTATTTATACTCTGATTTCCATTTCAACACTGTTTGCAAACGGTTTCCGTCCTTTCAACATCCTACACATGTACAGCTTCTCTTTTACGTTTTACAAACTTAATATTGTGTATATCTTCAGCGATCCTAACTACTGGGCGACAGCAGCTGGTTACTATGGCAATTACTCTTACGGACAAGATCCCTCTCAGTATTTTGCCGCAGCAGCAACAGCAGCTGCTTATGGAGCCTGGGGTGCTGACGGAACATGGACAGTAGCACCATCATTCCAACCTCCACCTCCCTCCCAACCTCCCCCTCCTCCTCCCCCTGAAGAAGACGTACCACCGCCTCCCCCTGGTGCTCCTTCGGATGCTGCTCAACCCTCCCCTAAACGCGCTAAAACCTCTTCCGACCACACTGAGGCTCTGCCAACTGATTTACCTCCCCCGCCCCCTGGCAGTATTCCAACATTATCCACCACTGCTAAAACCAGTGCTAAACCCAAAGACAAGTGCGGATATTACGACAGCAGCACAGATACCACGTCTTGGGATACCAGCACCGCTTGGAGCTCCGGTGCTACTGTTACTCGGACTTTCGCCCAAGTTGTGAGCGGTAAACAAAGCGAAACATCTGATGATAGAACTGGTAACGATCCTAAAATAAACTACCAAAAACTAATTTATCCCAATTTAGCGCACGTAAAAACCTCACCCATTCCAACATGTTCTGACATGAACCACAATTCACAACTCATTCTTTGTTAGACAATATGATCAGCTGGTTCACATACGCTGTGAGGATTTGTATCACTAAAGACAGGTTCACATATTACGTCAGCATCATTGGAGAGGGGGTTACGAAATTCTGCCCGATAATATAACTACAGAGTAATTAAGTGTACAATTGCTTAAATAGAGGGTGGGGTCTTGTTATGGGCAAAATATTGCTGACGTAACATGTGAATTTGTGAATGGTCTCTACTATTAGCAAGTAAAATGTGCTCTGGCATGTGTTTTTTTAATGTGATCTCAGTGTCCGAGTTTCGTTGGCTTACCTCTTCAATACATAATAGTGTGATAGTGCCGACTGAAGAGTGAAGGCCCTGAATGACAAGATTCTATATTTTTGGATGGAGCAATCATCGATCAAAATCTCCTTAATGTGTTAAATATTCGTCCAAACGATTGAGCAAAGCTGTTTTTTGGATGACGAGCATAACTTGCAACAGAAGTGATAATAACCGTATTCCACGGTTGGCCTGCTGTAGTCAACACACCGGTTATGACGTAATGAAGTCTCTGTTCGGTGCCGTTATGCTGTATGCAGTATCCAGCAAATATTGCCCCATATTAAGCAAAGACAAATGCTAGGGGCCCAGTTCCAAATATTAGAAACATAATTTTATTCAGAGGGTTTTCTGGTGTCAGTTTCTAGTACAAGTTGCAATATATGGAATCCCTTTAACCTGTGAAACAGGTCGAATATGAGCTGTATGCAGCTCATCACAATTAGGCTTTCAGTTTAACCTGGGCTAAGAACGAGACGAGCGAGGATCAGTCAAAGAAAATAGAAAGACCTGGAATTGGTCATTAGAATCACCGGCTCCATCCGGGTCAACAAGATCAACAAGACCTGTAGTTGCCGATAAAGCCTTCAAATATCTCCTGAAAGTAATCCTTAAAATTTCTTCTCCTAAACTCCGTATAACTAGTTAAAATACAGAACGATGATGATGTTGCTGAAGCTAAGTCTACCGGTCTACAACGTTTAGAAGACTAAAGACGTATATTCCTAGCAAATTGAATGCAGTCCAGTGAGTATAAAGGATAAAGTTCAAGGCGTGAGTACAATTTATAAAAGTTTCCAACGTCCAATTTACCAGGAGTTATCAATTTTACAATAATTTCAATGAAGATAGATCGAGAACGATTTCAACCCTGGAAGAATTTCCCCTGTGACGATGATGCCAAAGATTGATAAAAGCTTATGTGTTAGTGCGAAACGTGCTTGAAGAAGTGGAGAACTTGAAACGCAACCTGTAATTGTCGATGATAATGCGTGCCTTATCACATTGCTCGGCTCCAACCCCTCTCTCAATATGTTATTTTCCAATTACGAGGTGGATGAAGTCCAGTGAGTATAATGGCTAAAGTTCAAGGCGTGAGTACAATTTATAAAAAATTTCCAACGTCCAATTTACCAGGAGTTAACAATTTTGCTAACAGTACAATAATTTCGATGAAGATTTCAACCCTGGAGAACGACTAATTCAACCCTGAAAGAATCATTCCTGTTACGACGATGTCAAAGATTGATAAAAGCTTAGTGATCACTGTGGTCTGGTCTGTAAGACGAGAGGGGAACTGGGAAGAGTGGGAATGCAAGCTGGTTATGTGGATGATAATGGAAGCGTTCCTAATAATAAGATCGCTTGGACCCAACTCGCCTCCTAATAGCATTTTATTTGGTATATTCCAATATTCTATTCATGTATACTAAACAGAAGAGGTCACCCATCATCTATGGATTCATTCACTACGTCCAGGTAAGATTTTATTACAATGTTAATTTCAGATCAAGATGCTTGGTAAAATTATTATTAGAGTTAATTTTGAATCCCCGCTAGGTTCCACCAACAACAAAAGACCATTTCCAGAACCGAATCCCAGGAATGACCGATCTTCTTCCGTGAATAGTCGCTTCGATGGTGAGACTTTTTCGTTCAATTACTTTCAATGTTAGAATTTCAGTATATGTAGGAAAAGATAAGCGGTGTTATGACAACGTGACATAGTAATGTATAGAATTTAAAGTTAGCTGATCTTAACAACCTTACATTTCAGACAAAGAGCGCCAATCTCCAAGCAAATCGTCCTACCCAAAGTCAGAACATCCAAGACCAGATCACTCAAGATCTTCTGAACGCCCGAGAACAGAGTTCTCCAGATCGGACCACCCTCGAACCGACAACTATAAGGGAAGAGAGTGGGGAGAAGGGGAGCAGAGATCAGACAGAGGGCCTCCCCCTGGATTTAGTCCTAGAACGCGACTTGGTGATAGAAATCGAGGTGGAGCTTTATTCTTATACAATTTTGTGATCTTAATCTTAAAGTTCTCAGAAGTATAAAAATGAACGTAGAAACACAATATACATTATAGGTACAAGGTTTTACACAGAAGCATTAACTCTTATTTTCTTGCTAATAATTTCCCCCATCTTCAGGTCGGGATGATTTTTACCCTCGAACAGCGAACCGTGGCTCCGATTACGATCGCCGGGAACCTGACCCAAAATACCGAGACACTGAAAACAGCAGATCACGTGGTCCCGACTTCGACCGGGACCCTGACAAAAACAGACGGACTCCAGGATTTCAACAACCGAGATCCTGAAAGCAGCAGAAAAGAACCAAATTTCAACGCTCTTGACCCTGAAAGAGGAGAACCAGATCACACGAGAGGAGGTAACAGTAGAGGACGAGATAGTGGGCCCCCACGTGGTGGACTGGAGGGAAAACCAGTTAAACAGTCCGGAGATGATTGGAGAAATTACAGCAAGGAGGGACAGGACGAAACAGAGCAAACTGGAGCTGATACGGGTGGTTTACAGAACAGGGGAGGTGGAACTCAAGCTAACATTGGTGCAGAGACACCTCCACCCACTTTCACTCCGAGTAAGTTTGCTCTGATCTGATAATGTGAAGGGTCCTAATCATGTTTCAGTCCAATTGCTTCTCTCAAACATTTGTATTATATAGATATGAGCTGTTTTTTAGCATCTACCATAGGCACTTGTCACCTTAAAATGCCCTAAATTAAACCCATTTCTCTTGCAGCAGGCAGGCCTAAAGGAGCAAACCCGGATGACTGGCCCAAATCTCTGCGTGATTATGTGACCAGATGTTTTGCGAGCTGTACTACAGATCAAGAAAAGGATGCGGCTGAAGTCTTCTTGAAGAACAGGTTGAAGACAAGTGAGACTGACGGGGGCTTTATCTGGAATACTGATTGGTCTAACGAGGCAACGCCCTTGTAAGTTTTGCACTTTTTCGGTGGAATTTTTTTTACAAGTTTGATAAAAAGAAATTTGGCTCTCCAAAAAAGCTGAGGGTAGCATAGACCAACTTCAAATCGGTCCACTCTGTAGGGTTTTTAAAGTGCCAATCACCTGAAAGCTTAATATTGCCAATCTCTCTTTACCAGTTTAATTATGAAGTTTTACGTGGTCTATTTTCAGTGGATCAGTTAGCAATAACAGCAGCAACTTCAACGGCAACACCAGTTTTAACGGTAACAAGAGTTTCAATAACAACAACAATAACAACAACAACAACACCAACTATAACAGCAACAGCCAATCCCCCCAAAAGGTTGGCTTCTCTTTGAAGGGAAAGACTAAATTCCAGCCCCGACAAAATGCTCTGCAACGGGTTAGTGATGTACGAAAGATTTCATAGCTGATGACTGAATTAATTTAGATTTTTAGATTTTCAAAGCTTAGAGAGTTTAATAAAGAGATACCCCTCAGTCCGGGGGGGGGGGGGTGTCACGTTGGCGGACATGTCACCCCCCCCCCCCCTCAGTCCTGTAGCTGAAGTATAATATCAAGAGTTGATTTCTATTTTTTAAGTCTGGTAGCTTTCCTCGCTACACCTAGCCTTAAAAACCGCCAAAATATTTACTTATTTAGCCAAATGTTTCAGAACCCGGAGTTACAGAGACAGCACATGCTAGCACAGAACATCAAAGAGAGTTATATGTCCCAATCTGAGGAGTTCCCCTCTTTCCAGCCAAACGCTAAAATGATGGACAGGGGCCGCGGACTGCGAAGTGAGTTCACCTTCCATTTCACATATTATTGTACAGCTAAATATTATACACTTCTAATTCTATGTATGTTATATGCAGTTAATGGAACGAATTTTCCAAATTAACTAAGGATTTTATATTTAGAAATGTTCAAATATAATCATGAGTATGTACTAAAATTATACACCCGTCTTGTCAAACTGTCTACCATTGGCAGTGTTTTAAAATTGACGAATTTGGATAATTTTTTTTTCTTATGCCAATTACATAATATGCGATCTTTGTTTCACAATGCATTACTGCATTAAGCTTTTACTTGTAATGCCAGTTTAAATGCTGTCACGTCTTTTTAAGTCAATCCTGCTGACCTGTGTTTTGAGCAAGCTTATGTTTTTTAAAACATATGTTTTTTTAAAACATATGTTTTTTTGTTAGTTCTACTGCCATGTTTGACATACATTTTCTTTCGGTGCATTTAAATATGGCAGAAGAAACTCACGCCAATCCAAAGAGTAATCTATTGTTTAATTTTGAAACTTAACCCAAAATCGGCGTCATCATTAAATGTGCCCCGCCCCCCCCCCCCTAAATGTGTTGTGGCTAGCCTTTTCTACCAAGTACCAACAAATACGCTGTAGACCTATGGTAACTCCATGAGGCAGAATAGCACAATTGAATTCCATTTTAACGAGTGTTTTCCTCAGAAGCAATGTTCAAGCCTGGAGATGATGGCGAACAGAAGAACTCCCCGGCTCCTGGTAGAGATAGACCTCAGGGGGAAAGGATCAACTCTTTTTCAGGACTGTAAGTACCAGCAACAAAGAGATTATTTTAATGGGTAATTTTTATAATTACTTTAATAATAAGATTGTTATTCATAGGTTGTACTTTTCAAGTGCAACTATTTGACATACCATTCAAATGAAAAAGCCATGTTAACCAATCTCTCAGTGGTGAGAACAGTCCACAAAATAGCCCTAGAGGTCGAGGTGCTGCTGGACGTGGTCGAGGTCGAGGCAGGGGCCGTGGCCGTGGTCAAAACCAACAACAACAGAAACAAAAGCAAGATGGAAGCAGTTGTATTGGAAATATAATGTTTGATACAGTTGAGAAGAAGGAGGGGCGTGCCAATAGGTTTAAGAAGGAAATATCTATGGGAGCTAGTGACACTATCTCCACGCTGATGGAATCTGCTATCAAACGAGGGGTGAGTTTATTTTTTCGGTATCTTGTGGCCAATTTTGTCAAAGTACCCTATTATACAAATTTATTGTTATGTCCTTGAAAGTTTTTAGCTTTTGGTTATAAAGATGATAACATTTGTTCGTACAGGGTGAAGATCTTCATTTCTCAGACACGCATTTAGTGGGAACCATGACATCGCTGGAGAAACCCTATCTTCGTCTTACCTGCGTAAGTTTCCCGTTAGATGTTTAAATTCTTCCTAATTCCCTTCAAATAATGAACAGAGATATTGTGGATTTTTCCGCCCTAAGCTAATGTATTTTTTATTACCGTTTTCAATCGTGAAAATTAACCTTGTATTGTTATTATTATTTTACTTTATCTTTTTATTCCAGGCTCCGTCTCCCGACCAAGTTCGCCCTGAACCCATCCTTGTTAAATCTCTGTCTCACATCATGAACAAGTGGAAGAAGGAGCAGAACTATTCCTTTGTTTGCGAGCAGCTCAAAAGTATTCGCCAGGATTTAATCGTGAGTTACATCGAAAACTTTTGCCTGTTTTTACTTAAACAATGTCTTAAAACAGTTGCAGTTGTGATGGACAAATTGTCTTGGAAATAACCAACATTCCTTGACATAGTTAAAACTCTACCCCTCCCCCAGATTCAGAACATAAACAACGCGTTTGCTGTGAAGGTGTACGAGTGCCACGCCCGGATAGCGATGGAGAAACTGGACACAACAGAATACAACCAGTGCCAAACACGGCTAATCGAAATGTACGAGAATAACAGCTCCGTGGGCAACCCCCGGGAGTTCCTCTGTTACCGTATCTTGTATTATATCTACATCAACAACAACTCTGATGCCATGAAGCTCATTGCCCAATTGACTCAAGTCCAGAAGTCTGACGACGATGTAAAATTTGCGGTGAATGTTTTCAATGCTTGGTGCTCTAGGAACTATTGCCAGTTCTTTAAGTTATATCTTGATGCCCCGAAGATGAGTGGCTATTTGATGGACAGTTACGTGCAAAGAGAACGGAACCTTAGTATGAAAGTGCTGCTTAAAGCGTACAAACCTTCTGTCTCGGTACAGAAAATAGCAGGGTTATTGGGATATCCGGATATTCAAACAGCCCTGGTCTACTTGGATGATCTGAAGGTTGTGTACACTAATCCTAATAAGACCAACGTGGATTGCAAGAAAACTACGATTGAGCTGTGATATCTTATATTAATTATACATACATTCATTGATATGCATAAAATAGTGCAGTGCGGACACTGGGTCGCAATTTCTAATTGAATATCACGCCCTTTTTTAGGTTTAAAATTTAGTCATTGCGCTAATTGTGCATTTTTTGCAATAATTTGTAATAAAATCAGATTTTTGATTTGTGAACGATGTTGGGATCTTGTACATTCTCTATTATCCCTCATTGTGGGCTGGAGAAAAGTTTCGTCTAACAAAATTATTTTTATCCATTTCAGTTTCACGTTGTAATTTTAGACTTTAGTGTCGATGCGAATGTTTCATTGGGCACTCACACATTTGAAATATATTAGAGCTGACTGCAGAAAAAGCTCGGGGAATGTTTTACCGAGGAGTTTTAACGAGAAGTGGCGCTCACTTCTTAAATTCGAACTTTTGTCAAATTGACGTTATTTAGTTTGTTACTGTCATATGATTTTTAACTCCTTCTTAGCAACTATTGAAAAAATGTGGCTTTATTTTTGAAATAAAGGATCAGTTCAAATGTCATTCGTCGTTTACAGCTACTTTTACTTCTATACAGTATAATTATTATAAATGTTATAGTGATGACCGTTACAATTCATATCACAAGCTACAAGTCTGCCTTGAATGGCGGATGGAAATGTCCAATTGCAGCTAATGGACTAGTAGTAATTTATTACATAAATTGCAGTCAGATTTTGATAAGTAATTATGTATAGTATTCTTAAGGCGAAGGTTATATCCCCACCGAAAGCTCATCAATTTGATAAGCTAGAAACCTGCGCATTTGATTGCAATTTTTTTACATAGTTTGCTAGTCTAGTAGTAGGTAGTGCGCCATCGACAGTGAGCCGCGCGTGCCGACTGTAGGATGGTTTTTTAGCGCTAATTTCGGCCAGCACAATTTTCTTCAAACAAATAAATATTAAGTATCCTTCCCGACCTCCGATTGCAATAAAAATTGGTAAGCTTACTCATAGACTTACAAGGAAGGTGTCCGAAAAGTTTAAAGCATATCCAACCATCAGACATCATGTTACAGCTAAAAGCAGCGTATTTTGCCCCATTTTGATCATTATATCAACTCCGATATCCACCAAATTTTTCGGACAGTTGTAAAAGCCCTATTGGAAGTTCGTCGCCAATTTTCAGAATGATACCATTCAAGGAACTGAAGATATATCCAAATAATACGACAAAAATCAACAAATTTGGTCAAATTAGGTCAAATTACGCGACTTTTACAGCTAATTTTGCTCCAAAAGCCGCGCACCATCAAATATGGCACCTAAGCGAAACTCACTGATCTTTCCAAAAAGATATAACAAATTTGGTATTGTGAAAATTCTCACAGTCTTTAGAAAACAATGGTACAAAAATTTTTAAAATCCGAACAAGTTTATTTTTATGGTGCACCCCCTACTAAAAGCAGCGTATTTTGCCCCATTTTGATTACTATGTCAACTCCGATATCCACCAAATTTTTCGGACAGTTGTGAAAGCCCTATTGAAAGGTCGTCGCCAATTTCCAGAATGATCTCATTTAAGGAACTGGAGATATATCCGAATAATACGACCGCGACAAAAATGGTCAAATTTGGACGAATTTGGTCAAATTTCGCGACTTTTACAGTTACTTTTGCTCCAAAAGCCGCGCACCATCAAATATGGCACTTGACACACGCTGTAACCCCTTTTGAGCGCGCACGAAGCGCGCGCGGCCGGCCGGCGTGCACGCTTCGCGTGCACGAGAGGTATACAACGTGTAGCAATATGGCACTTAGGCGAAACTCACTGATCTTTCCAAAAAGGTATGACAAATTTGGTATTGTGAAAATTCTCACAGTCTCTATGCTTTAGAAAACAGTGGTACAAAAATTTTTAAAATCCGAGCAAGTTTATTTTTATCGTGCACCCCCTACTCGAAATGTTATGGCACGAGCTACGAAGTAGCGCGCACCGGGCCAGATCATTAACAATGGTCAAGGAAATGTCTAATTGCAGCTAATGGACTAATAGTAATTTATTACATAAATTGCAGTCAGATTTTGATAAGTAATTATATATAGTATTCTTAAGGCGAATGTTATATCCCCACCGAAAGCTAATCAATTTGATAAGCTATGAAATATGTCTAACTTTCTTAATTCTGTACTACATTATACGTACTAAGTTGATGTTCTACGGCCAAAATTGAACGGGGAATGATCGTTCGAGATCACTTTCGAGCTAGTAGGTTGACTATTTGGTTGACGATGTCAACCCATCGAGATCGTTGCTCTGTGAAGCAGAGCAACGATCGACGAAGCAAGAATGCTAGTTCGCGTCGGAGCGGCGAAGTCCTCCAAGTTGACTATAGGTTGACTATAGGTTGACGAACGCATGTTACTCGTCTAAGCTTAATTTCTTCAAAGTAGCGCGCGCCACTTTCTTCTCGAAATATTAGCCCGAAGCAAGTGCAACGTTACTGGGCGGCACTCAGCCTGTCATTCCGCCGAATCTTTATTCTGCGGAATGAACATTATAGCCTGGGGTCCCCAGGTAAGTGCTATACGAAGTAGCGCGCGCTGGCTTACAGCTTAGTCCATTATTTTCATAAATTGTATGACCCGGCGCGCACAATCGGTGCGCGGTGACCTGTATCGTAGAAACGCGAGTACAGTTTAACGACTATGGGGGGTTTGCACAACGTTACTGGGCCGCGCTCAGCCTGTCATTCCGCCGAATCTCTATTTTATGTTTATGAACATAATAGCCTGAGGTCCCCAGGTAAGTCACAACGTCGCGCAATACAAATCCACGAATGATTAACAATGGACAATTTCGAGGCACATCTTGAATCACTGGGCCGCGCTCAGCCTGTCATTCCGCCGAATCTCTATTCAACATGATAGCCTGAGGTCCCCAAATAAATCTTGACAAAAGTTACCCACACTATTGATTGACGATTTCAACCCTTTACTTTTCAAGATCGTTGCTCTGCAAAGCAAGAATGCTAGTTTGCGCGGCGCGTCGAAGCGGCGAAGTCCTCCAACCCACACTATTGTGGTTTCACAGACAACAAAGAAATACCTCAACTAAGCGTATTATAGCTTGTTATCCTCTTTCGAAAGTATTGCAATTATATAAATTGATTTGCATATTACGTGCAATATATATCGATTTTGAATACATTTTGTTTGTTTTGAAACCCCACGGTGGAGGTTGGTGTGTGCTGCAATTTATTAATCAATGGTAATTACATGATAAATGAAATTATAGTCACACTAAAATATAATAATGTAAAATAAAATATATTAAAATAAATGCCCTACTAAAAGTACTATATAACTAACGGTCTATAAAACTGGTTGAAGTCGCAATTTGTAAACATGCTAATTACTATTTAGTAATAATTGATAAAAAGTTTTGCGCGGCAGATGTAAATTCGGCATTGCATAATGGCAGTGAAATTAAAATGATATGTTGTTGATAAAAGATCATAGTCATTTGTCGCGAGTGATCTTTCTTTACGCGTTGTCGCTTATATTACTAACTCGGTGCTGTAGTCTATTTGCGAGCGCCCTTCTCTTTGAGACTTTCTTAGCCCAGGTATACTATAAAGTAAGAAATTTGGCCAATTTTCATCGTCTCCTGAGCTTTGCAGCTTGAGGAGTTCGCGCTTAGCTGAATTTTTAAAGATTTCAATTGAAAAGGTAGAACTTGGAATAGTTATATCCTTACTTTGTTTTGTAATAGAGAACATGGGTCCTTTGAAAAAAGAGTATTTCTAAATGTTGGGCCGTTGTAAGTTGTGAACCAAGAAAGGTTATGTTCGTATGTGGAATTATAGGTGGGAATATCGTGAGGGAAAAGTTCTTTGATGGATTTAGGGAGAAGGCTTGGCATGTTCCTTACTTTGTGTAGTAGAATAAGAGCGTTTTTTACAATGACGCTATGGACTGTTAGGATATTATGCAATCTAAACGCACTTTTTGTGTGCTCCGGGGGATTGCCGTCTTTATATCTATAATTTACATATCCTGACATAACAGCTCTAATTCCCTGCTTTTGCTTGGTGAACAGAGATTCAATGTGACATTTTGAGGCAAATCCCTACACTAAAGAACAGAAATTTAGATGGGATTGGATAAGGCTTTGGAAAATGTTTAGGCGGGCTTTGATAGGTAGAAGGTGCTTTAGCTTATACATAACTCCGAGGTAGCGACCCATCTTTATTCTAACTGCCGTAATGTGTTTTTGCCAAGTGAGCTTTTCGTCTAGGATCACTCCTAAAAATCTTGCTTCAGTCTTACGTTCGATTACAGTGTTGTCAATGGACAAATTAAAGCCGCTGAAGTCGATTCTTTTTCTAGTGAAAATCATGTAACACGTTTTTTTACATTTAAAGATAGCCCATTAGGAGCAGTAGGGAAATTTGTTTCTTATTCAGAGAGTGTAGTATAGAATTTTGGGCATTGAGCAGTGCATGTTCACACGATCTTCCTGGTCGAAATCCGTATTGATTTTCGAAAAGAGAATCGTTCTTATCTAAAAATTCTAAAACACGAGCATGCATAAGTTTCTCATAAATTTTCGAGAACGATCCCAAAAGAGAGATCGGCCTATAATTAGCTACTTCCAATTTTGAACCACCTTTGTGGATAGGAACGACTTTCGCAGTTTTTAGAGCATTTACATTGTAGGGAACAAGATGCTGTTGGAATTTCAATTATTCATCTTCCACCTGGGTACGGTGGAAGATGAATAATTGAAATTCCAACAGCATCTTGTTCCCTTCATTGTGCTGATTCCGGGAAGCATTCTGTTTACGCTCATCATTTTGTAGAATGAGATATTGTTCATTTAAAATTGGGTAATTATGGGCCTGTCAATGATTGCAGCCCAATAATATAAGAGCTGATCAATTGCAGCTCCTTGTGCCATATATATAAGGGATAACTGAAGTTACATTGCTTTTTAAAAGATTTTATGATTTCGATTCATAAAAGTTACAACAATACGCGCCGCGCAATTTTGAATTTGGGGAGCATGCTTTCGGTGAAAATAAAACATGCAATATATATTGTATATATAGAACCTGCGCATTTGATTGAAATTTTTAGAAAAGTAAATAATCTTTTTAATTTACAAAGTGATTTACATAGTTTGCTAGTCTAGTAGTCTATTGCTCGATACTCTTACGCGTTTGTAGCGCAATTCAATTCACTACTGGTTCGCGCCGAGCTGCAAAGGCTTGTCCATTTGCGCGCCTTCATGCCATTGCATTGTTAATAAACTAACCTGGCAAGCGCTACTTCGTAGCACTATTTCAAAAAGGAAGCAGCGCGCTAGTTCATATAAGTTCGAAGAAATCAAATTTCTTAATAATTGACTTTTTGGATGAAATTTGTTTGTGAGCTGTAATTTGTTTACCCGAAAAGTCACTTTTTGGTCAATTTTGTGTGTTTTTATTGTTTATGCCGTTGCTGGGAGATTTCACTAAGTTCAAAATATAGTATAGATATAAATTTGGAGCCAGTTCTTTAACCCATTAGGGATGATAGGGTCGTTTTTATATGTAGCCCAATAAATTTTGAGCATATATGCTATAGATTCGTTATAGTGTTTAGTAATTTGGTTTTTCGTCTAGAAAAGGTGGGTTATAAAAACGACCCTATCGTCCCTAATGGGTTAAACTGGGAGTGTTATAAAGTTGTTGTACTCTATAAGTGTATATTCACCTACAAGCATAACTGCTTGGCGTGATGAGGTACATCTTTGATTGGTCGAAGGTCTTTCAACAACACAGCATCATCATTTTCATAGTAGTCCCCGGCTTATGACGGGTTCATAGCGGTATTAAACATGTTTTTCTGGGCCCAAACATTCTACGCTCCTACTATGCTATTACTGGTCTCTTGACTAACTCCCAATCATCTGTCCATATGGTATTGTTTCTGGACAAATAGATGGTATACGATGCCCTCAGGCTGATCTCAGCGATCTTCATGCAGGCCTTCTTCTTCTCTTTGTTGTTTACGTTCAGGTGGTTCATAAAGGTTGGGAGGCTATAGTTGTAAATGCCTCGAGCTCCCACTTCTACTGTCTGGAGCTTGCAAGCCCATCCGTTGGCTTCTATCTCTTCTGTCTTATACTACTTAAAGGGTGTTTATTAATTTTATTTAGTTTTCTATTGAATTTATATTGAATTTTTATATAGGGTAATTGTTATATTATGTGTATTATGTATATTGTTTGAATAATTTTTCTCTTCTTTAAATATAGTATAGATAGTGATATGTTTGTCGTTTTTGTTTAAATGTATTTAAACAATTTAAGACACTGTACTTTAAAATGAATAAAACATCTTGAAAATTACTGTAATCTCAATTACAATTTTTTAATTCTGAACAATAAAGATTTTGGCCATTGTCCATGCCATTACAAGGATAACACACAAAAAATAAAACTTACGTCACCTATGACCTACACCATTTTACAGTTTATTTTCTTCACCTCATTCCAAGTAAAGGTTAAAATGCACAACTTCTCGAATTTTAAAATAAGTATCTTACAGCTTAGCATTAGGGTTGAATTTAAATTATTTCGAACTTTTGGTGCAGTATAAAAATAAAATCAATTTATTAATAATATTATTTATTTTCTAGTAGAGCAAATAAATATTAATTTTATAACAATTCAAAATCTACATATTTGGACTGTTCATCAAATATATTCCTAAACCTATCACCAAAATAATCATAGTAATAAGAGCTGCCTTTTGGACATTTGCGACATTCAACTTGAGCTTAATCAATAAATTACTCATTCGAAGCTGAAATCCTTCTTTTAGTCTCGTAGACAGTGTTAATGTATTTGTAAACATGCAATAATAAGTCGTTACATTAAGCCATTCTGAATTTATATCATCAAGTTTCAATTGCAACCGTCTCATTAACTTTGAGCAAAATGTTTTATGTTTCATATCAGATCTGTCAGAGGCTGTGGCAACTGCATATTCTATTGCAATGAGAAGAGTACTTATTAAGAGACCCATCCCCAGGAAGTAAAATATGCCTTTCAGTGTCATCAGTTGAAGACTTTCATTTCTTCCAATTTCATTTTCACAATGATTAGATCCTGCAGCATCATTATATCTCTTCCAAAGATCTGAAAAATAAGCTTCTTCTCTCTTTTTCAAAATCAGCCCATTCCAAAGACTCAAGTAGGGTGAATTTTTCGGCAGTCCAAAAGCATAGTCAAATGTTTGAAATTCCGTCTGCACTCTGTAGACATCACAGATCCCCTTAGTATAATACTTCATGCCTACAGTTTCGTCAATAAATGCAAAATGTCCATCATGAAGTCTCATTATACCCTCAGCAACACCTGACAGTTTTTCTGCACCTTGGAGGAGTATCCTGTACTCTGGATCAACATTGTTTTGAAGAAGGTATTCCAAGAAACTATGATCCACTATACCCCATGAATACTTATCTTGTGAGATTAGCCCTTTTGCTGAGTCTATTGAAACACCCATTTTGCCGAGCGTCATGAATGCAGTTAGATTAGCAGTATACATGCACACAATCATCATCACAAAGAACCACCATGTGAAGAGAAAGAACCTTCCTGATGGACTTTCAGGTAACGATTGGCCCCCTTGACCTACATAACCAGCTCCAATCACCCACAGAGAGTTGTAGAATGTCATGTCCGAGGTCTCAGGGCCCTGTTCTTCTGCCTGATCCAGCAAGCAATCACTTGTTGTTAGATCTTTAAATTGCACCCCCCTGTAATACTTCAGTGCTCTCTTTTCAGCACATCTCCTGCATTTACAAGACTGCAATGCATGTATTCGTTTTCCATATGTTCCATAAGGTGACAACTTATTTAGTAAGTTTTGAATAACTGATGCAAAGAACACTGCCCCAACAATCGATATCCAAACACTACAATCAAATGGTCCCAAAAAGAAGAAAATGTTGCTTTTACCAGATTCCCCTTTAATCGCTAGACTCACTCCTGAATCCATAAATGAAACAGTGAAATCGATGTATTCCTTCCTTTCGTAGCTTACAGAGAGGTCAATGGCTATTAGGTCAGTCCTGTGTGCCAGTAAGTCACCAATCAGACCACTCCACTTCTCAGTAGTCTTATTCAAACTTCCAAACTTACGATCATCAGGCATTATAAACTCATATGTGAAGTTTAATTGAGCAGCAAAATCCTTTATGATCTCTGGACAAACTCCTTCCCAGCAATCGTTACCTACACATTCTCCCACTTTTTGAAAGGCAAACGGCGGACTGTAGGTTACACCCACTTTAAGATGCTGCCCATTCAGACTGTTTGGAAGGCCAGATGGTACTTCAGCATCATCTCTGTGCACTTGACCAAGAAACCTAACAACATCTGAATTTTGTTTGTAAAGCATTTGCAAGCCACTTTCCCATATACCTATCTTGTTGAAGTATCCTGGATGAACAAAATTGACTACATCAAACTTAGCAATTTTGCTGTTTCCCTTGCTATCAAATGATAGGGGTCCTGATGCTCCACTCAGGGTTTGCTCTGTGAATCCCCTAAATAGCTTTTCTCCCTGAATCCACGAATTGTTTTGACATGTTGCATTTGGGAATGAAATTTGTTTCATTATCTTTGAAACTCTTTAAAGTTTGCCCAATAATTTGTACAGTATCATACAACTTGGCAAGTCCCGGTGTGATGTGATGTACATTAAGGTTCTGGTTTTCTTTCAGAAAATGGTCTTTAAAATGCCGAAATTCATCACTATTTGTATAAAGAGCATGAGAAATGCCTATAAGCCCTTCAAGGTACGATGGATATCGTCCATTTTCTTTGAGATGCTCAGGATTTCCAGTAATCCCATCAGTAACAATCCACACATACCCATCAGTCAGCAAGTTCATACGATGCGCCTCCCTCAGGACCACTTTTCCATAACGTGCTTCACAGTTAAGAACAACAACTCGAGATAAGGAGCGTCTCATGTTGCCTAGTTGTTGCACTATCTCGATATCTTCTGGGTTTGCGGCTGCATGAAAGAATGAAATGGACTTTATAATTGAGTGTATCTTTCCTCGGTGTGAGTGTGTCTCAAGAAGAAGCTGCTGAAGATGTGTTACCCCGTTTATACCATAGCTACTGTCAGATGCAATTATGCTCACTTCCTGCCAAATATAGAAATTGAGGATATCAAGAATGACATGAGCTTGTGTTCCATCATTTGGTGACAGTAGAAGTACCTTCTCCCTAACCCCACGTATAAGGTGAGGGTCTGTAGCAACACTCGACAAGAGTGGGATATTTCGTGGATTTAGCAAGTCAGCTTGGGCAGCTATGCTACCTGATCCGTCTCCTGATATTACAGCCACAACATTGCTGTCCATAAGCTTACAAGTTGCCTTCATCAGGCCATATAGTGAGAATTCATCGTACTTTTCTACCTTCAATTGGAGCTTTAAGGAATTAGATTCAGTATTGAAGCTATTTACTGCATATGGAACCAACTGTTCTATGGCTGTCTTGTATGTGTTCTGCTTGGAGAGGAGAAAACCTATGGTGAAGTTTTGTATTGCCCCAGTTCCGTGTAGACTGCACAGCACTAACACCAACAGCATGTGGTACCTGATACCTAAAATGTATTTCATTGAAAATATTCGGTGTCAAGAGCTCGAAACTTTATTATTGAACTTGCTTATTTAAAATCAGTAAAGATTTCAAATAATCTATCGGGCATCTAGCATCTACAAGGTCGTACTTTGGGTGAGAATCGAACCATTTCAATTTATTGCTAACCAATGGCACGACAGGCCATTCGTTTGAACTTAAACTGGTCCGAAATTTGACTGAGCTGCTGAAATCGATAATATATTTAATGACTCCTGCAACGTGCACTGATTGAAGAAAATGGAATTGATAAATTAAACATTTCTACTCTCAAAGTACGTGAGGCTTAGGTTTTTTTTTGCGTGCGAGAAAAAAAATAACTTGAACAAGTAAACTTAGCTAGCTGAAAAATGCTTCAATGAAATCTTAAGTACTGAGACAATTTTTTGTTCGTAATTAATTGCATCACGATAATGCTCAATGATTCCTGAGCACCGATGGTACTTATTCCACCTTGCTTCCTGCTGATTATATAACAGCATATCAGAACCTAGCAAGAAATCTCCTCCTTAATTCTTATAATTGCCCCTCTTCCTGAGACCTATTTAGCAATTACTTAGCAATTACCAGTATATTATCCAGTGATTAGTGTTGAGTATGCAGCTTAACATAAGAAAATCCCGATACCCGATGATTTCAAAATATTTTATAAGGGCCGGTCTAAAATTATTTCGTTCCTATATCTCAATTTTAAGTTCACTAAAGCGATCTCCCTGATAGAATGAGAAACACAGTATACGGAGACAGTCCCGAACCCGGAGAACCTGACCCACTAGTCAGTGAGGAGGTTGTGGGGAATGTATCCAAACTTTGTGTGCTTCCTCCTGGATACCGGGGTCCGCCTCGCAAGGGACATCTCATATTTGATGCCAACTTTGAAAGTGGTTAGTTAGTTACGTGTGTGGAATAATGCAAATCTGATCAATAATAATTATAGACGATGGTAGTTTAGTTAAATGTAAGTTGGAATAGTGTTTTTTATACGTCATATCAATCATAATTGTTATATAATTGATATATAATTGAATTATAATTGCTGTATATTTGCCAGGTAATCTGGGGCGGGTGGACTACATAACGGAGTTAGAGTACGATATCTTTATCAGACCGGACACCTGCAATCCTCGCTTTAGAGTCTGGTTCTATTTTACTGTCGAGAATGTCAAGTCTGACCAGGTTTGTAGTTGACGATAATCTTAGCTAAGGTTAGTTAGTCGTTTTGGATTATAGTAATAATAATATGATAAAGTTGGTGTTTGAGTCACGGTTAGCGTTGTGGATAGAAATAGGATGAGGATTCGGTATTATGAGTAAAAGGTAACGTTGAATGCGTAGTAAAATTCCGCGAGTTTACGGAAAATCAAACGTCGTACGCCCCCAAATTTTATACTCCTCCATGCTTTTACTTTTAGTTGATATTGCTAAATATTCTGTTGTTTTACTGATCGTGTGGGTAACATGAAGGCTCAACATAATTCTTAATGTAGTTATAACAAACAATCGTGCTAACCGTCGTGCAAACAGTCGTGCACATTAACCGCTGTTACACGTCAAAACAAAGTCATTTATCAACTTTAAGTTATCAACTCTATCGCAACTATGCTTAATTAATACAACTAAGTTCATCTATCAGGAATGGTGCATCATGAAACTTAATTTTAAAATAGATTAATAACTACCCCTTGTATCGTGTTTCAGAGGGTGATATTCAACATCGTGAACTTTAGCAAGACAAAGAGTTTGTACAGGGAAGGGATGAGCCCCGTTGTCAGATCTACCTCACGACCAAAATGGTAAGAAAAATAAAGTCTTGGATTTTTAGGCTCCCCACGAATAGTTTTTGAAGCAGTGGTCTCATAATTAAGATTTAGACGAGCTGTTTTATAAATCTGTGTATATCTATAATTTGCACAATACAATGCATAATTTGATATTTATAAAGGCTCTGGAAAGTATACAAACCTCTAAAATTCTTTTGTTTAGGCAAAGAGTTCCTGGAAAGAACGTGTTCTATTACAAGTGTCCGGACCACAGAAAGAACTATGTTATGTCCTTTGCTTTCCAGTTTGATCGAGAGGACGATGTGTATGAGGTAAGGCTACCTCTGCTTTGAGAGAAATTTCGTTGTGTGATTTTTATATTGTTAATTTAGAAGTTTCTGATTTTCTTTACCAACCTAATGAATTGATAATTAAAAAAATTATTATTCTACAATAAGCGTGACAGTCAGACAGTGGTGAGTGGTTAACCAGTCAGCGTCTAGCATCGGCCAATTTTATTTCAATAATTTAAAGAAAATTCAAAATGTAATGATTAGTAAACAATTATTTTATCATTTTAATCGCACAATAAAATGTAACATCAGACCAATTCACATCTTGAATATAGTACGGTCAGGTAATTAAATCACAAAACATCAAATTTTAATAAATGAAAGATAGATCACATTATTCAGTAATCTAAACTTAAAACAATTTATTTCTACTTCGTAAAAATTCTAACATTAACTCCATTCTTTGGTCTAATTGTAATGTTTCCCAGCATCATAAGATCTGTTTCCTGTGGGGTCGCGTTCACAACCACAAACTTTCTAAAAATATTCGCCAAAATTACTTTCATCTCCAAAATGGCAAAGTTTTTCCCAATGCAATTTCTTGGACCTGTTGAGAAAGGCATGTAGGTATAGGGTACAATGTTTTTCATGGAGGCCGGTGAAAATCGTTCTGGGTCAAAAACTTCAGGGTCTTTCCAATACCTGGAATCAACGTGCAGGTTAAAGTATGGGACGTTAAACTTGGTTCCTTTTGGAAAGGATACTCCGTTAATACTTGTTCCATGAGACTGACACTGTCTTGTAGTTCCAACGGCTGGTCCTTTGAGCCTCAAACTCTCTTTTATTATCATTTCAATGTACACCAACTTTTGAACATCTTCAAAACATATCTGATCTCTGTCTCCGAAAACATCCTTAACCTCGGCTTGAGCTTTTTGGTAAACATGAGGGTTCATTGATATGAACCATACAGCACATGCCATTGTTATGGATGTTGTCTCCATGCCAGCTACCAGGAAAACATTGTAGTCATCAATCACATCTTCCATCGTCAGATCATCTGAACAGTCATTTCCTCGGATGATATGCGATAAAACATTATTTTCTGTAACAGCTTTATCTCCTATTTTCTCCAAATGTTTCCTACTTAAATCTCGAATCGGTTGAACTGCATTTTTGAATTGCTCTTTTTCAGGTAATCTTCCCCACGGATTCTTGAAGGACAGTGGATTTTTGAAGACCACTGCCGTTAACTGAACCATCACTCGGGCCATCTTCAATGCTGCGTCTCCGTGTTCTGCTGCCATTTCTTCGCTCCAGTTAAATCCGCAAAACGAAATCGCCTCGAAAGCGGCTCTGTCCAAAAATTCTGAGATGTCAAAGGCTTGGCCACATTCGGCTTTTGTATTCAGGACTTTGACCAATCTTTCAGCAACTTTGTTCATTCCGTCCATGGTTGTTCGAAGGAAAGATCTGGTAAAGGCAGGGTCCATTATTCTTCTTTTAGCTGCCCACACATCCCCTCCCGGGTCACTCAGTAACCCATGGTTTCCGAATGCTCGAGTCTTACCACACCAACCCAAGGTTTGCTTCAGTATTTCCCTCTTATGAAAAGTAATCCGGTCGGTGAGGAGTTTGGGTATAATTCTAAGATCCAGAGTCAAGACCAAGTTCATGGTGAACAGCGCCAAAACTACTGTTTCTTCACCTGACTCTTTCTGATATTCACCGACTATTTGCATAAAGTTTTCCTCTGGGGCCTGATTTATTCTCATCCTTAAATTTGGAAGATGGCCCATGAACCACTTCAACGAAATGGGTATGGGAAATGAAGCGATGTGTCGGTATTGTCGTCGTTTCCAGAAAAGATACAAGTTAAGTGCGATGTAGCTCAAAAGGAACAGAACGAGCATCTTCAAGATAAGGAACATGACTTTGCTTGTATTCTGCTGTCGATATCCTACAAAATAATAAAGTGGTTAAAATAATTAAATAGTGGGTGTTATATTGAGTTAAATTGAGTCTCATTTCTTGGATCTATTGAAATACACTTATTGAATGAAATGTTTATCAAATTGTTCATAATACAAATTAATATCACAATTGTCTCATATTTGTATCAAGTCCCTTCTAAGTCGTTCATATTCCTTTAGAGAGTCTTTAGTCGTGAGAAAACTCTTGAGCAGTGACATATCATAAACGTCGTAAGCCATCCCTCCCTAGGGATTATAATACATAATATTAAGATATGACCATCTTATAAAATCAAACCGAAATATAAAACATATATCATAAAATATCAGTCAAGTTATATTATCAAATCAACAGTGGGTACATAAATGTTTAAGAAAAGTTTATTAAATACTTTTAAGACTTTACAGAGCAATTATAATGCTTTTGGAAACGAAGGAAAACACACAACGTATAGCAATTATAAGGTTTAAATGAGAATATAATGAACTGTTGCCCCTGTCTTAATTTGTTTGCTTTCATCTCTGTCTGAACTGTTGTTTGGACTGACTTGAGTTCGTCATCCTTCTTTTCGATAAGCTTACTGTGCGTATGGGGGGCTGCAAAACAATTAAAAATGTGACAATCAGTTTCCAGCCAATAAGACAGACGACAGTTTTTCTTTCGAAACTGATCGCTTGTTCAAGTTAGTTGATACGAGGAATCCGTAGTCCTCCACTCTGAGGTCTTGACACATCTCATTGAAAACACTGTTTTTACTTTTAGCCCCCCCCCCCCTACCTGGTCTGCATGCCTGATCTTGAACGGATCAACATAATCGGGGTCATCGGCCAAATCGGCTACACAGTACACAGTTCACAGTACACAGTACACAGTACACAGTACACAGTACACAGTACACAGTACACAGTACACAGTACACAGTACACAGTACACAGTACACAGTACACAGTACAAAGTACACAGTACACAGTTCACAGTTCACAGTACACAGTACACAGTACACAGTACACAGTACACAGTACACAGTACACAGTACACAGTACACAGTACACAGTACACATCACACAGTACACCGTACACAGTACACAGTACACAGTACACAGTACACAGTACACAGTACACAGTACGCAGTACACAGTACACAGTATAACAGCTTATAACAGAGCTCGCTATTTGCAACAAAATGTAAGATGTAAAATTACAAAATATCCTGTCCAAACCCAGGATGCACTACTTGAAGAATTCGTTGTAACTTTGTTTAAAAAGCATTAATACAACTAATCTTTATTAAGGAGTAAGATGCAAGAAGAAACACATGCTCGTTAGATTCCGTCTCACAGAACTCAAACAGTGGTGTGACATGAATGTGAAGGAGGTATTCTTAGAGTAATCAAATGAGATAAAATAAAGAAAATGTGATAAAGGATGAAGTAATCAAGATTATAAGGAATAAAGATAATAAGTCAAAGCAAATTTTGCCACAACTTTCTATAAATACCAAATTAACGGGTTATTAAATTACTGATTACTAGAATAAGATTATTTTAAATATAGGTACATCTTAGACCCTACTATTCTTCAACAAAATGACTAGAACGAAACCTAGAAGTGGTACGAGGCAGCAGTGGTCTTTTAACTTCCCATTCCATTTCCGCTATATCAAATTTCTATAGATTGTGGTATCACAGTATAACAGCTATGCATTATGCAAGATCAGTAATTGGTGTCACGTTTCAATTTTGATCAGCTGTTCATGCAAGGGTGCTGGGTGGGGTTGCAGCCCAAAGCCTGTAAACTGTATCAAGGAACTTTTTGCAAATCGGTTATTGTAAGAGTTTGTGAAAATGTATTTCAAGTGAATACAAGGGTAGTAGTAGTAGTAGTATGTAGTTAGATCAAGAATCAATAGTTCCCACAGTCAGACAACGAATGAGTAAGTACATGTAGTTACAGCGTATATTAAGTAGTGTAACAAAATTAGGACCTGAAATAATAAAGTAATGAGTAAATATTTCATACATGAAAAGATAATATGTAAATAGCATGAAATTGGGTGTAGATCTTTTTTTCGAGCAATTACATGGCATGGTGATTAAGACCAAGAATCGGGGTTTGTCAAAGCAAATTCTACTCGACAGCTTTTCTAAAAATGAGCTAAAATGTAGCTAGAAAGAACCAGACAGTTTTAGAAGCTTTTACATCATAGCTGGGCTCGTTGACGGATATAAAATGTTAAAAAGTATTATGAAATTGACTACAATATACAAACTACAGTTTACTACAGAGTAATTTGCATCGTGATCAACACAGTCTACAATCTACACGGTAATCGTACTGTAGTGCGACACGTACTCTAGTGCGACACGTACTCTAGTGCGAAGTCCGACAAAAACACCCTCTGTCGCACTACAGTACGTGTCGCACTACGATCCAGGTAGCGTACTCTAGTGCGAAAAAATATCCTGACTTATTTTCAAGTTCAGGTCACATCCTATCCTTCTTATGGACCATTAAGTGATTCGTCGGGTCGGTTCACGTCATTTTTTTCGAAGTGATCTTGCGAATACGATTCGTCAGTTCACATCACGTGTTTCGAAGTTATCCACTGATCATAATTCCTTCGGGTCAGTTCAAGCCACGTATGCAGTGTGTGATCCACTGGGTTACTCTTAAGCAGCATATGATCCTCATTCCTATCACACGCATCGTATGAAGGTATATCTCCGATTGGGATAACAAGTTCATATGCTTGGGCCATAAATAAGGTCACGATGATTCCACCAAAGCATCGAACAACATCAACATGTCTTCTTCAATCACCTTCATTCCTGGACACACTACTGGTTCAAGAAACGTTATCCACGACGGATACCGCTACTGCCTGGATAAGAATTGTGACGACAAGACCTACTGGCGATGCACTGAGAAGACCTGCTCCGGACGTCTCAGTCTGACGAACAACACTACTGTGACCTGGACGCAGCTGAAAGCAACCCTTCCCTCGGAGATGGATTCCTTTGCTGCCTAGTGACTACTACGAACGTACCTGGGTCGGAATACAAAACTCCTCTCCCCCTTGATGGGCTGCACCAACCCTACTATCTGGCGATTTATCGACGTCCTGAAGAAGGAGCATGATCTAACCCGATGGAAGATCAACCAGAAGAATGAAGATGCTCAGACAACTACCTCCTCGCCGACTGAAGAAGTGGACTGATTACGACCGTCGCTTGTAGCGCGATGCACTACTGGGTCGCGCGCGCGCATCCAATAATGCTTCTCGCAGATCGGCGAGATGCGAAGGATTGACATCGTGAATCAAGACCGTCGCTTGAACGCTGTGATTGATAGTTACGATGATTATGACAGAATGGATTAGTTGAAGTGTGTTTGAACAATGATTTTGAATTGAATATTGGGATTGCAATCTTTGATTTTATATTTAACCCCATTACTCATACACGACTACACTCTTGTCGTTAAAAATGGAAAGTAAAATTTTTATTGAATGTGCAAAGTGTTTTGTCGCACTTTAGTTCGTGTCGCACTACAGTCTAGGTAGCGCACTGTAGTGCGACAGTGTCGGCCTTGAAAATTCTCTGTCGCACTAGGGTACGTGTCGCACTACGATCCAGGTAGCGTACTCTACTGCGACAGTGTCGATCTTGGAGGTTTCGCACTAGGGTACGTGTCGCACTACAGTACGTGAACCAATCTACACTGTGTACTCCAATTCGTGTACATAATGTGCTGAATGAAAATAGCGTTTGTTTCCAGAACATTTCACTAAAGCAGTAACTAACATTTAGAGGGTAAGAGGCGACTTTAGAGTCCCATTTAACAAATCCTGGTATAAATGAATCTTAAAATATGAAGCGATTTTTTTCTCAAAAAGCTGCATAAATAGTGCAGCGAGTAACAACAGAAGTCATTGATTCTCTAATAAACTGCGAAGGAAGTACATTTAACACAACGAAGGAGTGAAAGAGAGAGCGCGGTATGGAATGGTATATGGGTGTATCATTATAACTGTTTACATTATTACATTTCGTTCATTACCCACTCAATAATGAAAGGTAGTCAGGCTCCCAGTACCTCGACACACTGTATTACAACTACATATATTAATGTACTATTAGGTTAAATATTGGGCACCAAATGTGGTTCTCTACAGAAAATGATCAACAAAACATTCTCCACAAACAACTCTCAACAAAACACAATTCTGTTTGCATAACATTATAACATTATAAGGTGCCCAATATAACACTGTGTTAGGATAATACGACTCACCTACTTTTCAGTACAGATACCAGACACCAATGTTTAATCGGTTTATCTTCTTTGAGGTGTGACAACGGTATATTATAAGAAGATATTCTCGTAATTAAACCACAAAGCTGATGAATATTATGGTTTCAGTTTGCATACTGTTTCCCGTATACGAACGCGCGTCTAAGCAGCTGGATAGCTAAGCAGGAAGAAAGAGATATTGATTACTTTTACGCAGATGTACTCTGTGATACTGTGGTAGGTTTTGGTAACAGAAAATTAGTTGTGATAAATGAGATTAATTACAACTTGAAAATTTACTTAGTACTTAATAGAAAATAAAATATGATTTTCTGCTCGTTTCGGTAGCCATTTACACGCCATTTATTCATTGAGACAAAAAGTTAAATATTTTATTAATCTTTTCGCAATGGTTGTTTCTCTATCTTGATGACAAAGTATATTATTTCAGCAACAAAGAAATCTAGATATTATCACGATTACTTCACCCGGTAAGACATTTTGTTGAAAAAATAAAATAAGATCCTGCAATGGAAAATATGCACCAGAAATTTTGCAGATTGATGCTCGCTACTGGAGTAGTAAAAACAGTGTTTATAAATTTATTGTTCAAGCCGATAAAAGTTGCCTTGATGATTAAAAGAGTGTGTTATGAAGGTGGCCTCATTTTGCATCATGTATACAATGACTCTAACTCGAATTGCTATGCTTGTCAATATTACATCAACCATTTCGTTAAAGGTCACAGAATGGGAGAACATGATTTAGTGTCTCTGTCACAATAATTTTATGCGTTCGGCGCACGCGCGAAACTATTTTGATATATAAAATGCCATGACGAGCATCTAGTGTAAATATAACATGTGCAATCGCGCGCGACGTGAGTTAAATAGTTTGATTTTTTCGAGGCTTTTCACAATTCTTTGAGAAATGTCATTTTCTGAAATGAAGCGATTGTTTTACAGTTAACTTAACTTCAACAAAAACTATACTTAAAATAGACTTATTTTACTTAACTTATTTGATAAAAACTATACTTAAGGAAGCCCATTCCCAACATTTCATGGGAATAAACTTTATTTATAATTATCTATTTACCTTTGTTTAAGTGAGGAAGCATATGTTTAACAAACGTTTCTCGGACTGAATATTACAGTCAAAATATTCTCAGCCATACGGCCTTACAGTCTACTATGAGCGAACAAATGTTTCTTCAAAGCAGTACTCGATCTGTTAGTTTTGTAATCAAATTTCTCGCATATAACAAGGAACTGAAACCGAGGGGTTCCGTTAAGGCCCTTCACACTTTGTTTCTGTCTGGTTCTAATGTACCGTCACAATAGTGACTTTAATATATAAAAAGCTTTTCTCCACTATGAGTCAACATAAATTATGCCTCCTCAAATGTGTGTCCTCTCTGATTGTGTGTTCTTGATGTTTTCGAGGGTTTTTACTTATATAACACTCGTTATAATTCTTTGAGAAATGAATCGATTATTAAGACACCTTTAATAAACAAACAATATTTAATAATGACCATATTTGTAGCTGAAATTCTAATACAGATTACAATTATAATGAAGTTTTATATAACCCATTCCAGATATTTTCTGGATTTAAGTTTCTTTATAATCATTTAGTTACCCATTGTTCATGTGATAAGATAAGCGTACAATTATTTAAAAACGTTGGACAAGTTAAAAAACCGTAACAGTAATCAATCGAAATTGTTGTGAATTGAAGAGACCTCTTCTGATACAGAATCCAGTGACACTTGAGGAGATCACGCGTTTAAGTTTTCCTCCGCCAGGGAAAATCTGCTACATGACAGGCGACCTGGTGGCAGGTCATTAAAATGAGGAAATGAAATGACGCAAGTTTAAAACTGGTGGGAAATTGAAGTAATGAAAAAAACTGTGAAAAGTGCTGAGTTTAGATAGTTAGTTTCTCTACTATAATCCAACGCCAGTTATTGAACTCGGCTTCTCTCCGGTCTGTGTTCGTTTGGGAAAAGTTAGATCGTCTTTTCAATCAGATGAGTAGTCACACACGTCAATATATGAAAGGCTTTTCTCGGTTATGGCTTATGCGTCAACATATGCCTTTTCAAATTTCCTACCGTCCTCGACTTATAGTCGCAGACAGCACAGTGGTAAGGTTTTTCTCCCGTGTGCATCCATTTGTGAGTAGTGAGATATTTCTTTCTATAAGTCGAGTAGTCACACACGTCACATATAAAATGTTTTTCTCGGGTATGCGTCAACATATGCCTTTTCAAAGTTCCTACCGTCCTCGCTTTATAGTCGCATACAATACAGTTGTAAGGTTTCTCTCCTGTGTGAATTCGTTTGTGAACTTGAAGACTCCCGTTTTGGGCAGCTGAATAGCTACACATATCACATTTGAATGGTCTTTCTCCGATGTGGATCCTTCTGTGCTTTTGCAAATTGCCAGGAGCATATTTGCAAGGTTTTTTAACAAGCTTAGCTGATCTCTGTACAGATCCAGACGGAGATGTATCTTTAACAGGTAGAGGATCACCCAATCTGTCCTGAGGCTCAGTAGTTTCAGGAATAGGAGAGGACTTTCCTTCAGTATGCGATGATGTAGAGACCGGAAGATAACAACTATCACACTGAAATTCTCTATAGTCAAAAGGTTTAGCTTTAGCAACTACACTATAAATATTCCTCGTATCCTCTGTTGTTATGACTTTACCGTTTGCGTCTTGGTTTTTAAAGTGATCATGATCAAATTCCGACTGTTTAGCCGATACGCCGTCAGCTTTTAGGTTGTATTTTTCGGCGTCGTCATCACACTTACAAGTGCGTGTTAAAGAGGGCCAGATTGATTTAGTATCAACCTGTTGGGCGTGTGCTATCTCTTCTTTAATTTGAACCTGTAGAGTTTCTGTCTTCTCCTCTTTGATTTGAACCTGTAGAGTTTCTGTCATCTCCTTTTTGATTTGAACCCCCTCAAACTCTTCTGAGATCTAAGAATATTGTTTACAGTTTTAGCAAGCAAAATTATCAATGAAAGGATCGCGTTATTTGTTATTTGTAACGACCTAATCCTCAAAGTACAATTATTAAAAAATCGCTAGACAAGTAAAACAACCGTGACAGTAATCAATCAAAATTGTTGTGACTCGAAGAGACTTCTCCAGAACACAGTGAAGTATGTAAAAAAACCTGAGCAGTGATATCACGTGTAAAAGCAGTGATATCACGTGTAAAAGCAGTGATATCACGTGACCTGCTACATGACCGGTTACTTGGGAACATGCCAGGATTCGTAGTAGGTCAATAAGATGAGGAAATGATCCCGAGGTTTTCAGACCTGGATTAATCCTAGCTCATGACTCAACACTTACTTTACCCGCTATAAATTTAAAATGTACACTCATAATATGACGTGATAACTTACACTTTTGACTTTGACATTATTTCAGATAACATTCACCCTACTAAACAGAAAAGAGTGATATTCATTACTGCCAGAGTTCATCCAGGAGAATCACCCTCTTCGTATGTCTGCGAAGGTAGGTCTAAACAATTTATCTTTGACGCGACATTTTAAGCTGGATATCTTTTCGTCTAAGAGTGAAAATGACTGTAATACTGAGATATTGAGGCATCTAAATTTTGACTTGACTTATGAAAATATTTTTTTATTTCAGGGCTTATGGAATTTATATTGGAGGACACACCTGAAGCCAAAGCTCTAAGGGATCACATAGTCTTTAAATTCGGTACAATTTTTCACTTCAAGAAGTATACTGTCTGTACTGTATAGACACTAGACAGATTTAAAGAAAGCCACTTGACGAGAGCAGAACAGTTACAATCCTCTAAAATGAATCTAAGAAAACTAAATAATTTCCCTTAAACACGAGCCCTTGTTCTGCAGTGCCGATGTTGAATCCTGACGGAGTAGCGCTGGGTAACTACAGGTGCTCACTAATGGGGTTTGATCTGAACAGACATTGGACTGACCCGTCCAGGTGGGCTCATCCTACCCTTGAAGCTACTAAAGCTCTGCTCCTGGAATACAATGATAACCCTAGTGTTGATTTGGACTTTTACATCGGTCAGTTGTTGTTTAGGTTTTATGGTCAATCTGCTGCATAATTTCATTTTGGGTTCACCACCCGATTTGCAACGGCATGTAATATAGTAATATAACTTTAGATGTGCTCTCAATTGTGATGTTTTGCAACTGTTTATTTAAATATCACCTTCTTGTTCAGATATCCACGCGCACTCAACTCTTATGAACGGGTTCATGTACGGCAATGTGTACGATGATAATGACAGATTTGAACGGCAAGCTGTGTTCCCCAAACTCCTTTGTAACAACGCTGAGGACTTTTCTCTGGTAGGAGTCACGTGATTGTCTTTGTTTATATTGAGCACAATACTAAAATTGTCATATTATCCTTTTATGATTACATTTGATAACATATGTTCGAGCTTTTCATTTAGAATGAAAACAAATCTATCATATTATGGAGCCAGGGTGTGGATTAGCTACGGCTGATTTAAGCACTTCCATGACCCATCCCATTAGATAATAGTAATACATAATACATCTTACTATATATAAAGCGAGACGATATATATATGGATCCGTACCATTTTACTGACACCACGGCATCAAAATTAACGCGACTTTCCGCAAAAACCGTAAAAGATTAACAACTGAAACGTTTTTTACTGGGTCAAATGTTTTAATGGCCTTCAAATCAGCATCAAAAAATAAAAAATAGGCCAAGGAATCGGAATTTTAGAGCCCAAAATTTGGACCCCCAAGTGGTATCAAAAATGCGAATTACAAAAGTAATAATTATTTTAGTCTCTTGAGTCTTGACACCATTTTAGGGTTATACGGTTTCCTGCTATGTATGTATTATGTATTATACATAATACATACATATTACATAATACATACATATTACATAATTACATATATAACAATACTGAACCACTACACTCCCAGGCCTTCACCTCGTTTAACAAAGATGCAGTGAAGGCGGGGACTGGTAGGCGTTTCCTGGGATCGTGCCTCAGTCCCAGATCAAACTGTTACACACTTGAAGTGTCCTTTTACAGCTACACCACTCAGAATAGCCAGGTAAGCATTGAAACACTCTCACCAGGCCTGTAAAAAGAAGTTTCAAAATGTAAGTAGTTATCATGATAAGAATTTGGTTAACATCACACATGATGATACATATACCAGTGCCAGCCTCCAATTTTGTTATTTCTCCAGGTGATCCCGTACTCAGTAGACGGATACATCAGCCTGGGACGGAACGTGGCTAAAACCTTCCTGAACTACTACCAACTAACACCAGTCACCACTCCCCCCACTGCTACCCAGCTGATGCCGCCTGTTAACAAGTCTAAACTTAGGGCGCATATTAGAGATGAGGTCCTCATGGTCCATAGACAACGAAACAATACTTCAAAGTAGGCGGGAGTTACACTTTAGTTTTTATTATGTTACGTTTAAGTTATCAGGACCCAGCGAATTAAGTTGTGAAGTCTTGTCAGCACATTTCAGCGTTAGGATAAAATTAATAATACCTCTAAGTTTTCCGGGGTTTCTATTTTTAATCGATTTTTAGTTTTATGCATACAAGGTGGTCCAAAATTGTTTGGACTTTCGGATAGCTTTAAAGGGTATCGTTGCCACAGCTCAGTGCTTGAAGAATTTAGATAAATTGTATTAAATGTAATCAAATAGAATTTTTTTTTAAAATCATAAAACTTAATGAACCGACAAACACAGCATATTTCCCACAGGACAACCCTCCAAACAGATTCTAGTCGGAACCCCTCTGATGCAATTTATAAACCCGCTTATGAAGCCCAACTTTCGAACAGGTCAGACACCAACTGCTGTAAAACACATATTATAATCATGCAAAGTCTGATGTTTTCCTGTATTTAGGCCCTAGCATGTGCATGTTTGATTTCAAGCCTCAGATTAAAGTTCAAATTTTAAATTTTTTGATTCGCATGTTACAGCACGACGTCGTTACAATCCTACATAAAACAGTTGAGGAGCAAGATGGCCAGGGAACTTACACAAAAACAAGTTCCCTCCAAGGAGATGATGTGTACCCCTAATTCTACAGTCAGGTTTGTTATGCAGGCTACATTGCTGACTGTACTGTACATTTACTGTACATTTACTGTACATTTACTGTACATTTACTGTACATTTACTGTACATTTACTGTACATTTACTGTACGTTTACTGTACATTTACTGTACATTAACTGTACATTTACTGTACATTCACCGCACATTTACTGCCGCGAATGTTCATAACAATCTCTACAACTCAACGTCTTACATTTAACATTTTTAGTCAATCATTATCTTATCTTAGGACTCCACATTCACAAACTTATCACAAACTTCAATATAATTATACACATAAATAATAATAATAATAAATATGTACATACCAGTTAATATTATCCACTCTTTTCACTATTTCTCAGCAGTATGTTCACTGCAAAGCGGGCGTACGAAACTTTGCGTAGTTTGTCACCTGTTACAGTTCTGTATGAATCATACTCGCCTAGTGCTAGGTCAGCATCACCCGTCACCCATCACCCACCACCTGTCACCCATCACAACAACTCATCTTTCACTAGAGTCTCGGAGGTGGGTTGGATTATAGGTTTTAAGAAACAGTGGAGAGTTTCATTACGAGAGTTATTCTAATCCACATGTTATTTTTCCATATAATTTGAGATTTTGTATTGAACCATATTTTTTGTCTTTGCCTATCGACGAATAGGGAGATTCTTTAATCACACCTAGTAACACCTATTGGCTATTAACACCTTGTATTACCTGATACCACCCAGTAACGCCTAGTAACACATAATACCATCTAGTGTTACCTAATACCACCCAGTAACGCCTAGTATAGTAGTATCACCTAATACCACCTAGTAACTCCTATTAAGACATATTAAACACTTAGTAACACCTAGTAACACCTAACACCACCTAGTAACACCTAGTAACACCTATTAACACTTAGTAACACCTAATAACACCTATAATAATACATGTCACCTAGTACTAACGCTGACACCCCAGGCCTTCACCCAGGTCTCAACTGACCAGCACGTTGATGAGCCCGACAAGCCCGCTCCCAGGACCACCTCCTCCTCCACAGGCCCTGACCAGTCCCCGGGGCCCCGCTCTGAGGGGACTAGACGACCCTTTACCCGACCAAGTTAGTTCTTATTAGTAGTAGCACGACGTTATTCATTCCTATATCGGACACGGCTTAGTTATATTAGTATATGCTAAAATTGGGACCCAATTTAGCATTTACCTGAAACATTTTTGCACCCTTGAACAATACCAATGCCCTGACATTGTTAACTAATAGTATAACTACTTATTATTATCTTATATTTATTATAACTTTGCCCGACAGAGTCGAAGGAACCAGCAGTTGGCGACAATGCCTCCCGCACCAAGTTCCGAATATCGAAGACGAGGGAACGGTAAACTCGGTAACTACCTCCTCAACCCTCTACAGCACGACAATTCTCTGTGAACTGACTGTCAGCATCTTTAGATTCAGAATATAATATTCATCAAACAGCATGGACCTGGTCAGGAACACTTTAAATTTGACGATAGCATGATCATCAAGATCTTGATAGTTCTAGTTTTGGGTTTGGCGTTTTGGGCGTTCGGCGTCAGTGAGATTACTTTGAGTTGGTTGCAGATGCAGTTTGTAATGAATTGTTTATAAATGTAAATATTTTAAAATGTAATTATTAAATAATTAATGTTTATTTATGTAACTTTGAGAGTATTATATTCAGGTCTTTGATATAGTGTTCTTATTTCCTCAGATTTCGTTTGATGAATAATCAGTTTGGTTGAGAGATGTTTATTTTAATTCTTCATTCGCCTCAAATTTGGTTTATTATTATTTAATGACACTTCATCTAACTTATATTAAGGCAAACTTCAGACAATCTTTCGGTGAGTTGATGATGCAAGTTAAATTTTTTGCAGTGACCAGATCTTTCGAAATCCATATAATTAGAGGAAAGATGAAGAACTAAAAACATAAAATTGCAAGGCAGTGAAGGATCATTTAGATGAAATGTTTAATGAAACTTTCGGTAGGTAAGAGACATACAAAAGGTCTAGGGTGCATGTGAAAAATAATAATAATCAAAACCAAACGAACAGGAACTTTTCAAAATTTTGAATTTTGCAATAAAGTCTGGTGCAGAAGTATTGGGTTTTTCTATGGCCGATACAGTTGTTTAATCGGTCGTATTGAGGAGCAAGTCATCTCTCCTGTCGTGGAAGAAGTAACACGACTCTAAAGAAGAGTTGAGCGCTATCGCGGTGTAAACGGGGTTGTAGTTGTTGATGCTTCTCTTGTAGAACTCCACCGACTCGGAGAACTGGTTTTTGCTTTGACGAGCCTCGCCAACAAAGAAGTTAGCCAGGTATTGCATAAAAAGGATCGCATTTTTGGTGTGAGGAATACTTTTATACGTCGTCCATTCGAAAGCGTTCTTTTCTGGGTGAAACTGAGAAGCGTAGATCGGTATTTTTTTGTGTTCCACCAGAGCTATGTATTGTTTCCCATTAGCGTCCCAATTTACCGCCAGTAGGTTGAAATTGTTGTGGAGCGGACCATCGGGACTCTCGATCTGTTCTGCACCGATACAGAAGGAGTGTGCATTGTAGACCAGTTGTTCGGTTTGAACAGCTTGGTAAAGTTTGCTGTCTAGATTAGACAACATTCTTGAGTCCTGTGCTCCCTGAAATTAGATTAAAATGTTTGAGAAATTTGACGCCTCTTTTTCATTGAGATGGTAAGCGATGGTAGCGGTAGTGTTACATACCCTTACGAAAATAGCACGAAATGTTGCCCTTCAAATCTTCAGAACAATAAAGATTTCCATTTTCCTTATCTACTTACCTCCTGAATGGTGAGATTGTTTGGCATGTGAGCGGAGCACCTAAATCGTATGTCTGTTGTAACGTTGGCATTTGCTTCTGCGTACAGTATAGCCTCAAAACCTGTGGAAATTTTCGTTACGATACAAGTAAATTAATCCTTCACTGCGATAGACCATTACATGATTAATTCTAAGGTTCTACTTACTCTTAAGGTTTGGAGTTTGGAGTTTGGACTATGATGAATGAAATCAGGTATAAATTGGGTAATGACTATTGGATTTACCTAAGCAAGTGCCCCAAAGTGGAAAGTAGGATCCGTTTTTGTTGGAATTCACTGTCCAGTCGTAAATGTACTTGGAGGCTTCATAGAACTTGGAGTTGGGGAATATCTGAAACATTATATGATGTCTGAACTCTGAAGAGAAGGTAGACTCAAAAAATTTAAACTTTATCTTCAGAATGTACAATTTTAATGCACCTTCAACCAACCAACTTAATTAGGATACCAACTATCAGAAGTAATTGTATAATAATCTGTGATTCTTCGCGATAAGTAAATAAGTATAGATAGGACATGATTTGTACAATTCCTCTTCAAACCTGGGCGCCGCCAGGGATTAACATTCCATTTATGGAATGAAGAGTTCGGTTCATTTGGTCAGGAGACATGGAGTCAATGACTGGAATAACTTGTGCGCCTATAGGGGTGCAATAGTATAAATAGAATAGTTAAATGAAGGGAAAATCACTTGATTTATTTACTAAGAAATTTGCAGATAAACCTAACCTTCGACTTGTACTGGACGTGAAATATTTAAGCATAACTAAAACTAAAAGTTAAAAAAATAGTCTCGAACCTGCCATCTCCAAAAACTTGACGTAGGAAGCAGCAAGGTAGGAGTGTCCGTACCTCTGGAACTGTCCATTGGTCTTCTGAGTGAGGATGCCAATAACTGGGCCCTTGTAAGTTGGAGGGTAGGAGACAGCTTTGTTTGCCGTGGCTGGAGCACAGTTCATCCCAACTACCATACCCAGAACCAAGAGCAGATAACCCGTCATCATTTTCTGCTACTTTAACTGACAACTACTACTGTTGTAGCCTGGAATCTTACGATTTTCGGTTGGTCAGCGGTTTCAACAATTATTAAACTTGAGATTAAATTGGTGGAATGCAGAAACCGGATAGAAATAACTACAGTGCATCTCACAATCTGGGACCTGTATTATATAAATAGCCGATGACCGCGAGACACTAGATTTTTCCATCAAATTCTCACTATAAAACTCAATGATCACGTCTAGGATACGTAGGCCACAATTCAATGGAAATCGCGGTGCTAACCAACTTTCTGATCAGCTTCACTCAACGAGGAGACCCTCACAGGACCATAAAATGTAAACAATTGAATCTTAAAGTCTAAAAATTGTTTAGGTAATCGAAGCTAATTGATCGTGAACATGAGTCGCAGGTGTAAATATAGTAATACAATGCAAACAGTACAAAGGAAAGTTGCTGGGTTATAGTGGTCTGAATATAACACATGCATTATATTCCAAGCGTGCTGAATCACTCTACGACTACACTTCGAAATGTTTAAGTGACATAAGGTTAACTATTAGTTAGGAATTAGGTTAGGGCCGCGGGTAAGGGTTGGGGTCAAAGTAGAGAACATCTAGAGAACATGTTTAAGTAAGTCACGTGATAGTCGAGTGTAGAGTGATTAATCATCATCCAGTATATTCAATATACTATTATAGAGTATTAGCATTGAATAAGTACAAACGTAAAACTAGGCAAAGGCAAACCTCACGTACTCAGTACTTCAGTACTAGAACTTCGGAATCCAATATTCATTTATTATCTTATTTAAAAACTTGCTCGTGATCAACAGTACATGGTACCCGTGGTTTCAAATTACAGTAAGTATTATTATACCAGTGGCGTAACGTTGCCTGTTGCCCCCCCCCCCCCCCCCCCCCGCCCGCTGAAAAAAGGGCCCCCTTGATGGTGCCCCCTCCACTTTTGGCGCCCCTCCCTAAAATTGAACAAATCAGATGATATTAGAGGATAAGCCGGTAAAATATCTAAAAAGTGTGTTTCTAGAGCAAAACGCACAGTTTTGCTGGTACTGTAGTTTAAGTTAAGTTTTTCTAAATTTTCCCACACTCAAACGAAGATTTGGCGCCCCCCGGCCCCCCGTCAGCTGTCTTTGAGTTTGATTGAACTGTTAGTGTTATGATCCGCAAATAAAAACTGTCCATCTCCTGTTCGTTCGGCTAAATTACAAATTTTCCTTACAACTTCGATTTTATTTTTGCTACATTCATGAGTCATGACGAATTATTATTATTATTTTTGACAGGACCATACAGAACAAATAGAATTTACCGTCATGGTAAAACATCTCCACACCGTAAACTGTGCAAAAAACTATATAATTGTATAAACATTGCCTACAGCGGGCTACACCCTTTATCCATTATTGTGACGAATGATATTGATATTGATATACGCGTCTAAATTTTGCTTAAGTGTAAGCTTAACGTTTATAAGGACAAGGTAGCTAATCACGCGTTCTACTGGGTACATTCTCGAAGACTAAAAAGTCCTCTGACCCCATGTTTTGTTAAAAGTATGAGGTACTTCTCAAAAACTGTTATTAAATCAAAATGACATGAACACCCTTGATCAATAATCACAACAAGAAATGCTGCCGCTTTTCTTTTGTGGATGGCCGCTCAATTTGCCGATCCGTGATGGCTTACTTTATTATATTTATATTCAATACAAGTACAACCTGGGTCCCCAGTCTTAGCTGTTTATAGGCATGCAAATATAGCGGAGTGACAGGCCGAGCGCCGCCCAGTTATAATTCCATATCAGTGAAAGCAGTATTAATGACATTCTCACTTTTCAGAACTAAGTGCCTAATATAATTAAGATAGAACATCTAAACAGTTTTATTCCTGTTCCATATGATCAAGGATAGTCAGGGCTACCAAACCTGACCAAGTTTAGCTCAATCCAGTACTGCGCGTTCAAGATATGAGGTTAAATATACCAAAAATAGAGGTTTTCTGGTGTGACATCATTGTAAATTATTTGGAGTATAACCTCAATATCTCACAAACTATACATTTGTGGTCTTTCTGAGTTACACTATCTGTTTCCTTTGGCAATTTCGGTTCAGAGTCAATTAAGTTTGAAACAAAATCTCAGTTTATGTGAAAGGACTGAGGATATCAAGTTTGTAAAAGCGCGCGCGCGCGCGCGCGCACACACATATAATGACCTCATATCTTCCACATTTAACGATTTTTTATAGAAATTCTTTCACCATCCTGTAGCACTCATGTGCTGAGTAGGATAGCATTCAAATCATGTCTTTAAAAGATTTAGATAGATACTGAGGGAGAAAATTCATGTTTGTAAAAGCGCGCGCGCGCGCGCGCGCATGGCCCAGACTATATCAATGGACGGCCACGGGTGGATAAAAGTACTTTCATACACACCAGCATGCTCATTGATGGCTTAAATGAAGCTAAGACATACTCCTATCAGATACACCATAAGTTAGATACCATAATAATCATTAAATGTGTCTAAAATGAGGAAGCTTTGACAAGTGCGAGTGGTTTTGGCAAATTTTGGTATAAAATGGGCCCTGAGATCATATTTTTCTCATTAAAATCACATATATCACGAATATTTATGTGTGTTGGGTGTATCCTCATTGGTATCAACCATTTCAATCATCTAGAGCAGCTTTCCTGATTCTTTATCTCATGAAAATGGGCAAAAAAGCTCATAAATAGTCCAAAATCGGTCATTTTCGCCGCTTTAATAACCTCATTCTTGGCACCCAGAACACTTTGGGTACTCAAAACATGATTTTTCGGATACCTCAGACCCCTAACTAGCACATGGAGCCAGAAAGAACAGCATGTAGGGACTTCTAAATTTCCATGGTTGAGAACCCAATGTCACACTATTCGTTCATTAATCCTGCTTTCACTGATATCGAATTTGAAAATCGAGTAACCGTATGTTTATTGTTTAAACTTTATGCAACCTGACACGGATCTGTGCAAAATAGTAATACAAAAACTAACAATAATAACAGTATGCTATCAATTAGTCATAGTAGGTAGTGCGCCATCGACAGTGAGCCGCGCGTGCCGACTGTAGGATGTTAGCGCTAATTTCGGCCAGCACAATTTTCTTCAAACAAATAGATATTAAATATCCTTCCAGTTCCCGACTTCCGATTGCAACAAAAATTGGTAAGCTTACTTATACTTATAGATTTACAAGGAAAGTGTCCGAAAAGTTTAAAGCATATCCAACCATCAGACATTATGTTACAGCTAAACGCAGCGTATTTTGCCCCATTTTGATCACTATATCAACTCCGATATCCACCAAATTTTTCGGACAGTTGTGGAAGCCCTATTGGAAGGTCGTCGCCAATTTTCAGAATGATTTCATTCAAGGACCTGAAGATATATCCAAATAATACGACAAAAATCAACGAATTTGGTCAAATTTGGTCAAATTACGCGACTTTTACAGCTAATTTTGCTCCAAAAGCCGCGCACCATCAAATTTGGCACCTAGGCAAAACTCACTGATCTTTCCAAAAAGGTATGACAAATTTGGTATTGTGAAAATTCTCACAGTCTCTAGAAAACAATTAATGGTACAAAAATTTTTAAAATCCGAGCAAGTTTATTTTTATGGTACTATGACTCATAGTGCCTACTGGGATACGTACATTAACATATCATGGTGAAATGAAATTAACATTAACAATTTACTTGGTCAGTTCAGCGCCGCGCGACAACAATTATTTAATTCAGAATTTCTCGCGAAATAACGGTCGTACGCACGGTCGCAAAGCTACCATATACAAAAAAACCTCGTTTGCTAACCCTTGTCCTTGACTCTTTTGTGCCTTCGGCACTTTGAGCCATGGATCGGGGAAAATGTAACTTAGAAACACGGCTTTAGTCATGTTCCACCATGTTGGCTGGGTTTTTTTAATAGGCCTTGGCAGGACTTTTCAGAATTGCCAGGAAATCTAAAGACAATTCAGAGCATCATTTGACATCATTAATAAATTGTAAATGAGCAATTACGTTATTCGTTTAAGTTATTGCAAAATGGTCATTGATTCCAATAAAAAAAATCCGCCATGTGCCGTGCGCTAATTTACTACATACTATTACTAATTCTGTACTCGCCTGCGTACACTGTACTGTACAGTGTACAGCAGGAGCAGGCCTGCAGGCATCACGCGATTTTACAAATAATGTTCGACTTCAAGTTAGACTTTCAGTTGTTGTAGTTGTACTGTAATACTAATTGTGTCGGTTTATATATTTACCAGGCGGCGCTCAAATTTTATGATCAATAACGCTAATTTTAAATTTGTCCTTATTGGACTTTATTTTTACGGACATAAGTTAATAGATGCAAATTCCAGATGCTACAAGTTAAATACTATTACTAGCGTTCATTTTAATGTCCGTTCATTTTAATATCCGTTCGAATTTTGGCGAACGTTTTAAATTGTAAATAAATAGAGCATTGAGCGGTTGCGTTTATTTTAATGCATATAAGAATGCTAGCATTCTTGCGCAAACTAGCATTCTTGCGCAAACTAGCATTCTTGCGCAAACTAGCATTCTTGCGCAAACTAGCATTCTTGCGCAAACTAGCATTCTTGCGCAAACTAGCATTCTTGCGCAAACTAGCATTCTTGCGTAAACTAGCATTCTTGCGCAAACTAGCATTCTTGCGCAAACTAGCATTCTTGCTTCGTCGTCGATCGTTGCTCTGCGAAGATCTCGACGGATTGACATCGTCAATCAAAGCGCCGCCCAGTAACTATCCGATAAGCTCAGTCAGAGTTTTCGGACTGTAAAACTGAACAACTTGAAATGTTGAAGAACGCCGTTAAGACATCTGTTGTTGACTATATTGCTTTCAATGTGATGGGTTAGGGTTAGTAGGTAGTGCGCCATCGACAGTGAGCCGCGCGTGCCGACTCTCAACTCTAGGATGGTTTTTTAGCGCTAATTTCGGCCAGCACAATTTTCTTCAAACAAATAGATATTGAGTATCTTTCCCGACCTCCAATTGCAACAAAAATTGGTAAGCTTACTCATAGACTTACAAGAAAAGTGTCCGAAAAATTTAAAGCATATCCAACTATCAAACATTATGTTACAGCTA